TATTATTACTTATTGTTATAATATTTACATATTATTTAAACTAACTAAATTCTTTATTTAAAAAATTATTTTATAATTTTTTTAGATAGTAAGTTATTATTTAATTTTATTATTATTACTTATTGTTATAATATTTACATATTATTTAAACTAACTAAATTCTTTATTTAAAAAATTATTTTATAATTTTTTTAGATAGTAAGTTATTATTTAATTTTATTATTATTACTTATTGTTATAATATTTACATATAATTTAAACTTTTTATTTAAAAAATTATTTAAATAATATAGTTCGTAAGTTATTTATTTAATTCTATTATTACTTATTGTTATATTATTTACATATAATTTAAACTAACTAAATTCTTTATTTTAAAAATTATTTTGCAACTTCTTTTAGTTAGTAAGTCATAAGTTATTTATTTAATTCTATTATTACTTATCATTATAATATTTACATATAATTTAATTCTTTATTTAAAAAATTACTTAAATAATATAGTTTGTAAGTTATTTATTTAATTCTACTATTACTTATTGCTATATTATTTACATATAATTTAGACTAACTAAATTCTTTATTTAAAAAATTATTTTGTAATTTCTTTTAGATGGTAATTTATTTTTAATTCATTTATTAATTATTGTTATAATATTTACATATAATTTATACTACTAACTAAATTCTTTATTTAAAAAATTATTTAAATAATATAGTTTGTAAGTTACTTATTTAATTCTATTATTAGTTTATTACTTATTATTATAATATTTACATATTATTTAAACTAATAAATTCTTTATTTAAAAAATTATTTTGCAATTTCTTTTAGATGGTGAGTTATTTATTTAATTCTATTATTATTTATTACTTATTGTTATAATATTTACATATAATTTAAACTAACTATACTCTTTATTTGAAAAATTATTTTTAATTTCTTTTAGATGGTAAGTTATATTTTTTAATTCTATTATTACTTATTATTACAATATTTACATATATTTAAACTAATCAAATTCTTTATTTAAAAAATTATTTAATAATATAGCTTGTAAGTTATAAGTTATTTCTATTGTTATATATTTTATATAATATTTATTTGTTAGCTGTATTCTTTTATTTTAAAATTTCTATTACTTTAGTTGGTAAGTTATGAAATATAGCTTATTATTATATATATTTATACAAAAACTAAGACATATATTATTTTAAATTCCTATTTAAATTTTAGAGTAAGTGTTAATTTTAGTGTAAATTTTATTATAAACTTTTATATAATTTTAATTATTTAAATTTATAGATTTGGAAAAAGTGGAAACATAATCATAGATGAATTTATTCTTGAGAAAAAGTTAAGATGGATTCCTTATAATAAATTTAAAAGTGTTGAATATCTTGATAAAGGAGGATTTGGTACTATATACAAAGCTATTTGGTCAAATTATGATGGAGATAGAGAAGTAATTCTTAAGTGTCATAGTAATTTAAATGAAAATTTAGATGAATTTTTAAATGAAGTATGATAGTGTATTATTATTTTTTAATTTAAATTATAATTTACTTATATTAATATATTATTATTTTTTATAGTGGAAATATCATGGAAGTTGTTTAGGATCATATGAAATTATTAATTTTTATGGATTTACAAAAAATCCAAATACTTCGAAATATATGGCAGTAATGGATTATGCAAACAAAGGTAATTTAAGAAGAAACTTAACAAGAATAATTAAAAGTGATTGGGGTCAAAAATTATGCATGTTGTATGACATTATTTCTGGACTTAATGATATACATGAAGAAAATCTTATTCATCATGATTTTCATGATGGCAATATTTTAAATCATGATGAACATAAAATTTATATATGTGATTTAGGATTATGTCAACCTGTAAAATCATTATTGAAAGAACATAATATTTATGGTGTTGTACCATTTATGGCACCTGAAGTTTTAAGAGGCAAAACTTATACTCCAGCTAGTGATATATATAGTTTTTCTATGATTATGTGGGAATTTACATCTGGAATACCACCATTTAATAATAGAGCACATGATATTCAACTTAGTTTAAGTATTTGTGAAGGTGAACGTCCTAAAATTATTGAAAATACTCCACAATGTTATATAGATTTAATGAAAAAATGTTGGGATGAAGATCCATTAAAAAGGCCATCTTCTAAGGAAGTTTCAAAGATTATTAAAGAATGGATTTTTCTTCCTTATGGTAAAAAAATTGAAGACATTAATGAAGAATTAAAATGCAATATTATGGAATTTATAAATGCACCAATTGGGCATAACAATAATCTTGCTACTGAATCTCACCCACAGGCTTTCTATACAAGTCGCTTACTTAATTTTACTAGTAAACAATTAAATGAAATTCTTGAAAGTGAAAATTCACAAACTAGTGTACAAGTGAGTGAAATGCTAGTAAGCAAAGATTTGAATGAATGTATGATTGATTCGAAGACATTAGGTATGTAAAGTGTATATAATATAGCTGGTATAATATAAAATAAATTAATTTACAAATTAATTAATTTTATTTATTAATATTTAGATATTAAAACAAATGAAAATTAACTAATTATTTGTGTTTTAAAAAAGACAGTTTTTTTTGTAATATTTGATATTATGCATTTAGCAAAAAATTGTTCTTCATTTTATTCTTTTTAGATTTATTTAAACACTAAGGCTAGAGTAGTAAAATATTTTAAAGATTCTTAGTTTGTAATTTAAATAATTCCTTTTTTTTTATATTTTATCAAATATTAAATATATGTATCCTCTTCTTAGAATTATTTAAACACTAGGACTAGAGCAGTAAATATTTTACAAATTTCTTAGTTTGTAATTTAAATAAATCTTTTGTTTTTTATAAATTATCAAATAATAAGTATATAAACCCATTTCTAATACATAAATTAAAAATGAATAATGTAAAATTTTTATACTTATTTTAATAGCTGATTGTATTTAGTTTGTATTGTGGGTGGGCTTAAAAAGAACGGAAAACCAAGATTTGTAAGTATGTTGGCTTTATTTTAATCTTATTTAAATATTTTGGTCAATATAGGAATTACACTAGATTATATAATGCATTGGTTATTTTTTTGATAAATCAAAGTCTGCTTACTTTATTCTATTTTGATGTACAAGTACATTTATGTATGCTAAAATGAATATATATTTAATTTATTGCTTGATGTAATCAAATTAAACAAATCAATATACAGTAAATTATTATGTTACTTAATCACAATAAATAATTCCCTCATTATGCAAACATTTTACAGCATTTACAAATTGAAGTGTTAATTTATATTTATGTTTGAAACTTGAAAAGTCATAGAGTATTAATATCAATTTTATTATTTAAAATTGATATAGATACTCTTTTATTATTCATTAATATTAAAGCTCCCTGTTATGTTTAATGGTTACTTGTTTACAATATATAATAATACGTAAACATTATATGAGACTTAGGAAGTTTTTGATGATACACTCTATACTTTATAGCACTGTTGGATTCAAGTAAAATTTAATTATTGATTATTTGTCTGAATTTATTTGATTATAAAATCCTATTAAAATATTAAAAAATAGCTCCAAAAATTTTGATAAAATCTACGAACGCAAAAAACAAGTTAGGTAAAAAAAATTTTTTTTTTTTTCATTGTTTGGTTTATATAAAATTAATATTTTCATTTAGGAACGGCCGTTGGACGCTTGAAGATTTTGGCGTTGCCGCGTTGGTGAATCAGGATTTGAATGTTTGGTGTTCCACGAATAAAAGAATTATTTAATGCATCTAAAACAATTAGTACATCAATCATTAATTGTAAGCTTTGTTAATGAGTTAACGACACTAATGTTAAAATCTTTTTATTATATATGCAGCACATACATTAAAATCTGTACAAGCTTGAGAACTAAAGCCTATAAATACATAAAGTACTAGTTATAAATTTTTATCACTAAAATGGATTAATTCTTACCGATTATTGACATGAATTAAAGTCAATTTTCAACTTTGATGAGAAATACTAAAATCATTATAATCATTATGTGGCCAGTTATTGTCGACCGTAACATCACTTTCATCATGGGAAGAATTTAAATTTTCATTCAAATCTACACTATCAGTGGTAGGATGTTGTAAAAAGTACGAAGGAAGGATTTGTTTCAAGTTTTGTTCAAGATTTAAAAAGTTAATAAATATCTACGTTTTAATTCAGTTTCTTTATTAATATGTTTACAATTAAAGAATATGATAATAATTTACATGTAACATAAAATATCATTTCAGAATCATCTAAAATGAATTCATAATCATAATCATCATCATCCAAAGAAACAAGTTAATTTACTTTTCGAATCAGTTACATTAAAATCCATTCCATAAATTTTCTTATTTAATATATTTACAAATAATGAACGTGATAATAATTTGCATGTAACATGAAATGTCATTAAGGAGTCATTCAAACTTTGAAAAATGAATTCATAATCATGTTAAAATAGAACTTTCTGACCCATTAAATTGAACTTTCTACAAATTACATAATAAATATTATTATCATATTGCGGTTGATAAAATAATCTACATTCAATCATAATTTGAACCAAATTGATAATGATACTTTTTTCTAGAGAAAACTTTGAATAATTAGTGAAAAGTTTAAATTCTTAGGGTCGTTCTCTTATTTATAAAAAATTAAACGTCTTAACAATTTTCTAAACCGCGTCGTTAGATTTTATTTTAGAGTTTATAAAGTTTGAAAATAATTTAAAATTTTCTGAAAATGGGAAAAGTTTTCGTATTTTTATTCTAGAATTTTGAGAAAGGGTTTCTCTATTTTTTATAAGAATGTGAAATTATTTAAAAATATAAAACGTTTTTTTTTTTTCAGAAACACAATCTTGGGTTGTATGTGATTTGTGCGTACGTTGGTGTAAGAAGATACCTCTTAAATTAATCTTACAATATTATTTTGTGCAGTATTTGCTTCTTAGTTTATAAACCTTACAAAGCGATATGATACTCTTTTGTGATTAAATTTTTATCATTATTTTTCTTAAATTTCAACTTTTTTTTTGCGAATCATTTATATATATACAAAAATCGAGTAATATGAAATAACTATATTAAAAAAACTGACCGCCATTATTTTTGCCGGGGTCTGTAATATCAAAGGTCCACATGGAAAGCGTGCAATAAAAAAATTCTGCTGGTGTCATACGTGCTTTGAAAGTTTAATGTTTTCGTTCACACATAAAAACATGTTCTTGTCCCGAAAAGATTAGTTCCTTTGAGAGTGGAATCTTTGTCATACTGTGGAAACAAGAAGCACTTCCTGATGATTATTTTTGCATTTCTATAAGAGAAGTGAACTACAATTAACATAATTCTCGAAAACACATTTACATTTCTAACATATTCAAGAAAATTACTTTTATATATTTATGTCATATATTAAAATTGAATTAGATATATAGGATTAGACCCGGTTTAATATTTTTTTTTTTACTACAATATTAACTTTTTGCAGTAATAATAATGCAAAACTTTCTTGTGGTGTAATATGTCGACTTTCAACTACAAATAAATCAAATGATTATTTTAATGCGTAATAGCGTGAATAATCTCATGTTTGTCTAATAATAATCAAATGCGCTTTACTATTTTGTATAACAATATAAAATATAAATATATTATTATTTTTTAACTATTATAAATTCAATCACTATATCTATTTAATGATTATTTTAATAATTAAGGGTGAGGGCGCAGAATTAATGAGATAATTGTGACGCAAATTTAATCTAATATATAACATTATCGTAAATAATTTTTCCAAAGACAACAAAATGTCACTCAATACGGAAATGGCAGATTTAGCAGTATAAGTTCAATAAGATGGTAACAATATTTATGCAAAATGCATTATGCGTAAGTAGATATGTGTAACTGTTACTCCTTATTTCTTTGCTAATTTTTCGGTATTCTTAGTAGTGATACAGTTCCAGAAAGAATGCCAGATTGTTTCTTTTATCGAAACCTGTGGTGGAATAAGGGAGAATTTAGCGAAAAAGCTAAGTGGGAAGAAGTAACGTAAGTCACTTTTTCCTACTTGTTTGATGTTTGATATTTTTCAGCTAGTGGCTGATATAAATTACTATTTATATATAAGATTACCTTATGTGCTTGCTACGGACGTTACTATAGAGGAATATGAACAACGTACGGAAAAGTTTAATATACACGGATGTTGGGAATGGTCAGATGGAAAAGTCATAATCTATGAACTTCCTTCTATGCCACATGAAGTTTGTATCTCCGCAGTTTCTGGAGAAATATCGAACGCTTGTAGACATGTTAGAGGGACTCCCGCTCAGATTTACGGTTTTGGTGCTACCAGTAAGTATTAATGTTATAATATATTGCCCTGTTTATGGTATTGTATTTATTTTTATTGCTTAAAGGAACGTGTGACAGAAACCGTGGAAAAAAGGCCGACGCGTCGTTTCGTCCGGTAAAACCAGCTGTAACTGCACCAAATGGGAGCGATGGAAATGTAATTTCTGTTCTTTTTATTGATTTGAATTTTTTAAAGCCAGTAATTTTATATACCTTTTTTTATTTAGGATTTTCCTTGGCCAAATTTGGTTGTGGAAGTAGCCTATAGCGAAACATTGGATCACGTCGAAGAATCTTTGAGATATTGGTTAAGCCCTGGTCGTGCCCACGATTGTATTATTGTAAAAATCGATCCAGTTCCTCAAGGCCAAGTACCAGTCCGTATGAGGGTAAGTTACAGTATCTTTATACAGTGTAGCAATCATATTATTTGTATAACATTCCGAGATTTAATTTATTGTAGGCTTGGCATTACTGTATCTCAGCAGGTAGAGGAACAAGAAATATAGTTCCTCTTGTAAATGAAGTAAGTTAGACTATAGCGATTCGCTTTTCTGTTAACATATTAATAATCTCTAATGTATGTATAATGATTATTAGTTTGAATTCGGAACAAGAGATGACACTGGAGCTCAATTAAATATTACGCAAGGTACATACATCATCAATATATCATCAAGATGTCTATACCATGACTTGAAGCAACCTACGCCCCCTTCACCTCCTATCCAAATCTCTCAAAATGCTACTATTCCACTGGACTTCTATTTTGTTCAACGTGCAATCATTCAAGCATATAACATTTATTAGGACTACTTCATATGATATTGTAGCCTCAGTATTAACAATTTTTTTTGCGTATCATGCTGATTGAATCTGTTCGGGTTTATCTTTTAATTACTAAGCATTTTTTTTTGCACTGCTAAATTCTGTTATCATTAACTGGAAAATATATTGTGCTATGCTACTTGAAATCCCTCATTCATAGATTTCGCAAAATCTATGATATAATGTAAAAAAATAACTTTCTATATTATAAATAATTTTTAAATAAAGAATAATAAAATTTAAAAAATAACTTACGCCCCATATATTATTATATAATTTTTTAAATACCCTGAGTCGCGCAGTTATGTGATTTTTTCACTCTGGTTTCGAGCACATTTAAAAAAAAAATAAATTGCACAAATGTAATTAAAGTTTTATGTTTATCCCAATTCACGAAGATGCTTTGGAATAATTATATATGGGTCTTCGTAATACCAAAGGCAATCTGATTCTCTTCACACATCTCTCTTGAGTTGATCCTGATCTTGCTGTTTAGTGAAATTATTGGGATCACCATTATGAAAAAATTCTATATATCTTCGATCTCGAGAATTAATAATATATTTGAAATTACTTCGTGCTACCTGCGAGATCCAACTTGACTAAAATCACACTTCGAAACTTTCCTACTGTGGTTTCACTGATAGAATGATTTGTTGACTTTATTTCATCATTGATAGCCTTAAACGTGAATTCATGAGCCTCAGCTATATCATGAGCGTCTTGCCACTCAACCATGCCTTTTTTACGAAAAAAACTACTAGTCTTGTCTACTAGCGTGGTTGAGCGGCAAGACGCTCATGGAATGGGCTTAGAACAAAAAAGAAAAAATATTAATACGGCATAGTTTACTTTACACAATCATCAATGAGCGAATTATCATACTTGAATTTTCTGTTATGTTCATTTTTCCATAGAGGTTTCTATACTCCCCAAGTCCCAATATTGGTATCTATTTATAAAAAATTCATAATATAAGAGTTGTACAAAAAAATCACAAGGGCACATATAAGTGCGAATGTTCGACACGTAGTTATGTACATGTCTCGTTTGAAGAACTGTTTTCTAAGAAACGTAATTTCATTACCATTTTGGGTCAAACATTGTATACAGAGAATTCGCCAGACGAGGAAGGTGATATCTCTATTTCAAACAGTTTACAAGGTATTGTTAAATTAACGTCGTTTACTTGTGTTAAATACAGCATTATATATTACGATTTCTTACCTTCTGAACTTTTTGAATTTTTTGATTAAATCTTCGATCAGCAAAATAGTTCTGTCAGGAAACTTGAATGGAGAATTTTCGAGTTTTTGTATAGTTAATAACATGAAGGCTTTACCATTAATCATTTTTATTGATCTTTATAATAATGTTTAAGAATTCACAAATAATGAGTGAATTCAACGCTTCGAACTCTTGAACTGATGGAAATCTGATATCTTGAATCGTCATATTTTGAGCCATGTTAGTTCACGTGATCATAAGCCAATCATAATGTCTGGCTATATCAAGGTATGCGTAAATCACGTGATCGCACACGGCTTTGAAAATATGTGCTCTAATACAAAAAAAAACAAAGAAATGGTTACACGATATGTCGGTATTTCTAAGTTTTCTTTCTTATAATAATAATATTTGGCGAAATCTGATCAGCATTTCATTGGCTATGGTAAATATCATTTTAAAGAAAGAAAAAGTTGGAAAAGATACACATACGAATAATTCAGAGATTAGTTTAGTTTTACTTTTTAATTTGATTGTATGTATTTGTGGATTGATTACTAAGATAGAATGTCACATTAATTTTTTAACAAGCGGATAAAACTCAAAGATTAATCAAAAAAAATAAACTTTTGAAGTATGGTCACTTTATAATGAAATTTTTTACGTGCACAGAATTCATAGTTTGTTATTTGATTTATTTTAATCCAAATTATTTGATACCAATAAAATTCTACTTAGTAATATCTATAATTAATTTTATTCCTTATATAATCATTTGTCCGGTTCCTATAATTAAAGGATAGCGGCTCATTCCTCGGCTAGTCCGGAATTAAAAAAATATAAATTTTCTAAAAAAAAAATCTCTAATCACAATTATACACTAACACTTACTATAATTATTTTTCGTCTCTATTATTAAAAAGAAACATAAAAATATTGATACCATTATTTTAATAATAAAACTTTACTTCTAATATGTCAAATTATTATTAGAGAATTATACGATAAATAAATATTTTTGACAAGAAATTTGTATAACGATCTTTTCTTTATCGACGTTTTTTTATAAATGATATGGGCCGGCCATTTTTTTTGTCCGGTTATCATCCGGTTTTCGGGTTTCTTTTTTTTTTTTACTCAAATATCTATATTTTATAATAAATTGAGAGATAATTCACGCAAACAGATTCATTGTATTTAATAAACACGTGCTTAAAGCATTCAACCCATCAGGTCATAGAAATAATCAATAATAATTTTACGCTCAATACATTTTTTTTTTAGACGTACTGTATTTGGAAAATTTTGAAAGGGCTTATGCAAAATATTTATCATTACAATATAAAAACGAATTAAGTAATTTTATAATCACATTCACATCCGAAAAATGCTGGACAATAATGACATATATTAGCTAATATTAGATAATAAATATTAGATAATATATGACATTTCCCTTAAATGTACAGCAATGATCTTAATTAATTGTTTAAGCGAGTCATAAAAAATTCTATTTTAAACAATTTATCATAAATTTATATGATATAAAATTTTTCTGACACTTCTAAAAACAAAAAAAGCGACTCTTATTCACGATATCGTAAATCATTCATTATTCTGTAACTGGAACTCGAAAGTAACAATGAAATATTATGAAATTTATCGATTAAGTAATTATTAATAAAAAAAATTAAATCGATTCGATTGTGTATCAAGAGATAATTTATAGGAATTAATTAATTTATTATGTAAAAAAAAATTAATAAATATGTGTATATTTATGTATCAAAGTTAGAGAATTAAAAAAGCCCATAAATAATGATACAACGTAACCTTTCATTATATGTATAAATAATTATCATGTAAATACCCGGCGTTACTACTGTCTGTACTCTACACCGTCTACAGTAATATGTTTATTTTGATCGCTGGGTGCACAATAAATGTTTTTATTTCTTGCATCCTTTGCGCAAATCCTGCATTGTTACAATAATTATCATGGTAAAAATTGAGAGAATATTACAATCATTGTGTGTCACTATCAATAGTATCACGTGAAGAATTTAAATTTTCATTAGAATCTAATGTAGTTTCACTATCAGAGATAGGATGTTGTGGGAAGTATGTAGGGAGAATTCTTTCTAAGTCTTGTTCAAGACTTAGCTTTTGGTGTAAAGTCAATAAATATCGACGTTTCAATTCAGTTACATCAGAATCAAATCCACATAATAAATTAAAAATTAAATTTAGGGGATTTGGTATCACTTTACATGTCACATGAAACACTATTGTGGGATCATCTGAACTTTTTATAATAAACTCATAATCATAATCATAATTAACGTAATTATCATCATGATAAGAAGTAGGATGACTTAGCAAAACTTTTTTACAGACTATAAAATAAATATAATCCTCATTTCTTGGTTGATATATTAAAAAAGCTAATTGGTCACGAATGAATTGTAGTGTTATCATTTGTACTATATTACTATATATCTATATAGGGCTTAATATATATATTGTTGTATATTTCTTTCTATTGAATAGAATGTACTGTAACAGTAGACTGTGGTTAAGACTGCTCACGATTATTGAGTATAGATATGAATATACTACTTATATACAAAGAACTAGAAATGAAAGGTTGTTTTGATGTAGACCTGTTGTAGACCTGTTCTCTCTTAGGTCTTAAATTAGTTAAAAAAATCAAGGAACCGTGTCCTTTTTGTAAGATTTATGAAAATTACGCAAACATATTACAATGAGGTTTTTATAGAATTATTGTTAGATTTATATTATTGGGGATGTTACTTCAGGATTTGAAAATTTTCTTTTTTTTTTTTTTTTGAATTCCACTCCGAAACGCAGCTTTTATTTATAAAAAAAAAATCTAGGTTAACGGTGCTAACCCTATAGAGAATTTTTACACGTAAAGACATATGCACAGGAAAAAAAATTTTGCGTGAATTTTTTTTCCTTTTGCCACGGAAGTTCAGGGTAATATAAACAATCGAACGGGTAACCAAAAAAATTTATAATCGGATAATATAATTATTATGTCATATCATGCCAAAATGCGTCATAAATCTTTTAGAATTTAAACATTACGACATCTTTGAAAAAATCATCTTATCATGAATAAATCCTAAATTATTTTTTTCCCCATCTTTCATTGAAAATTTCAGCATTTTTTTCAGCATGGGAAAATCTAAAATAAAAAAGACCTTTCATACTTTTTATTATGCAAAGCACAATATATATATATATAGGTAACAAGACTCAATCTACTGCGCTATTGTTACCAGCAAAAATATTTATTAGATAAAATAGGTAAAATAACAAAGAATATATAGTGTATACAAATTACGTAGTATGACTAATAGGTGTTCTATAAATGTTCTATAATTACGCTTTTGTTTGTTAATTTTTGTGGCTTTATTGTATGATAATGACATAAATTTGGTGTAAGCTATCTAATCCTAATTTAAATAAAATTCAAGTTCACATCAAAATCCTTATTTGGTATAATTTCAAATTTTGGTATAATTTCAAATTTTGCATTCACACGTTGCGTCGGTGCAACTTCTTTAAGGAATTTTATTTTCAACCAATTTTTCCTTTATCGGGTTTAATATAAAAAAGCACTATTTGAATGGTCTCAGATCAAAAAAAAAATTTTTTTTACATAATACGTAATTAATTGTTAATATTTGGGTAAGTCCAACGATAATTGGTACATCTATATCAATATTCTATTTCATTTAAAGTATAACTGATAAGTAATTTTTCAACTGTGTAACGAACGCTATTTAAAATTGATGATCTTAAACGTGATTACTGCGCCTATTAATCATGTGAAATCATGTTTCACGCCAAAAATTGAAGTTGGATAAATTATTATCTACTTGCGGAATGTAAATATAAATATTTCTCCTATTTGTTCAAGTAATTTTAACATATGAAGTAGGTTGTAGCTATTATTAAAAAAGTAATCAATGAATTAAAACAATTAGGGAAAATTTGAGTTCAAAATTACGTGATCAAACAAGTACTAGTATATCTTATTAATGATTCTCTATTTACCTGTTACAAAGTGTGATGTCGGAAATATTGAAAGATTTTAAAATGTATTCTGTGGCTTATATAGTTATATACGGATTTAAGAAGCTAATAATTATAGAAAGTTCTGAAATTGATAATTTGAAATAAGAGACTTGTTTGTTTTGCTAACTAAACTCAGTTCAAATAAACAGATTCATTATTCACAAATACCATATGCAGGATGAAGAAGTTTACTCCTTATATATGCATTTTTTTCTCAGAACGCTCATGATCCGTTTAAAAAAACCATAGTCAGGATTAGGCGGAAAAGCACCAAAGATATATACTGTATTTATAATATAAAATGATAATTTTCAATATTTAAATATTTCAACTTAATAGTAAATTATTATTCTTATTATGGGTTTAAAATTTGTGCGCTCCCGCGCATGAACGCACCCCACGTGATTTATTAATTTATAAAATTTAATTGGCTAAATTTTATTTGTTGATTTTTTACACACGATCATATTACACATCTCTTTTTTTTCATATTATACACTACTTTTTTTAAAACTTCGCTTAACAATTAACATTTTAGTATTTTTCTAGCTTTAACTTTGAAAATGTAGTTTAAGTGTTAATATGTATCTTTTTGACATATATTTTACTTCTTTAATTAACTGCTGTTCTTCTTTTCTTGTAGGTATTTTAAATCTCAGCTGTTAGTGGTATTCCTTAACACATTTACTTAAACCTGGTTGCTTTTCTTTTTAGGCGCGACTTTCTACTTCCCAAGGGTATTTAATATGAAAAGGGAGATCAGTTCCTTTTGTTATAGGCTTAGGTACGTACAGGTTTCTACACATTATTTAGGTATTATTATGTTCTTCTTTCTTGTTTTCGTTCATTCTTTCATTCTTGATTGCTAATTCTGATTTCTTTTTGGGTATGCTTCTGTAGGATTAGGTACGGCTTTGTCCTTCCTGTAAGTGATTTTATGCTTTTCTTTTTTTTATTTTCGTTCTTTTATATTCTTTCATTTATTTTTTACGCTAATTTTAACATATTTTTAACGAATAGATTCATTTACAAAAAACGATACTGCATAATTTAATCATTTTATTATTCTCCATATACAAATCCACTTTATTATTTTTTATTGAATTTATTTAAAGTGTAAAAAAAATTACAGTAATTATTTTCTACATTTACAAAAACTAATTTAAAATCTTGATCTAATCAAACAGAAGAATAAAAGTTGCTAAAAGATTAAAAAGAAAAAAAGAAAATGGAAACGAGTTTAAAATGTTTAATAACATTTTCTGGAGCTTTTATTATAGATCTCATTTTATTGTTCTAAATAAAAAACATTCTTCAAATATATCCCCTTTTTAGAAAAAGAAATATTCAATAAATAAATTAGCTTAAATGCAAATTCACGTTCATTTTTCCCTTATATCTTTACCCGCGAAGTAAGTGTACAGTAAGTTTAGAAAAACTATATCTAAAAAGGAAAACTGAAATTAGTAATAATAAATGAATAAAAAAACTAAAACAAAAAAAGAAAGTATAAAAATACTGTACCTATAAGAGAGTGAAAAGTTGTACCTAAGTTACAAGAGATAGAAATTCAAAATCAGCAACGAAAAATAAATGAAAAATGAATAAAAAAATCAAAATAAAGAAGAAAAACTTACGTCAAATAAAGTAGAAAGCTGCACCTAGTTCTATAGGCGAAGTAGAAGGTTGCACCTAAAAGAAAACCAAAATTAACGCAAAAAATAAACGAAAGAACATAAAAGAACGAAATAAAAAAAAAAGAAAGCATAAAATCACTTACAAGGGGAGCAAAAAGCTGTACCTAATCCTACAGAAGAAGTAGAAAATCATATTCGAAAAGAAATCAGAATTAGCTATAAAGAATGAATGAATGAATGAAAACAAGAAAGAAGAACATAATAATATCTATAAGTAATGTGTAGAAATCTGTACCTAAGCCTATAACAAAAGGAACTGATCTCCCTTTTCATATTAAATACCCTTGAGAAGTAGAAAGTCGCGCCTAAAAAGAAAAAGCAACCAAGTTTAAGTAAATGTGTTAAAGAATACTACTAACAGCCGAGATTTAAAATACCTAAAAGAAAAAGAAGAACAGCAGTTAATTAAAGAAATAAATACGTCAATAATATATTAACACTTAAACTTACCATTTTTCAAAGTTATAGCTAGAAAAATACCGGAAAAAGATAGGGAGAAGGGTTAAATTTTTAACGTTAATTGTTAAGTGAAGCTTTAAAAAAAGAAGTGTATAATATGAAAAATAAGAGATGTGTAATATGATCGTGTGTAAAAAAATCAACAAATAAAATTTAGAAAATTAAATTTTATAAAATTAATAAATCACGTGGGGATGCGCACATGCGCGGGTGTGCACAAATTTTAAACCCAATTATAATTAGATTTATGTTTTTTGGGTACATTGCTTGAAAGCAATATTATAAGTAAATAAGGAGATAACAAAGATTGACGAAAAATAAAAGATATTCTCACCAGACATCATAGGGTGAAAATTAAGATATATATAAAGATTTATTTATCGTTTATTAGCACAGATTAATCTGATCATAAATTACAGCGAAATAGAATAGTGGATCGCTGTTAATTATTTGAATATCTATTTCCACCGCCCTAATGACTTAATTCATCATCATTATTAGCAAAAAGAATAAAATTTATTATTTTCTGTAAGAATTTTTCTATCACCGGGGGTGATGATCACCGGTGACTGAAACTATGACGATCGACCAGCATTAAAAAAATATAGTGCCGGTAAAAATCGATAATTCTGGCCAACGGTGATGATCCCCCGGTGATTTTGAAGTTAAAAAACTTAAAAAATTTAAAATTTTATTGTATTTCTGAATAAAAGCATCTGTTTCATTATGAATTGCAATTTATCAGAAATGTCTTCTTTATTCTTTGTAACGCCGCCTATTTTATTTCGATCATAACTAGTAATGTAGTGTACCCCTCCAGCAGCCTTGTGTAATGAGCTTCATCCATAATCCAGTAAGCCAACCTACGGAAGTCAAGATCTCCCTTATATTATACGGTATAAAAGAGTTGCGTTGTGTAGATCTTTTGTGATAATGCCTACTGATATTTTATTACCTTTTTTAGATTGGCTGAACGTTTCATAATTCCAGCCCTAAAAAAAAATATTTCTGGGTTGTTTGTGCGATTGATGATAATTCTAACCGAGTAAAATCACTCGTCAGGGTAATCATCACAATTCATATCAGATAAATATAAATTTTTTTTTTTAAATAAAATCGAGAGGTCGCCTCGCATCACACCCGGGTAGAATTGTATTCTAGAGATTTGGATTTTTTTGGTGTGAAATTCTATTTATTATTCAATATCACGCTGAAAATAGTAAATTACTCAAACGCAATAATATTTATATTTTTCAAGATTAATCTTATTGACTCCATAAATTGTTCAGTGTACGGTAACCAGTTGAGTGAATAAAAATCCGTTTATTCCGTGAACATGCTGTAAAAAAACATAGAATTAGATAACGGGATAATATTTTTTAAATGAAAATATGATATTCGGAACGTTACAAGTTTAAAATATTTCAGAAAAAGGAGCCAAAACATGAAAGGTTCGGTATATTATCCGGATGCTGTGGGCAAATTCGGAAACCATTTTTTTTTTGATTTTTCGTTATTTTAAATTTTTTCTTTTTTTTGTCATGGTTAAAATAATATATTATTATACCTTTTAATTTTATTCGGTAATGCTATGAATGCAAGGAATAATAAGGGACGATTAAATCTCATTTAGGTTAACAAGCAAAACAAAAGAAACCTGAAATGACATAAATTTATAGGTAAAGATCAGCAAAAATGAACAAACCATTCTTATTCTCAAAGGTCGTGTGATAAGATTTTCCTTTGAACAACGTATCACGAAATTTACGACAAAGCATTTAGGTTAGATCAATAAATAGTAAACAATAAACTTTTACACAAGTTTCATAAGTCTTGGCTTTTAAAAGTTAAAAAAACTAATATCCGAAACACACAATGATAAAATTAATACTAAAAAATATATATATATTTTCATGATTCATAAAGGTTTGAAATATCATTTTCTTTTAATGGTACAGTCTAATATGCTATAATTTATACCGATAAAAAAAAAGGGTATATAATGTTAGTAATGCTTTTTTGATATTTGCTCACAAAGATAACCCATTTATGGATTGTTTGTTGTTTTCAAAGAGATCTCATGAACATTTATTTGTTTATTTATTTAACTTATTCTAACCAATTAAGATATCAAATATAAGCGATCATTCTACCATTCTGCATGGGTTCCGTATATATGATCACTTTCTTATGATTTTTGATAATCTAATCTTCTTGACACAAATGCCCATGTGTTGTCACGTTCCGGTTAGGAAAATTATTGAAAATTCCGGTCAAAGTGTTACAGACTAAAAACGAAAAATAAAAAGGTAACATTGACCAAAATATATATATGAGAAAAAAGCACAAAATATTTGTACAAACAAATTTGTATCTTCGTTACGAAGAAAAGTGAAATTTAATATTCGAAACACAAATCCTTTATTTTATAGAATATAAAATTCGGTCCTTTACGAACATCTTTCGTTAGTTTTAGAAGTATTTCTTTCGGGTTAATATTATGACTACAAAAAACTGCTAAAGAACTTAAAGAACTGCAAAAAACAATTAAGTCAGTAACACCGTAATAAAGAATCAACTCCGTGAATTTATAGGCAAAGATCGACAAAATTGAGCAACGTTTAGGTACAACATATCACCAAATTATGAAACATTTTAACAAAGCATTTAGGTTAGATCAAATTTAAATGATAAATAAATATTTCAAAGCCAAGAACCCATGCGTGTAACTGTGTTTAAAATTAGATGAACTTTTCTGTTTATTTACTACATGAAATATTTAAAATAATATCGAAAAAAAGACAACCTTTTTAATGACGCAGTAAATTCAAAGAATATTAAAGAATTAGATACCACAATTTATGCAATAAAAAATAGGATACAAAAAATTAGTAATGCTTATTTGATAACCAGGACATACAAAGTTAGTAATACTTTTTGATATTATTCTCAAAGATAAACCATTTATGTTTTTTTGTTGTATTTTCAAAGAAATCTTATGATTTATTTATTTACTTATTTAAAATTTACTTTATTATCAATTAAAGTAAGAATTGTAAGCGATCGTTCTGGATCGTTTCGTATAATGATTCTATATATGGTTATTTATAACCAATGATAATCTAATCTTCTCAAGACAATGGCCATGTGCTTGCTCACGTTACGGATTAAATAGTAATTTGTTATACAATAAAGAAATCAAGGGGTATTTCAATAAGTAAAAAATAAGTGTAGTATATTTGTACAATTTACTATTAGTAGTTATATAAGTAACTTTAATTGTTAAAACTATTCTCTAAAAGCTTTTATTACTTTCTTAATAAGAGAAGCAGCATTTTTAACAAAATTTTGATTTCAAAATATATATATGTAACTTTATTGAAAATAGAAAAGGAAGTTTGTTCCTCACACAAATAAAAAATAATGAATAATAAAGTTCTGAGCCTGCCAGAAAAATATCACAAGACAAGAATATATCTATTGTACTATTTGTATTACTACACGATTTGCTGATCTTTGCTTTGTTGATATTTCCATTTTTGTAATGGTAAAAAGAATCGATCCCGCCGCAAGTTTCTACAATTAGAACCAACATTTCCAATTTTACTTCTTCTTGTTACCCCTTTGTTTCCTAATAATACTTACCTTACCCTTGTTTGTTGTAAAAGGTCTATGACGCTTATTTTTCTTAAAACTAACAATTTTAAATTTTCAAGTCAATAATTTTGAAGTTTGATGTTAAAAAAAATTTTTTTTTTTTCTTTTTTTTACTTACTACATGTAACAGGCGTTGCAGACTTTTCCAATTTCTAAGAATCTCCAAACTGGAGTTTTCTTAATAGTACAATTTGTGCATTTAACTTTTACACGGTTTGTAGTAGTAATATTAGGATTAACAGCAGGATTTGGATTATCATCTACAACTTTCAAAGGAAGGAAATTGGTTTTAATCATTGTGTCTTTTTTAAAAAAAGAGAAGAGAAATTTAATTTTTTCTAACTTACCACTCAGACTTTTAACATAAAATTGACCACAAATTCTCTCGAAATTATCGATTATAATCAAATAGCAACCAATTTCATGATGATCAACATCATTAATTAAAGTCGCTCTAGTTTCATAGGTATAATGATTATCTAACAAATTGGAACTTTCTCTAAGTTGTGTTGACGATGGTGATAAATAAGATTTGACATGAAATACATCAAAATGATCAAAAGGTTTCAATGCTAAAAGGGCGGTTAAGTAAGCAGGAAGAAAGAACTTAGTTTTATATACAACAATGATTTCATCACCAGCTTTTAATCCGTTCGATTCAATTGAAACTAAAATTGGAGTAGGAAGAAACGTGATCATCTAATTACGTAATTCTATAATGATAATAATGACAAATAAAATTCATTAGAAAATTTCACAATAAAAAAACTTTTTAAAATCGATAGAAAATTAGAAGGTATAAAGAGAGGAATCACATCAATTTATCAAATGAGAAAGTAGCGAATGCTTCTTTTATTTGAAATTATAACGTATTACCGAAATTTTAATGAAATTACTGAACTAGAAATTTATGGAAGTGTGTCATTTTTTAAATCATTTTCTTACCGTACGTAAAATGATAATTTGAAAATTTAATGAATTTAATAAACTAAATAAATATGTAATAAATTAAATAAATTAATAAATTGATTAAATAACGAATCTAATGCAATATATATCTCTTCTTACTTTTAAATAAATAAATAAATATATATATATATATATGTATAATCGAAGAAAAATGTAAGTGAAAAAAAATTCAAAGTCCATTCGTTTTATAATATAGCGCGAAATAATTATTGTGGTCACTTGACCGCTGTCTTATGACCCAATTTTCCGATTTTGTCCGTTTACTTATCATAATAAAGCGTTCTTTCACGATATGGTGTAACTTAATGCGTTTTCTATAAGGAAAATTAAAAATAAAAAAAAAAAAGAATCAAAATTTTACTTCATGTGACTCTCTCTAGTTATTAGGTTTCACATAGTGTGCATAATTGTTTATCTTTTTCAACCTTCAACTCATGTTTTATGGACAATGTTACACCGGAAGTACCAATGATGTTACTACGGTGGAGAAAAAAAAATTAGAATTATGAATCAATTATTAGGACTTTATAATATCATAACTGAGATTAATTAATAAAATTTCTCGTGATCATTTTTTTTTTTTTTTTGAAAGATTCTTATACATTTATGTAATAGTGATTTCTTTAAATTATCATATAGTTCAACAACAAGCTGATCAAAATAATTCTAACTTAATGTAGATTAATTTATAAGCCTTTATTTGTTTTTGATAGAATTTTACATTTATGTTAATAAAATGTCTCACAATATTTTCAAAGTAAAGGCACGGACAACGGACGATCAGACTGCACAAAGGCAGAATTTTGTTGATACAAAATTTTAATATAATTTATATGATGGAATTATGGAAAATGTTACATAATATTAAAAGAAGAGAAACTTTTAATTTTAAACTTATTTTTGTATACACTTTTATGTACTGGAAATAGGCAAAGTGATAAATGATATTATGCTACCAATTTCATAATCTCGTTGGAAATTACATTGAAAGCCAAATAATAGTTTGTTTTGCCAAAATTAAATTTATCAGCCAAAATTTCAAATTACAATTTTTTTTTTGTAACATAAGGAAACTAAAGGAAAGTAATAACTTATGAAAAAGGAATCAAAGTTGCAATTCGTTAAATACGGTTAAATATTTAGTGTATGACGTTGATTCAAGTTGCTGGTGCTGCAGTAACTGTATACACATTTTCTTTTCAAGTACAATTGCAGAAGTATTCAATAAAAAGATAAATTTCAATCTATTTTTTTAATGAAAATCTTAATATATATTTTATCAAGCATTTGGGAACAGGGTAATATATACTGACTCGTAAAATATATATAATCTTTGTATTTATAATTTATTAAATTGGAGACGAAAGTAAGTTAAAATGTATTGTTTTAATAAAATTGCGGCATAAAATGATGCGAGTATCACAATTAGTATGTGTATATATTTACACCATAAAGACGAAAGGAATCTAGACCGCCGGTATGTGCTACTTGTCACATTTCAATAGTTTCACTCCCTGCAAAAAAGGTATAACAAAATTTATTAATAGCATTAAAAACATTTCCTATTAAAAATCCTAAATCTTTTAGCTCAAATATACTGTATACTTTTAAAAAATTTTATTGTTACATGGAAGAAACAGCAAGAATTTGAAATATTTTTGTAGAATTAGAATGGAACATAGATAAGACGAATTTTAATTATAAAAATTTATAGTTATAATATGATAAATAGTAATCTTCTTAGTTAAATACCGTAGTGTAGTTTATGATGTTCTTTACTACTTCATGGAAATTAATTACGAACTTATGCGTTCAAGCTACTGGTTTTGAATCACTTGTATCACCATATCGAAGCCGACTTCAATTCATGTGGTATTTTTGATGCTCTGGCCAATTAAAAATACAGAGAAAGTTGTATCGTTCATATTTATATTGTAGTTAGCAGAAAAATAATTAGCCGCACCGTGATCCGGACCCGGCTCAGGCGTAGATCGTCGTGGAATTCCAGGGGATTTTCTGCGATTAAACCGGGTCCGGATCAGGACTAACATTATACATTTTATAACTATTTTATAGTATAATCAAATGGTTTTTTTTTCTTTCTCGATTTATTTAAGACTTCAACATTTTCTCTTTATATCTCTTTACTTCCATCCCTACAACATTTTCTTTTCGATTGCAATAAAGTTATAATAAAGAAGTTAAAGAAGTTGTCTGTTACATTAGGACCGACTATTGGTAAGTTAGACGACTTAGACGTCTATCTTTAGAATAAATATAATTGTTCGGAGCGTTCTACTGTACTGCATCAGACGACTCAGACGTCTCAGACGATTCTGTGTTAACCCATGCAATTTTCCTCCCTTTCATCCCCTGACGTCGCCTCACATTTTAGCCCTTGCTTTTTCCTTTTTGGATTATACCTTGTAACTGATGAGTTTGTAACACTGCTTATTTTATTTTATATTTTATATGTGCAATTTTTCGTAATCAATTTTTTATTGTTTGTTATGTTTTAAACTGAGTAAATAAACGCGACGGGCTTTAACGTTTTCCGTTTTCCTAGTTTATTTGTATTATGCGAATTATAAAACGTTTGAAAAGCGATAATAGAAGAACTGCTCAACAGCAGTGTTGTTAAATTGCCATGTCATTTGCCCATTTTTCAAATGTCATTTGTCATTTCTCATACTTTTTCATAGTAAAATCGGTCATTTAATATCATTTGATGTCATTTCAATGTCATTTCAGTGTCATTTGACAACACTTCTCAACAGCATATTACTTATTTTTAATGCCTTGTATTAGTTTCTGACCAAGTATGTTGCACATGTCTTCATTATTCTGTTCTGAATTATAAATTTAGCCAGAATTAAATAAAATAAATATTGTCTGGGTAATCAATGTAAAATTTTTTGTACCGATAAATTTATCTTTTAAAACGAAACCGACGAACATTTTCAAGTAATAAAATTTCGATCTTGATGCCTTAAATTATAAAAATTGGCTGAAGAAAACATATGTAAATAAAAATTCCTTAAAGTGAATCAAATTCCGAAAGTGAAGATAACTACGAAATGAAACTCGAAATCTATATACAGAATGGTAATGATAAAAAGTGAATTATTCCACAATAGTGGTGCAAACTTTTTGATGGTAATGCGTGCGGTCTCAAGTACGTAACATCATGGACGTAGCTTCATACAGTTATGACGTATGACGTAATTAAAAAAACAATTAAATAATTAAAACAAATAAAAATATTAAATTAAATTAGCATATTTTATATTATTTATATATAATTAAAATAATAACGATTACTGCTTCTTATAATTAACAGCATTATTTAACATTTTTCTATATGCATTACTAGTATATAAACGAAGAATATAAAATCATAACAATTTATTCTAATCTAGTATTTAAAACATCATCAACTATGTTAATAGGATTAAATTCTATATTATTATTAACTTCTTTACTAGTATTAGGTATATTTAGTTCTTCACGCAATCCATTTTCTCCATCCTGAAAGATTGGATTTGTAGATCTATAAAATCTTCTAAAATTAAAGTAGTAGTATATGGCGATATGTTAAATTTCGAAACTTAAAATAAAAAAATAAAAAATAAAAGTTTATATTATTTATATTAGGTATATTAAGTTTAAAAGTAGTTACACCAAAAGTTCATTATATAAAGCCTAAAAAATTTAAAAGTAATTACGTCAAAAGTTTATGTAAGTCTAAAAATCTAAAAAAATCCATATGCCAAAAGTCATTTATGGCGTCATACGACAATTGTGATGCTACTGACGGGACGTTGAAAAAAATGACGTAACTACCTAAGGTTCACCACGATTCCACAATAGAAAGTTTTATTTAAAGACAAATTATTATTTGTAGTTATTCATTAAATTTTTATTTTCTCTTTGTTATGTATTTTTATAACGATTATAATATAATAATTAAGTGTTATTTATTTTGATTCAGCGACTTTAGTTGGCAATCATTTAATTTCCGCGGCTCAGCGCCACAGCCAGCTGGCATTTTTATAGCGGCTTTCACCACTACATGAACCATTTTCATACCTTGCATTTAATTTGCTGTGATGCTTGACTTGTCTCTTTTTATTGTATTATTCGTTTACTTTTTCTATAGGTAATATTGTTTTGACATTGAAGTTTTATACCATTATAATCATTTTGTTTTTTTTTGGCTCTTATATATTGCATTGATAAAACTAGGAAAGCGAAAAAAAGATAAAACTAATTACTAAATTTTGCGATCCATTGGCTGACGATCACGTTGCGGATAGAGAAACTCGTGCTGATCACAAGTTTTCATTGAGATGAATGAGTTATTGTGAAACTATACTTTATAAACGGTAAATGAAATTGAGAGATATGTCGAAATAGATTCTGAAGCGGAACTTGGGAATTAGTTAAGACGATTAACCGGTTAAGAGATCGATCATAAATTAGGTTTTAATTCCGGCCGGAATTAAATTAACTTTTAAAATGCATTTATACAAATGAAGCAGAGATATGTGTTGTATTAATAACAACTCCCTAAGCTGCTCGATTTCTTCGATTAATTTTTTCTTAAATACGTAGATTTATAAATTAAATGTTAATGTTGTTACGTTTTTATAATAATTTAAAGTCGCTATTTATTTTAAACATTGTACTTTAAAAGATTTAAAATTAATTACGTTTAAGAAAATAAACGAATATGTGTGTGTATTATATACTCGATCGCTTGCTAAGTACCATTAAAGAAATCAGAATAATTCCCGTAAAGCTTCTTTAATATTGGGTTAGCAATTTCTTCGAGCGAATTTAATTTAAATTCATATTCTTCTTTTCCTGATTCTTGGTTTTCATCAAGCCACGTAATTGAATCTTGTGCAACATTCTCAAGTTCGTTTTTTAAATTTTCGATATACTAAATTAAGTTCATTTTTTTATTATACTATTATAAACTCGAATACTTAACAATAAACAGAGAAAACTTACTTGTATCACATTACGTAAATCGTACGTATAGCTTTCTAGGGCGTTTCGTGCTTGTGCTTTTTGCATAACTTCTTCTCTATCTTCACGATATTTTTCAGTTTCAGTAACTGTTATTACAAAAAATAAAATATTATAATTGATATTATTTAATTATTATAAATGATTAAATATTAAAGATTGATTACAAACTCATGCGTTCGATTTCTCCCTTTAAAAGCCCGCCAATGATGGTAATCTCATTCATTCTACCTGTTGTTTTATCAACAGCAGAAACCTATAGTTGATTATAAATTAGCAAGGTTAAAACGCTAATGAAATCTTTACATTAAATACTGTACATACTTTTAATTTTCCATTTAAATCAATATCGAAAGTGACTGCAATTTGTGGAACACCTTTTGGTGCTGGACGAATTCCAGTTAATTCAAACTCTCCAAGAAAATTGTTTTCTATTGATCGAGTATTGTTGCCTTCATATACTTGAATTGATATACTAGATTGATTATTGAAATCTGTAGATATAATTTTAAGTTTCTTGGTAGGCATTGAGGTATTACGTTTAATAAACGGCAACATGTCACCATTAAGGGTTTCGATACCCAGTGATAAAGAACTGACTTCAATTAAGCATAAATCTTGAATCTTTTCAGAAAAATTGCCAGTTAAATGAAAAGCTCTCACTGCAGCACCATAAGCGGCTGCTTCATCAGAATTGATAGATCTACTTAATTCTTTGCCATTAAAAAATTCAGATATCATCCTTTGAATTTTGGGAATACGTGTTGAACCACCAATTAAGACAATTTCATCAACATTACTTTTGTAGATATCACTATCTCGAAGTACTCTATCAATAGGTTCTATTATAGATTGGAACAAATCTTGATTCAATTCTTCAAATCTTGTACGTGTTATGGAAGTACGAAAGTCAATATTTTCAAAAAGAGAATCGATTTCGATGAAAGCTTGTGACGACGCCGAAAGAATACGTTTCGCACGTTCACACTGCTCTCTCAAACGACAAAGAGCACGTATATTAGAAGTAAGATCTCTATTGAATTTGCTTTTAAACTCTTGTACGAAATGATTCATTAGACGATTATCAAAATCTTCACCACCAAGATGAATATTACCAGCAACTGCTATTTCTTCCAAAATTCCCTCTTCAATAGCCAAGAGAGAGACGCTACAAGTACCACCACCCAAATCAAATACAAGAACATTTCGTAATCCAACAATTCTCCTGTCCAATCCATAAGCGATAGCAGCAGCAGACGGTGAATTAATGGTTTGCAATACATGCAAACCTGCAATCAAACCTGCATCCTCTATAGCTTTACGTTGAAATCTATTAAAGTAAGTTGGTACTGTAATTACGACATCTCTAACTGATGTGCCAAGAAAATCTTCTGCAATGTCTTTCATTTTTAACAATATCAGAGATGTAATTTCTTCCGGTGAGAAATCTTTCTTTTCGCCTTTGTATCTGGCACGGACATATGGTTTTCCATTATTTTCGATGACTCTGAACGGCCAGTACTAAATTTGATTAATATTTTGTACCAGAAAAAACTTTCTTAATACTTTTCCAACATAAATAAATAACTTTTCAAAGAGTAATTTTTGATAGAACGTACGATACCTTCATATCATTTTGGAAGTCAGAGTCGTAGAAATTACGACCGATGAGACGATGAACGTCAAAAACGGTATTATAAGGGTTTGTGGCAACTTGATTTTTGGCTACTTCACCAACAAGAATTTCTGTATCGGTGAAAGAGACATATGATGGTGTTGTACGATTACCTTGTTCATTAGAAATAATTTCTATTCTATCATTTTTCCAAACACCGACACAAGAATACGTGGTTCCCAAATCGATACCAACTATAATTAACATTATTTAAATTAATAATAAATTTAAAAACATCTATATCAAATTAGTGCATATACTATATATATATACCAGTATTTACTTCTATATCCATTTTTTATTAAATTGTAAAGAAATATGTTTTCGAAATAAAAAAAATAAAAGGAATATGAAATTTTATCTTTTTGATTTTTTATTCTTACTATTTAAATATGGTTTCAGTAAAGATCAACAGAACACAATATATTCTTTTGGATAAATGGGGATCAAGTTTTAATCCAATTTGATTATTAAATGACCAATTCTAACTTTATTAGTATTAATTTACAAAAAATTGATGATATAGCATATGAACTACAATTAGCAACGGGAGTCAACATACATTACGATTTCTAAAATAATCATCGCCAAATAGGCCACTGCATACAGTACACGCGGTCTTATTGATTTTTAAAATTGAATAGTACCCGTGGGTACCGGGGATATACTATGTGGGGATATTGTATATGCGGGCCTTACGTAGTTCTTATATACTAGTATTCCGGTAAAAATAATTGTAAATAGATTACGATCAGTACTAATATTAATAGTTAAAGATTGTTAAATAATTGCATCAAAAATTACATATTGTGGTTTACAATTTTTAAATCACTATTAAGATCTTTTTTAGTACCGTACGACTTAATCACGGTACTGTAACTACTGTATTCAGTGGCCAATGGTATTTTCTCCCAGTAACTTTTGTTCCTCCCTACCCTAACAGGAAACAAACTAATGAACCAACCCTTTTTGGATTTAGGTCGTCCGGCATTTATTCTTATTTAGTTATAAAAGAGCGTATTAATGAACGCATTAAAAATTTTTAAAATTATAATTTTAAAATTAACTATAATATTTGAATATACAGTAACGAATAATACTGAATTCCATAGATTGATTGCGTTAAATATAGAAGGGATGCTAAAATTGATGAAGGTCAAGTACTGAAATTGGTTTGGTCGCTTCAAAGAATTTTTTAATGGCTCTAAATAATTTATGACAAATTAGGCGTCAAAGCTATTAAATAGATGATAAAAATTAATTTAAAATACAAATTCAAATGCATAAGAAATAATCAATTATATGATTTTTGATATTTTTAAAGTTAAAATACTACCCTTGAAAAATATAAAAGCTTACGTGAAAGTAAACTTATTAGTAACTAGATAGAACGTTACAGATTTCTGAAATTAATTTATGAATACATTTGAAGAAAGTGGGAGTATTGTATATATATATTAATAAGTTAGATGGGACCAACAACGTAATAAAAAATTTTTTATACTGACAATAATCGTGACAAAATGTCATGGTTTTTTTTAAAACCTAAAATTTTACTCTTATTATTCACGTAACTTTGGTTCAACATCACATGATTCACATATAAAAGGTAAATCTATCGAACTTTATTTGAGAACATATTTGGTTATATTATTACGAATCCTTCCAGTAGTTACATTCCATCCTTTATATTTTAATAAGTCGATCTTGAGAATATATTGGTTAATATATTATTACAAATCCATTCAGTAGTTACATTCCATCCTTTATATTTGTCGCCTCCTGTTGTAACATAGTTCTGAAAACGAAAATTAATAAAATATTATTTATGTCCGGAACAACGTAATATAGATGGACTGGTAGATTTCCTCCCAGATGATTTACTAAGACTGTTTACCTACATGACATAAACATATTCAGTATATAAACTGTGGATATAAAACTAAAGACCAATAGTTATAAATGATGAATTCTATTATGCTGAGGACTTCATTTACGATTATCGCGTCGTCAAAAGACACAATTATTGAAGTTTTGCAGGAGGTGCGTCAAATTTAAAAAGATATGCGCAAAAAAAATTATTATGTTTTTTACATATAAAAGTAAGATTATAAGCGCATAAAAAAAAAATTATTTATTACTAAAATGTTTTAAATGTTATTGTACTTACATGCCCTACCCGCTAAAAATGCTTTACATTCCCGCCTAATTGTTGTACGCTTACATGTCTACATGTCCTACCCGCTAAAAATGCTTATTTACAATTTATTAAAGAAAATTATAATTCACTCTTGAGGATTTATTACATTCCCGCCTAATTGTTGTACGCTTTTTCAAAGTCAAAGCTAGAATTCTCTATGAAAAATTGCACATATAGGGCAAATTTTGCGCGTATTGGAAAATTTTCGCGCGTGTAGGGCTACTTTGATCGATCTACAAAATTTTTATTTACTTAGCATCTATGAAAGCTTGACACGTGGATAACGATATGATAAAGTTCGTAAGACGTAAGATATCTAAGCAAGATAAAAAAAACGTTAGTATGGTTGGACCATACTCTATAAAAAAAAGCTTCCAGAAAAGTGTTAGTATCATGCTACCAAGTGGTTCACCTAGAACTTGCACAATAAAGACAATTCTTTTTTTTGTTTTTTTTTGTTTTTGTTTTTATTTTTATTTTTTGTTTTATTTTTTTTAAATTTTGTTTTATTTTTTATTTTTTTTTTCATTATTTTTTTTTCATTTTTTTGCTAATTTTTTTTTTTTTTATTTTTTGCTAATTTTTTATTTATTTTTTCTTTTTTTTTTTTATTTTTTTTTATTTTTATTTTTAAATCCCCACCATGTAGTCCTTTGGTAAACCACTGATAATTCATGACACCAACTATAAGAGCCAGGTACATAGGCTAATCCTGCTCCAGGAAAGCCAGTTTCTCTTATATTCTTACTCTTCAGCTTTTTTTATCTGTAAACCAGTATCATTAAAACTATGCTAAGCAGGGAGCGCAAGCTTACCTTAATATAGTTTACCGCAAATCACGAATCTTTGTAGAAAATTCTTGGTTATTTATTTATTTTTGGAGTTGTTGCTACTTCTTGAAAGTGCCTTCGACGCTACAACAGTGGTACCAACTATTGCACTGAGCGCTACAGCCACTCCAGCCTTATGCTGGAGGAACGGCTTTCACAACTCAACCTTTGTAAAGTCAACCTTCCAAAGTTTTAGACTGCCAGGAAGTATAAACAACGTAAGGAAAATTTATATTAAATATACTACGGTATTTCCCATGGAAAGACTGAGGTGTATTTTTTAGGTTGAAGTTTCGTAAGTAATAATATTTTTGTAAAATAATAAAATGTTAGAAAGAAGTTTGAAGTTGAAAAGAGGTTTGGAAAAAGTTTGAGGGTATATATATACTTGTAAAAACCTCTTTCGATACACTATGACTAATAACACTTGTTATGATGATATTACATCATTTTCTCTATTACATAAACTTTTGTTTAACTGATTATCATAAAATCATTTTTACGTGACAAATTATTAGGTGTATACAAAGCATGACTCATAATTTAAGTAAAATATCTTCTGATACTATAAACTGGCTTTTCATTATTGCAACATCTAGATGATTCTTTAAACGTGACAATAATGGATGATCTTTTAAGCGAAGCATCTTATGAAGTATACGATAACAAATGATTAGTTTCTAGAAATCTGGACATATCACGGCTCGGGCAAACACGATAAAAAATATTTCAAATTACAATGGTAATTATATCATTAAATTTTATTTGTGTTTCAAAAAAGTTTTTAATTTTTATGAATAATGAATAAAAAATAGTTGATATTAATAACGCAGTATGAATTACTTTTTTTTGATAACTGATAACTGATAACAAAAACATAACAGAATAACAATTTGTGGCGCAAGACCGATGATCAAGACAAAAAGTATCCAGCTATCCCTTTTTTGTAATAGTCTTGACCATCAGTTTTATTAAACGCATGAAAATTCAATAACAATTTTTTTACTTTTCACGCTTAAGAGAGAATAATTACCTTTTAGAATAAAAACATGATTTAAAAATAGGTTTCCCTCATTTATCAGTTGAAAAAAAATTTTTTTTTCATGGCTCGATTGGCTCGTCATCAAAACCATTGCTTTGTTAGTTAAAAATGTTTTTGTTTAAAAAAAAATAAATAAATGACAATAATAATATAAAAATTCTGTTGGTTTTATGTTAATAGAAAGTTTTTTGCGATGTGTTTTTGTTTATAATTTTGCGATAACTGTTAAATTATAAATGCTCCCCTTTTTGAGTTTGCATTTTTCACAAAAAAAAAAAATCATATTTTTTTCCTCCTTTTTTAATAATAATAATAAATACGATAATATATCATCTTTAAATTCTTCACAAAAAATGGAAAAACAAATGCAAAATTCCATCAGATACTCAACCGTTTCGACTACTATGGAAATTCCCAAAAATGTTGAAATTGGTAAATTGATTGGTCGTAAAGGACGTAACCTAAAACCCATTGAAGAAGGGACTGGTACACGCATTTACATTAATACAGAAGTAAATCCTCGACAAATTGAAATTAAAATAAATAATGATGATAAAGATAGAGATGAAAATATTTCGCCTTGGGATTGGATCAATAAAGCAATATGTCAAATAGACAAGTTACTAGAAGATATTGATATAAGAAGTCGAAGAAACGATATAGAAAAAGAAGGAAAAAATAGTAGAATTTCAGATAATGGTAATCATCAACATGCAACGCCAAGAAATCATAAAGATACCGATCCGAAAGAAAAAAGAAAAAGGTTTACGACCAAAACACGACAAGTATGATATTTCAAAAATATTAATATTTATTTAATATATATATATATTTTTTTTAATATAAAATATTCTTCTATTTAGTCATTAAATAAGGAAAACATTAGGAGAAATGTTCATGTAAATCACACGAAATCAATCTAATTAATCCTTTTTTTTCTTTTTTTCATTATATTTCATTATTTATTATAGATTATGCATTTCTTTTAGTAGTTTATAGTTTATAGAAAATGAATGAACTTTATTCAGTTATTATATGTATAACAAAATTTTTTTTCTTCTCGTAAATAGAAATATATTTTTTTAATAAAGAATTCCTAAATTCTCTACGAAACGTGTAATACAAAATATACGTATCTTTTTCTGAAATTACTAGTCTCATAATTTGAACTTTTTTCTTTAAATATTGATGCTTGGAAGCTGATCTTTGTCCTCTACAATTTGAATTCCTGGCAATTGACAGAATCGCTGTATAATTATTCGGATCATTATAATAAAAAGATCCAGTACCAGCACTAGATTCTTTAAGTAGCTCTAAGTTTCTAAAATTTCTTGATCATTTGTTGACGTTAAAATCTACATTTGAAAGAAAGATATATATAAGAAAATTAAATTAAAAAAAAAATCTTAAATTTATTATAATTACATTATTATTATACCATCATACATAAACTCATTGGCAATTGTAACCTAATCCCGTATGAGGACTATCAACACCCTGAAATTTTTTCTCCATTAAACCAAAACTTATTCCAATTACTTAAAATAAAATATCATCGTTATCAATAAAACCAAAATAAAATAAACTTAATAAACTTGGTAAATTTGCATCATCCATTAAATTTGATGAACATAACCATTAATTTCATAAGCAATAATATTCAAAATGTTTAATTATAGCATTTGAATAAATAGTATCACGTATTATTTGAGATAAATTTTTAGCTTTCTTGGTAATATCAGGTGATGTGAAATCAATCATCTCTATAAAGTTGAGAAAGTTCAACTGAAGCAAAAGCGCTGGATGAAATCAAGAAAGGGAATGTTGTACTATCGTCTGAAGACCTGAAAATTATTTAACAATTATGAATTAATAATAATTATAATAATAATAGAAATATAATATCATTCTAACAGGCACTCCTATAATAATAATAAAATATGGATAGACTTTTTATAATTAAAATAATATATGATTTAAAATGTACATATTAAATTTCTCACCAATTCCTTCACCAAGGTTTCAGTGGTAGTTCTTGTTAATCAAGAAAATTTATAAGCTTCATTTCTAAATTCTTGCATTGTACCTAATTGTTGTTTTTCCATTATATCTAAAATCGAATTAACGGCTTCTAACCAAATTTATTTGTTAAATATATATCATCTTTAGTATTACTCCAATAATTATGAGATAATTTTAAAAAAGAAACTAAAGAGTCAAGCTCCCACTTCTTTCCCATGTAGCACTTGAAGGAAGTGTTTGACCATGGATTTTTTGGATGAGGAAGTCTAGATTTAGTTGATGCATAATATGCATTCGCATATGAATCCTATAGAAAAAATTTATTAAAAGATGTGATTTTTTTTTTTAAAAAAAAAAATACCATTGAAAAATAAAACCTACACTGATAATTAATTCTGCTTGCACATGTATAACACCTAAATAAGATTCTTCAATTTATCGTCATATTTTGCGTAAGGGATATAAGAGATAATTTGATTTGTTGAATCTCTTAGCCACTGCACTGCACTAAGAAAAAAAAAATTATTTATGTATTTAGTCGTCTTTAACCAAAACAAACTATCCTTTTGAAGAAAAAAAAATTGAATAAATTACGGAATTTCAATAACAATGAACGTTCTTGGACAATCTTCACCAACATTAAAACCAAGCTACTGTCGTATCTGCGTATGGAAAATATTACATTAAATCTTAAATTATTATCATCATCGAATCAGAAAATTATTTATCTACCTAAGGTATTTTGGGCAACAATTTTCAAATAATCTTGTCAAATCTTTATCTTTCATATTCGAAGTTATATCTTTTATTACTTTCTTGATGATAGGATTAACAAAATTTTCGTTCGGATTCTTTTGATTGACATTCAGTTTTGGTAGTAGTTTCTTCATTATTTACGGATGATTTAAACGTAAACATAATTTTAGAGAATACTTTTGAGAATATATATTGATAAATTGTTTGTGTCACAAATAAAAGACGTAAATATCGGCAGATTCTGATAATCGGTGTGATCAGAAAAATGGAAGTCCCTTATGGTAGGAGCGTAGGGCCGTAGTTCTTAATCATTGATTGTCTATGAGAAGGTACAAGATTTTCACGTAAATTAAAAAAATAAATTTGCAAAATTAATTACTTTCTTGAGTTTCTTCAATAATGATCCTAAATGATCAATGATTTAACGTGACTATTGCTACTATTCCTATCAAAGTACAATATATTCCTTTATCTCTTAAACAAATTCTTTTCTTTATTTTTATTATATTAGTTTGGGTAAAATGAAATCTAATATATTTTATTGAATATATACTTTAATTAATTGTTATTGATTTTTCACTTTAAAGCATTAAACGATTTAAACGTCAATTATTGCATCAATAAATAAGTATGTGCGCATTAGTGTAAACTTAACGCCAACAATATTTTCCTAGAATATATTACTAATTTTGTATTTTTTCTTAAATTACTTTCATTGATTATTAATAATTAAAACAATGATTAAAATAATATATTAGATATTATATTCTATAAAAAGTTGATATATCGATATTTAATATAGTTAGTTTGCACAATTTCAAAAAAAAAAAAAAAAGAAAAATATAAATTTTTTTTAAACTTTTTAAACCTAAACCTATACATTCTTAACATTTAGTATTTACTAATTCTTCAGAATGATAATGGTAATAAATTTATCCAAAAAAAAAAAAAAATAATAATTGCTTAATATGTTCTTCTTCTGTTATCTCTATTGTCTATATTGTCTCTTTCTTCTCTCACGTTGATAAACTTTTCGAGTAATTTTCTTTTATGTTCATATTCATACTTTTCTGCTTCTTGATTATTCTCAAGCCATGCAATTGATTCTTGGATTGCTTCTTTGAGTATACTCTAAATTTGTTTTTTTGATAGGATTGGAAATTTTTATTAAAACTTCGATTCAACAGATAAGAAGATGCGCAATACGATCCCGAAGGACGATAGACTCTAAAAAAACTTACTTGATATGAGTTACGTAAACTGTATACATAACTTTCAAACTCATTTCGTGCTTGCATCCTTTGTGCAACTTGATTTCTTTCTGTATGATATTTCTTAGCTTCAGCACCTGTTAAGAAGAAATTATTTATTTCATAAACGATCCGACCATTAAAAATGTAAGATTAAAAACTTAGTTACAAACCCATGCGTTTAATTACTTTACTCTTCGGTCGGTTATAAATATTATTGATAGTTGTCATATTTGATCCACCAGTTATTAAATCAACAGCAGTAACCTAAAGTTAATTAAAAAAAAAGAAAAAATATTAATGTAAATTGTTTACTAACAAAACTTATTACATTATTTTTTATATATAAATAATTAACCTTTAATATTCTATTTGAATCAATATCGAAGGTAACCTCAATTTGTGGAACATCAGAAGAAATTTTAGTTAATTTAAATTTTCCAATCAATCGATTATTTCTTGTTAGGTTATTCTCCCCTTCATATATTGAAATTATTATATAATTTTGATTGAAGTGACTTGTAGATATAATTTCGGATTTCTTAGTAGGTATAGTTGTATTACTATCAATAAATGGGATCATGGTACCACAGATTTCGATACCAAGAGAAAAAGCAGCAACATCAAGTAACATTAAATTTTGAATCTTTTCAGAATTATAATTAGATAAGATAGCAGCTTGTATTGTAGCACCATAAGCGATAGCTTCATCAGAATTAATAGATTTATTTAATTCTTTACCATTAAAGAATTCGGATATCATCTTTTGAATTTTGGGAATACGTGTTGAACCACCAACTAAAATGATTTCATGAACTTGACATTTGTAGATTTTACCATCTTGAAGTACTTTCTCAATAGGTTCCATTATAAATTGGAATAACTTTTGATTCAATTCTTCAAACTTAGCACGTGTCAAAGTAGTATCAAAGTCAATATTTTCAAAAAGAGAATCAATTCCAATAAAAGCTTTTGTTGATGCTGAAAGTGTACGTTTTGCGCGTTCGCATTGTTCCCTCAGACGACAGATAGTACGAACGTTGGTAGTAAGATCTTTATTAAATCTATTTTTGAATTCTTGTACGAAATGATTCACGATTCGATTATCGAAATCTTTACCACCAAGATGATTGTTACCAGCAACTGCTTTTACTTCTAAAATTCCTTCTTCAATGGTTAAAAGAGAGACGTCGCAACTACCATCACCTAAATCAAAGACGAGAATATTTCGTTCTCTAGTGAATCTTTTATCCAACCCATAAGCGATAGCAGCAGCAGATGGTGAATTAATGATACGAAGTATTTTCAAACCGGCAATCAAACCAGCATCATATAAAGCTTTATAATGAGAATAATTAGAGAAAGCTGGTGTTGTGATTACAGCATTTTTAACTTGAGTGTTAAGAAAAGCTTCTGCGATTTCTTTCATCTTTTTCAATATCATGGATAAAATTTCTTTAGGTTCAAAATCTTTATCTTCACCTTTGTATTTAACACGGATATATAGCTTTTTATTCTTTTTGACAACATTGAACGGCCAATGCTAATTATTATGATACATAAAAAAAAAAAAATTACATCAAAATGTTAGAGATTGCATTATTAATTGAAAAAAGATTTAATATCGATTTACAATATACCATCATATGAAGATCAAAATCGTTGATATCATGACCAATAAGGCGGATAATATCAAAAACGGTATTATGAGGATTTATAGAAACTTGATTTTTTGCCGCGTCGCCAATAAGAATTTCTTTATCAGTGAAAGCGACGTATGATGGAGTTGTACGATTACCATAATCATTGGAAATAATCTCAACTCTATCATTTTTCCAAATACCGACACAAGAATATGTATTCCCTAAATCAATACCGACTAAGAAGTTTTTTAAGAGGAAAAAAAAAATTATCAATCTTTTTTTTAAAAAAAAAGAAAAGAAAGAAATGGTTTATTAGATGCTCAAACTTTAATTATTGCACTAACCAGTTGCCATTATTACTGTAAGAAGATAATTATAAAATCAAAATTTTCTTTTCCTCTCTTTATTTTACCTTCGTTGTAAAGAAGAAAAACAAAAATTTTTGGAAATAACACATCGCAATTTTAAAAGAAATGGAAGTACGACACACATTTTTTCCAAGTTCGTTTTCCAATTTTAGTCAAATTAGATGCTGTCTAGCTAAACGCGTCTAAACCGTAATAGGTGTCTAACACATTCTAAATAGTTCAAATAATCCAAATAACCCAATCGTTATTACCATAGTTTTTATTAAATTAATAATCTCGCGAATGACTGAACATTAAGATTTCAAACGCGAAAAAATCTTTGTAACTTAGCCCGTGATCAATGAGTGTCGGCCGGAGAAAATCAAATTTTCGGTTTTCCCGCGATTCAACGATCTTTGATATAATTGATCTGATTTTATGAAAAATTTTTCTCGTACATAAAATATGTGAAAGTTATAACTCTTCGCTGATAATAAAAAAAAATTCAATTAAACTTTTGAATACAGTAACTTACCACATCCATTATCCAAAAGAATCCGTTCAAATTTACCTTGCAAAACCCTCGATTTGCGTCAGATGATGCCGGCCAACATTATTGGCTTGATATTGTCCAATATTATAATGCCAAGTTGATGCACATCAGCTGTCAGATGAGACAGTTAACGCACAACATATACTTTTTGTTTATGGATAATAAATTTTATTAAACATATTCTGGACGCGAAAATAGAATTTGTTTTATAAAATTGGGGTTCGATAATTATTTGCACAAGATTAAAAGATGTGTTTATTTAAAAGACGAAGCATGATTATAAAAAAATACCAGCTTTCTTTACATAAAGACTGAATTATAAAAAAAAAAAAAATAGCTATCTTTAATAGTTGATTAACTAAATAATATACTTATTTAAACTAATCCATAAAGAATATCGATAAATAAAAAAATAAAATAAAAATAAAAATAAAATAAATTGATAAGATATAATTATATATTCTATTAGTTTGCAATCGAAAATCTTTAAAAAAGAGGCACCATTTTAAGTGGCATGTTAAAATCGTTGAATGAAACTTTTGGTTCCATTAAAATTTTTGGTTCCATTAAAACTTTTGGTTCCATTAAAATTTTTGGTTCCGTTAAAATTTTTGGCTCCATTAAAACTTTTGGTTCCGTTATGGGTAGCGTTGGTTGATCAGATATTAAATTATCGGAAGGCGGTTTAGTAATTTTTCGTTTTTCGATCATACGTAATTGTCTTTTAGCTCTTCTTTCATCACTTTTTTTTTTGGAATTCCAAAAATTTCTGACCTTGTTTTCGGATCTTAACAATCCGTAATTTTTCTTTAATGAGGCTACGACATGTTTCCAACTTATTTTTCCGTCTTTCATTCTATTCTTATTCGCTTCAATGATTACAAGATTTTTTTCATCATCAGTTAAAGGTTCGAGGCATACTAAAATGGGTAAAATGGGGGAAATACGTAATATTATTTTATTAATTTATATAATGCAGTATTTTTTAAAAAATCAAACTTTTAAAAAGGATTTACATACAATGCGGGTTGATATAATTGTGCCAACTGTAATATTTTTTAGGGAAAAAAGGAAATAGTTAGTACTTTTTTATACTTACTTATTGATTTATATATGAATACATAATATGTAATTAACTTACCAATTAGACAATTGGTTTGGCTTATATTTCGGGATCATTTTGCTTATCAAGACAAACTTATTATGTTTGTCTTTATATAAATCCATATATTCTCTTATGAGGACATTACTCTACAAGAATAATAAACAATAGATAAGTATTATACTCTTGTTAAGTAATATATAATATAAATGTATTTACCGCTTCATCGAATAAAGACATTTTATTATAGTAAATATAATAAAAGAAAAAAAAGTATTATGAAATTTTTTTTTCGTGATTACGAAAAAAAGATAAAAAAATTGATTTTTTTTTTTTTGAAAAAAAAAGAGAGTTAAATGGGTTTAATGAGTTTAATGGGTTGAACGATTCAAGAATTTAATGTAAAAAAAATGCTCTCTTTTTTTTTTAAAAAAAAAGGAGTTTTTGAATTTTTCTTTCGCGGATGACCTCGTATTTATTAGAATGATGACGACAACGGTTTCTTGTGTGCAACCATTTTCGGAGTTTCTAAATAACAAAGAAATTTGAATATAAAAGATTAGTTAAAAATCTATGAAAGATTTCTTAATATATTAACTTTTTTTTTTTGGACTATTAATTGAATAATAAGATTTGATTAATAAATATTAAGAAATTTATATATACAGTTATTGTTATTAATAATAAATGAAAATGTAATATAATATAGTATAATATAATATATATAATGTATTGTAATACTGTAATATGATACAATCAGATTTAATTATTATTTGATCGAAAAAAAGAAATTTTTCGGAAATACGGAAATAATAATTATAATAAAAGTCTAAGCATGGAATCTGTTTTCTAAAGTTTTAACTAATTAAAGAGAATTCAAAGACTAAATGTTCTGTTCACATTGTCACCCGAAATCAGTTATTTGAAAATTGAGTCATTGTAATCTCGTATACATTATTTTTATCTTCTCATTTATTTATATACAATACAATATATTCGGAACAACCGATTGATTTTTTGCGTAATATGAAATTTATTACAGTATATAAAATTTTTACAGCGTTCAGTTAGTACTGCGTCTGGTATATACTGTAAATATTCTGGTATATTCGGTAAATTATTACTATATATTTACAACAAAAGCAACAATAACTCATGCAAAAATCGGGATATCACAATAATATGCATTCATTAGACCAGAGGGCTGAGATTTATTTATATTAGAAAAAATTTTTTTTTACTTTTAATGGAAAAATATAATGTATTATAAATCATGTTTTGCCCGATTTTGAAAATACATTGTTTGCCCATCAATTAAAATAATGTAGATCCATCCGTGCAACATCGGCAGTCGACGACTTTGCTTTTTTTTAAAAGTTCTATGACATAATTAGCCAATCTTCAATTTTTTTTGTTTAAAACAATATAAAAAATAAATAATCAAAAAAAAAAGTAGAAATAAAGGAATAATTTAAACAAATTATATTGGATATTTTTACTTTCAATTTTTTTTTTTTTTTTTAAAAAAAAATAGATATTACTAAAAGAGCTATTATCTGTTATGAACATAAATAAGATGATAATTGATTAGTTCCGTGACGCCAATACGTATTGAACTCTCCAAAATATAATATTTAAAATTATTATCAATAAATTGTTCATTTAAAACCTGTTAGAACCGTTAACATACATGCATATATATATGATTTTGAAATTTCTAATTGATAGTTTTCTTTTTTATTTTTTGGAAGTTCATTTTATAAATTTGTGAAATCATACGACATATTTCTTTACATATATATTTGTTATGAAATCATAATCTTGATTTATAATTTTAGTACAAAAACATTTTTTTTATAATAAATGACTAAAAATAGATTTTTCTATTGTTCCTTTCACAGATTTCCTTTGTCCATGCATTTCCGTTTTCAAAAGATCGTATTATTTTTTTCTGCATTCATTACATAATTCTTAAATTCTTGGAAAAAACTTGGAATTTCTTAATAAACATCCTACAATGTCATTGGGCTTCTTCATTAGCCGCAGGAGATGACCGTTGTATAAGATTCTAACCTAATTAATAATGTTGATATCAGTTTACTTCAGTTTACTTGCATACAGATATACAATGGTACAACATTTTTTAATTTACCGCATGCATAACATCAAAGAGTGCCACAAAGAGTGTCGCATTTTATTTTATGATTTTATTATACGTAGAAGACGGAGTTAATAATAACTTGATCCTGTACATAAAAGAAACGCTATCCGAAACCAGATTATATTTAAAATCCTTCAAAAATTGCAGGGTTTATAATAAAGACTCTGTGCCGTCAGCGATTAGTTAAAATATGACTTTATAACTATTATCGAATATTTCACTGAAATGGTTTTGAGCAAATTATCATTTAGTCTTTTGAACGCATGTATTATACATATACAATACCGTAACAACTCTCTGTAGATAACAATGCCCCCTTTATTAGTTATTTCTGTTAAAACTCCGTAAAATGAGCCTTTCACGGACATTCTCGATAAATTCCGTGATATAAGGCGGAAACATTGATAACTTATCGCATTTAAGTTCTATCTCGTTAACAATAACTGTACAAATTTTTATTATAATATTTAATTATAGTAAATCATGTTAAATTTGCAAATAATGTAACTGTAGACCAGATACATAATTTTAACGTTAACAAAAGAAATGAGTTTATTAAGAAATAAATTGTGCAGCATGAAGCGCGTGATGTGTCTGCGCCTGATCTATTCCGTATTTATTACTGTAATTGAGATAACTAATAGTGGTGTGCCCCGAACCCGTGATGATCGGTGCTAAAAGTTTTATTCTTATAAATCATATTTCAATTTGTCAGATGATGTAGCAGGTATAAACTAAAAAATTTTTTTTTTATTTTTCAGTTCTTTTTTTTTCAAAATTTTTTTAAATTATTTTTTATTTTCATTATTATTGAAATAAATTTTTTTTTTTTATAAATTATCTAAATTTCTTTTTGGCATTATGAAAGGTTTGAATAAATAAAGTAATAATGGACTTGAATTTGGTAACAGTTTTTAGTGGTGATAAGTGTATAATTAGGATATCAGATTGAGCTTCTCCTCTTTAGTCACATCATATGACATTTTCAAGGGGTGTAATTATTTAGTGGTTCGACTGTACTATCCCATCATGGATCGACGCCGAACATAAATTGTACAATCTTTTTTTCACACGAATTGTTAAATTCACCGTTATGGATATTCTGGAAAGAAAATTTTCCTTTTTTCGATGATTTATCTTCAACAACTAATTCCCATGACGTAGTGCATCCAAAAGAGATAAACTATCGATATCATCGACAATATCATAGTGTCCATGGGCAATAGTTTATTATCAAAATATTTTTTAAATGAATTAAAAGAGTCCATATAGTAATATCTTTATCTTTAATAAAAACATTAAGTACAAAATCAATACGCTATCCAGTTGAAGATTAAAAAGTAAAGATGTTTTTCATAATTAGATGGACATATTTTGTGTACAGAAAAAAAAATTAAATTTATATGTAAAAAAAAGACAAATAAAGTTGATTAGCGTCTTGGGCTTATTATAATTATAATATAAACCCCTACATTAATTTGGTATTTTTTCATTTTCAATAAGATTTAATATAAATGATCAAATGATCTTATTACGACAGACTTCCATGTGATCATTATACGCAGTAATTATTATTATCAGTTATAGGATCACACCGATTGAATTTACATTATTCATTCAATTTTCAGTACTTATCAATCATAATTTATCTCTTAAATTTCTTTAATTAAATATGCAGATATTATTCAATATTTTAAGTTAACGAATTAAAGAAGAACCTGTTGAACAGCGTAATGCATTCGAGCCACGTAAATTATGAAATAAGGATAGAGAATTGTATGAAAAAGAATTTGAGAAAGCGCTCAAATAAAGATAATGGAAACAAACTGATCAAAGATTAAATGAGCTAATTGAGGTAATTATTTTATTCATCGTATGAATTATAATTTAGATTTAATTACACGACGAAAAATATCGGAACGCGTCACCAATCTTCAATATGTTGGTCAGACAGGTCGAAATAAAGATACAGCCGAACGTTATTCAAAAGAAAAAGAGATTAAGATTTGCCTGGCTAACGAAGATTTTTTTTTTCGTACATCTAAGTTTATATAACATCCAACAGGAATTTGAACGCTTGCGCACTCAACTTGAAATGCTTTGTGGTGAAATAAAGCATTTGGTAAGTATAATAAATATTAATTATAGGAAGATATTTGTGTAATAGCAATTAACTAGCTAAAGTTATTGTTTGTTAGCTGGAATTAGGATAACCAATGAACCGAGTCTCTATACATATATATAAAGAATGTCCGGAAATTGTCAATGAAAATGTCTGGAAAATTCAATATTCCAGACATTTTAAGGATACCAGGCCTGAGCCCTCCTAGACATTTTCTGGACATTTTCCGGAAATTTACAATGTTTCGCCGGCGTCCAGAATATAGACATTTTCCAGACACCGAAGGGGTTTTCAGAAATTTACAAATGGTAATATTAACGTGAATACGTATGATATAGAAGTGAACAAAGTTACTTTAACATTTTTTTTCAATTTTTTTTTTAGTAAGACTTTAAATGCGCAAAACAACTTAGTTAATATTATTTTCATTTTTCATAAGTAAGTGATTATGATTATTAATTTTATTTAGTTTACCATTTTTTTTATTATGTATTTCATTCATATATATTAATTAACCTAAGAATCTAGCTGCGGATCCAATAAAGCTTAAAACATATTCCAAACTTAGAAATAAGCTTAAGCTTAAGCATACAGTATATGATGTTATAAAAATGCGGGAAGAGTCAGCATCAAGCTAACCAATAACCATTATTGAATCTTTTAGCTTTCTTTTTTTTTTTTAACAAAATTTTTGTCTTTTATTAAATAAATAATTTTTTTGATTCTTACTATTCTTAAAAATCAATTGCCCAAGCGAAAAATTATTATAAAGATATTACTCCAATTTAGCAATAATTCCCACAGGTAAAAATCATTGTAATGATTTTCTAGAGAAAGCTAACGTATTCTTTATATTTTTACGATGCTTCAGTGCTTGTTTTATTAACAAATGTAAAATATACCATCATTTCTAGAAGCTATTAGGTCTTTATTTTAGTATTCTATGAAATTTTTCATTGGAGAACTTTGCATAGAGATTAGCAGATAATCAATGAGATTTTTGTAGCTTTCTAAATGAGAACCTTTTTAGTCACAATATCTTGTGTATCGATCGTTCCGAGTTCCGACGCGACTAATCTTGGGAAGCATCAGAATTTAATGGTAATAATTGGTATAAGTCATGTGTTTATATGGGTAAATTTTATAAATCATTTCGATCGGATAGTTTAACATCTATTGGACTATCTTTACTGTGATTTATAACTTACCAGAATAAGAGTCATAACTAATGCCTTTTATATTACTTCGTCTGCTGTATCATTAGAAGTAGCAGCGTCGCCATTATTCGAAGGGACGGGGCCATTATTGGTTGTTGCAGTGGCTGTAGCTGTTTCTTCGATGGTGTTTGTGTTAGTTCCAATATCAGGTTCATAAAGTTGACTAATAATTCCATATTGGTTCTAGAGAATTCGATTCGTTTATTAGTTATGTATATTGTATACTGTATATTAGATAAATATATTATAATGAAAAAATTCTAAGCCATTAATGAAATGTTTTTATTTACCTGGACTTTGAAAATAATATAATTAAAGAATGCCCATTTCGCTAAAACCATTAAAATTAACAAAATAAATATATTTTAATGTATTTTAACAATGAGCGAGATTCGTTTATACATCAACAATGGAAGAAGACATGGGTAAGGGCTTACAGATGAAAGATCAAGATGAGATAATAGGAAAGAACGGTATTTTTACAAAACTGCGACGTAGGACGACAAATGATGGTGCACATGCTTCATCGGAGGACGAACAATTTGAAGACGCACCGCAAAGTCCTAAGTTATCGGCGGTTTCTACGGTGCCTAGAAGCAAAGAAGAGCTTGAAAATTTTGACAAACTGAATAATACTTTTAGCGAGAGGATTAATCAACTTAACGTCAACGAGTCAACGAAAGGACCAAGTGATGATAAAGCTTTGGAGCTGGAAAACGACAATCTGAATGAAAATAAGAAACACGTGGTGACATCTCAGGGAAGCCGAGACGACTCTGAGTGCGCATAAACAATTTACAGGTCATTCAAAGATTAAACAAAATTGAATATAATGGTTGTTTAATTTGCGTTGGAAAGGGCTGCAGATTACGTAGTCAAGTGGAGAATTTTTGGCTAATTTCGAATACGTTTCCGTCAAGGCGTAAATTAGATATAACTTATTTTAATGTATTAATTTTTTCGTTTTTCTTGTTCTTTGTTTTATTCTACTTTAGCAATTTTATCTTCAATTTTAGCGTAGTAAAGTGTTTTAGAAAAATAGAAAACGCAGAAAAATAGGATAATAAGAAAAAAATCAAAAAAAAAAAAAAAAAAANAAAAAAAAAAAAAAAAAAAAAAAAAAAAAAAAATAGCTTAGTACATTGATCGGCATGATTATTGCGCAATTATTTAGTGACATTTTTTGTATTTTTAAGCAACCTTTTTTTAAACTTATTCTCGTGGAAGACCATCATCGAAAGACACTTTGAAAAGTTACGAAAAACACCTCTCCAAAAGTGTGTAATTATTGTGGGATATGTCATTAGTTATTGATTTAATTGATTGATTAGAAGATTATATTATATTTTTTTAAGAGTTAGCGCACATTTTATTTAACGAATCACTAGTATCACTAAGCTATATTCCCAACAAGGTTACTCTAAATATATATTATATAATAAAGTGCTTAAATTTTTATTGCAAATATGTATTACGTCGTAAAGGCTAGTAAAGTGTTTAATGTTTTAAAACATGTTTTTTGCCATCCCTAATACAAGTGTAATATCTGTATATACAGTATTGTTATATATTCTATGATATTAAATTTGTCAAACAAAGTAATAGACATTGATTCTTGAATTACGAGATAAATCTTAAATTTCTATAAAAGATATTTCCAAGATATGCTTTATAATTTTAGTATATTCCCTGTTACTAATTGAAAAAGTTCCATTAAGGTCATGCAATCAATAAATAATATTCTATTAAAAATCCAATTAACATATCCATAAGCTTTACAAATTTTATAAAATTTATTCAACTCCATAAGATAAGTTCATAAACTTGAGTATTCACATGAATTACAATATAAATCTATTATTAGTCGTAATTACAAGTTGATAGTCTAATTGTTTAATAAAATTTAATAAATCAATATATTTGAAATCAATAAATATATCTTTATTGGATAATCTTTTGCTATAAGAAAATTCGCGGAAAATATATTAACTATATATTAAATTCAAACTGATTGAGGAAAATGGAGGGATCGACCTGCACTTTCCATTCTTACGATTATTAAAAAACCAGTAGTAACCAAAAAATTTAAATTTGAACTTAAAAATAAATACGTCTAAATTTTGAAATTTAATTTATTTTGTCATATATAATAAAAAGTACATAAAAACATGGGGATTGCGTAATGTTTGTGATGATCATCATTATGGTCTTACAGAACAATTTAATTTGTCCGGAGTTTGATTTCCCGCATTTATTAATAGTATTCGTTCTTCTTTTTATTTTTATTTTTATTTTATTTTATTTTATTTTTTTTTTTAAAAAAAAAGATTGTCTCAACACTTTGTAAAACCATATTTAAATTTACCCTATTAGAAAATATTTCATTTATAAACAATTTATTCTAAAATGTTGTTCATTATTTTTGTATAAAGAATGTCAAAACTCAATAAAGATATTCTTTTCTTAATATTTGAAGAAATATATGATGATTCGAAATCCCTCTTCTCATGTCTAATGGTCAATAGACCTTGGTGTGAAACTGTGATTCCGATTTTATGGAGAAATCCTTGGTGCTATGATATTAATTATAAAAATAAAAATTACTTATTTATAATCATTGCTTCTTATTTATGTGATGATATTAAAGTATTCTTAACGAGACAAGGGATCCAACTACCATCATTTTCGCACCAATCACTTTTATTTGATTATTTATCTTTCTGTAGAAGTATTAATATAAATACTATGAATATAATATCTTCTATTGGATCTTCTTTAGCTTATAATCAATTTATTTTACAACAAGAATTTTATGGTCTCTTTATGAAAAAATTTCCAGGATTAAAGTATTTGGACATGAAATCTATTAAACATCAAATATTTTATTTTTCAGAAGCTAGGCTTCGTTTAAATTCACTTTGTGAATTAATATGCGACACATCAATAGATTCTTCATATTTTTATGGATTGGCGTGGTTATGTCAATATATTCAAAGGCTCATTATTATTAATGTAGATCCAAATGATTATCATGGGGTTGCTGAATTAATTGGAGTTCAGAAAAATTTAAAATATTTTGAATGGAAAGATGATCATTATATATATGCTCCTGGACCAGATCGAGATTCTTACAAAGAGATTCTTCTTGCATTGGAAAAAAATGCAAATATTATCACTCATCTAAATATTTACTTTATATTTATTAGTCGTACATCACCAAATGTATTCCCAAAATTTCTTAAACTAAAAACATTAATAACTGGTTTTGGATTTTCCTTTAGTAAAGAACAATTAAAAATGTGTGTATATCGTGAACTTGAGATCTTTAAGATAGATTATTATGATTTAAAAGCAGCTTCTATCATAATTGAAAATAGTGGAGGACGTCTAAAGAAAATTTTTTTAGGATCATCTTATGAACTTGATGATTATATAAGTGATTTTGATGATGATTCCCTCATTTTTATTCGTAGAGTTTATGAAAATTGTCTTTCAATTGAACATTTGTCTCTTGTATTTCCACCATCAGAGCAGCATTTTGATGAATTTGAAAAATTACTAAAAACTTGTCAAAATTTGAAGTCATTATTATTAGTTATTTATATGAATGAAGTTGAAATTGAAGAAGAAATACTTTTTGAAAATGGAGAAGAATTATTGAAAATATTAATTAAATCAGCACCGATTAACTTAAGAGAGATTAGATTTCTTTATGATGTTAAATTTTCTTTGGAATCCTTGGAGGAATTTTTAGAAAAATGGAGAGGCAGACCTGCACTTTCCATATTTACATGTAGATCTATTTATAAAGAAGAAAATTATGTAAGATTGATTAATAAATATAAAGATAATAGAATTATTAAAGATTTTAGATGTGAGTCTTTTGATAATGTAGTAAATGAGAACTTTAAGATGTAAGATGTGTATATTATGTACTACTACATTTGTTTCAATACTAGCATTTTTAAATTAATAAACATTTAATAGTTTGTGGGATATTTGGTGTATTCCATTTAAGTATTTAATAAAATAAATGATTATTGTAAGTTTATATCGTCAAAATTATTTTATTTAAATAAGCACTATAAGCATTACACTTGTGGTAGTCTTGTGGTTTATTATTTAAGTGAAAAATCTAATAAATAATGTTAGTAATTACTAATGAGTAATTATTAACATAAGAAAACGATTAAAAATTTGGAAATAAGTTCTCATCAAAGATGGAATAATATTGATTGAATTCGTTTTTATAACAATTAAACATCAAATATTTTTGTTTTCAAGAATCTAGATTTCATTTCGAATCACTTTGTGAATTAAAATGTATTGTAGTTTGTTTATTTCTTTTGATTAACACACATCTATCTGTAAATATATAAAGAACTTGTCATCGCCAATACGGAAACAAAATTAATCAGAACTGTTAAACTAGTTTACATAAAAGTTCAACAAAAAAAACTATACTTTATAATTTTCCAATCCCAATCTTAGTATTACCAACCTACCAATTTGGTAAATTTACCCAATCCAAACAATTCAACTCTTTTATCATACTCTCTCATCTCTCTTATTTTAATCTCATATATCCGATATTTCACCTAACCTTCAACAAATTCACCTAAAAAATACATGATGAAAATAACTAGTAGACCATAAATTAATTCGACGTTATTCTCTTAAATATCTTAGCTTACTATAGACTAATAATAAAATTAGATCTAATTAAAGGTGACAGAATGATGCAAGATTATTTCTAACGCTGATTGTTATTAAGTTGTGTTAATATAATCCTTATTCACCAAGGATAACATCATAATCGCTTAACGTGAGAAACTATTGTAGTAATATCATGAGAAAATGAGATTTGGTTTATAACTTGCTAGAATTCAAAATGTAACCTGTCTATTAGAAGTAGATTTTCATAAATTTACCTTAATTTTCTTTAATTTCGACTTAACGCCTTTATCAAAAAAAAAAACTTTCCTATAGGTAGTTACATAAACATAGTGTTCATTATTATACAGAAGATGGAGATATTTTCTATAGGTTGAAATACACATTTTCTTGTACATAAAATTTTTCTTTCATTTGCTTCCAAGTTCTTCGGGAGTTTATTTGCTTGTACGACAATTCTCCAAATAGCTACAGTACAGTATAAAAGATTCATCAAAAGATGGCCCGATCTCTATACTGGTGAGATTGTGAGAACCCTACTTCAATTGAAGATATTCTTACCCTAATACAGTGTTGAATGTTAATTATATTTGTCTGATAAATTCATTATTAAAAACCTATTAAATTATTGTGAAATATTCCTTAGAGAACATTTCACTGAGAAAATTCTTTTCTTTATTATAATTGCAGAAAAAATGTCTATTACCACCAATTTTCTAAAGCTCATTATAGATGATATTTTGTATATGAAATAAACCAGACTTTAAGCTAATTTCAAAGAACACAAAAAAGACTAGTATATTCTTACACTCTATACTTTTAGGAAAACTTCTTTTAAACCCATAAGAAAGCTGTCAAATCACCTAAGCATTGGAATGATAAAGATCTAATATGCCTATCGTTAAGCTTCTCATAGGATGACCTTACATTACTTTGAAAAATTTGAGAAATTAATAACAGGACCAGCAAATACAGCAAATACAAAAGATTATTATCTTCTTATAGAATTAGAATAGAAATTGAAAAATTTATAATATTTTATAATTCAAGAATCATATTCTTGTCCTATATTACTAAAAAATTACTATGTAATAAGAATAACTTATAACTACTTCTTCATGTTTTACCAAATTAATTATCAGTCTTAATAAATATATGTTGTAGTATTAAATATAATTTAAATTTTGAACTGATAATTATAAGGTATTAATGAATAAATAAAAAAGTGACCAAAAATTTATCATGTTGTTATAAATTGGAAGAAATTAATCATGAAATTATTCTTATTATTTCAGTTAAACTACGCCTTTATGCTTGAAATCTTTTAGGTATGACAGTATTTTTCTAGGTTTGACAAAAGAAATTGCATCTTATAATTTTAACTTTAAATATTTATACAATTAGAATTTTGCTAATTGTGATTCTAAGAAGTCAATCAATACTATTGTCTTTAATTTTATCTTGAATAAGACCATAATAACAACATTACATGAGTTATATGCTTATAATCTAAACAATTACGATTTCAAATTGCGATGCTATTTTTATTACACAATGACAAACTTTTTGTTGTAAAAGAATATTTACTAATAAAATTATGAATTTACGACTATTAAGGGGTTTCCAATGAATATATTATTAAGAAATAAGGAACATTTAATGATATCATTAAACATTAATAAATTTAAATCATCTTAAATACATTTTACGTCTCGATAAATTATATAATAGTAATTGGGTAGGAGGGTTGAAATATCACCGGACTGTGAATCAGTTCTTTACTCAATTACTGTGTTATCATGCACCAAGATCATGTTCCATATAAAAAGCATAGTAAACAATAGGTATTTTACCTACAAAAATTAGATGTGTGTGATACTTAATCTATATGACGTAATGCGTCAAAAAACATCAAAGATATTTACGCAATAATAATTTATCTAAACTATTTGGCTGCATAATAAATCAATATATCCTCGTATGTTTGTAGTAATAAATAATAAGTATGATATATATATTTTTTACTTCATTCAAAAATTATTGCCAAGATCTTGAGAATTTAAAAAAATACTTTCACAGCAACAACTTTTTAATTAATTAAGGCCTTATAAATAATACCAAATCCTCCTGCTAATTTGCTATATTTTGAAATCAAGTAACAATAGTCAATGTTCTTCATATTTTATCCTAGTGAAGCTTGCAAAATATTCGTACTTTTCCCAAGAATATTCATTAAGGTATAAGCCGTTCTCTTATACACATCTAGATGTGTATAAGAGACAGATATTATACTGTAATTATTATATGGTAATTATATTTATACGACATAAATTTTTATATAAAATTTTACTTTATAAACTCCGCTATCTTAAAATTTATTATTTCACTGTTTTTGTAGGTATTATTATACTATACTGATACGACTTACAAAACAAAAGTAACATTGCTATCAATAAAAAACACCAGTCCTTAGGTAAGGGAATTAAAGATGCAAATAACGAGTTAAGTAAAATACTAAAATTTTGATTAAATAACATTTAAATTAATATATTATATACTGATGTTACATATATTAAAAAAAGGGATTCTAAATTATAAAATTTTAAATTTCACTTACAATTTCTACTAAATTATAATGCCTACAAAATATTATATTATAACTGTATTCCCCTTATTTATCCGAATAAGTTACAAAATAAAAAATATTTTTTTTTCGATTACTATACACTATAAAATTCCTTAATAAATGTCATATTAAACGAGACGATATTTTTAAAGGGCGGAAAACTTTAAGTTGATCTATATTTCTTAATTCTTATCAATAATAGTGATACCGGTTTTAAAGCTATATTTTGTTATAATCTCGTATAATTATTAATTAGTCACGTGATAGTTTGTCAAAGGATAGTGTAACACAACTTTGGTCAAGTCACGTACGGAAAAAATATTACCCCGAGACCCGATGCAGGCATATGCGTTATACGAAGAGGTACATTCGTGCAATCATGAAGTCTTTCTAGGTATAGCTTCTATATCATAACTCTATAAAAAGAGGCAGAACTCGTTTTTTATGACGGTTTGCTCGTTAAAAATTATTTTCCTTTCAATATGGTCAATTTAAGTTAAAAGTTCCGTCAAAAACTTGTGGGTTATTGTCTTAATTTTACCTCCCAACATTTCAAAAGATAAATCTAAGACTTTATCTGCTGACGAAAGTCTATTCACCTTGATATTTAAATTGTTGACCTATAAATTTCGCTACAATAAAGATAAGGAGAGATAGAAAGAAGCCAAGAAAATAACTCGCCACAAAAACTTCTAAATTAGCCACAGAACCTGTTTCTAAAAAGATCAATCAATCAATTGCTAAAAAAAGAAGATCGATCGGAGATTTTTTTCTAAAATGGTTTTTTTTTTCTCAGCCAGCATGCTGATCTTCTACAATTTGCTTGTTAAATGCCGCACGTAATGGTTCCCATGGTTCCCTGCATGCTGTGCTGTAGATCTGCTTTGCCATCTTTTGATAATTCAACCTTCATTATAACAGCCACGCATCAAATTAAATATTATTGATGAATTATTGGAAGAAAATTACTATGATTTTCAGGACTTTAAGAATGTTTCCAAGATTGACTCTGGAGGATCTGCGTCGGTTCACGTTGCATATTGGAAGGATACATCAACGAAATATGCAATTAAAAAATTTGACAAAGATAAAATTTCTATGAAAGAAATCATTAATGAAGTATGTTATTAATATAATTTCGATATATATATATATTTATTTATTTATTTAATAACTGATTTATTTTTATTTCATTCTAGGTTAATTTAATGATAATTGCTACTAATCCAAAAATAATTCATTTTTATGGGGTCACGAAATTAAAAGGTAAAAGATAATTAATACATAAAAAATATTCTATATTTTATATTAAACATATTACTTATTTTTTTAGACGAATTATTATCGCTTGTTCTTGAATATGCAGACGGTGGAACATTAGAAAAATATTTAAGGGATAACGCAACAACCTTAATTAAATGGGAAACTCAATTAAAATTTGCTAGTGAAATTGCAGCTGCAATTTCATGGTTACATTATAAAAAAATCATACACGGGGATCTTGTAAGTATAATTACATGTCATTATAATTTATCTTTATTGTATAATTAACACATTGTTTTTTTAATTTTTTTCTATTTAGCATCCCAAAAATATCTTGATATATCAACATACAATAAAATTAGCAGATTTTGGATGTTCACGTTTACAAGGATCAGATTACTACACTAAAGGGTTTACTAAACCTCGTGGCATAATACCTTACATGGATCCTAAAATTCTCAATGCTGAAAGTTATGATTTAACTGAAAAATCCGACATATATAGTTTAGGAATAGTATTCTGGGAATTAACAAGCTGTTCATCCCCTTTTAATTTCGAAACAAACAATGAACCTACTAAAATAATTCTTAAAATCCTTGACGGTAAAAGAGAAAATCCCATTCCTAATACAAACAATAAATTCGTTGTGCTTTACAAAAGTAAGTATAAAATTATTGTATAAATTATTGATAAATTATTGTATAAATTATTGATAAATTATTGTATAATTTTATAACGATTTTTCGCATTAAATTTATTTATTTAAATAGAATGTTGGCAACATAAACCAGATGATAGACCAGATATTCATCAAGTAATTTCAGTACTTAATAGTATTGGTCCTATTATTCGTATTAATTCTGAAAACAACAGTGTATCAGATAATATTATTTCTACTGATGAAAGCAATACAAGCAATACAACAGAAAAATCAGAAAGCGAAGGTTCTGACTTGTCAAACTTGCCAAGTTGCGAAGATTATGACATAAATGCCGATAAATACCAAGTATAAATAATGTAAAAATCTTAAGAATTTTTTTATTCATATTATTCTGTATTTATATATTTCTCTTTTTATTTACAAACGAACAACCGATTTTTTTTCTCGAACTAATGTATTCGTTAGATTTTTTTTTTCGCTTTTTTTTCGAGTTTATTTATTCCGTTTCTTATTACAAACACAATCGTTTGATCAGTATGTCTTTTTTTTGGATTTCTTTTTCTTTGTTTTTTTTCCGCTTGGCTTTTTCTTTAAATAGAGTGTAATTTTCTTTTTTTCATTATTTTTTTTTTGTCTTATATGAACATTTATTTCTGTATAGAGCAAAATAAAGATCTTTATTTTAGACTTGTGATAATATACAAGTAATAATCCAGTATTTTGTTTTAAAAAAATCAATAATCGTTTCACGACGAAACAAAAGTAAATTATACGATATCAGGCGAGTATCGTAAAGATTAATGCCGGGTAACAAGTTTCTTAATTTTCTTGGATGAAAAAAAAAAAATTATTGTAACATCGAATTAAAATATTCCTTATTGATAAATAAATTCTTTTTTTTTAATAAAGCGTGATAATAAATCCATCTTCAAAAACTTTCAAATGATTATGTCGAACTAAAAAAAAATTCTTTTATCCAATTAAAGCTAAGGTAAATATATCTGATATACAGTATTTTGTTGTATCTATATGATACCGAATAGTTTAACAAATACTTTTATTTATATATAAATCTAATTTTATTCAAACAAGAATATTCTTAGTGTGTTGTTGCATAAGTAAATAAAAAAAATTGGAGTAACTTTTCAAAAAAAGAATAGACGTGCTTTTATTCATTCGATTTCATACATACATACGATTTATGTGAATTGCGGATATAGCAGCTGTTAATCGGTTGTAAGCGATTTAAAATCCAATTAATTGCGTCAGTCATTTTTTTTTTTTCAGACTATTTTGAATAACTTAAATGACATTTTGTCTGTAATCAATTTATATATATATATATCGATTGTGTTGTGAGAATCAAAAAAATTCTATTTTTAGAAGAAAAAGAATAATTGTTTATCGTATGACGTGCTTTTAAAAAATATAATTATATATTTGCAGTATCTAAAGAAATAATTCAGAGTACTATCACTACTATGTGATAAATTCGTGTGAACAAGTTAACAATTCTTGCTAGTCAAAGTTAAACAAAACATTGCAAAAATGTTTTGCCATTAGACTATCAAGACTGAGTTTTGTAATATAAAAGAAAATTAAATGTAAAATAATTAATCATTTATAAAATAACAATCATTATTTTTTTATTATTCCTATCAAACTAGGTGTCCTTTGGTTTTATTTTAACATACTCACATTCTTGAATTAAGGAATCTATGAAGAAACATTTACGTTATGAAGTTTATTCATTATTCGGTCGACAATCCTTTCAAGTAATTTTTGTTCATATTCATATTCATCTTTACTTGCTTCTTGGTTATTCTCAATCCATGTAATCGAATTTTGTGCTGCATTTTGAAGTTTATTCTTTATATTATCGATTTTCTAAATTCATTTTAAAAATGAGATTATAAATTTGATCAAGTAGTCAAAAATTTTAACTAACAAACTGAGAAACTTACTTGAACTACATTAAATAGGTTGTATGCGTAGGATTCGAGGTGATTTTTTACTTCTATACTTTGTGCATATTGTTTTCTTTCCGCATGATATATTTCAGCTTCAGCAACTGTAATTATTAAGATAGTAATTAAACTTACATTACTGATGATTATTAAAATGTGAATAGTGAAAATTGATTCAAACCCATGCGTTCGATTTCTTCCTTCGATAATCGTCCTTTGTCATTAGTGACGGTAATTTTATTTGATATGCCTGTTGTTTTATCAACAGCAGAAACCTATAATTGATTAGAAAATTAAATTACAATTAATTTAATAAATTACATAATACTTATATAAATACAAACGTTCAAGATGCTATTTGCATCAATATCAAAGGTAACTTCAATTTGCGGAACACCTCTTGGTGCTGGAGAAATCCCAGTCAAATTGAATGTTCCTAGCAAGTTATTATCTCTTGTTCGAGTACGTTCGCCTTCATATACTGATATCGATATATAAGGTTGATTATCAGAATACGTAGAAAAAATTTCAGATTTCTTAGTGGGTATTGTAGTATTTCGTTTAATAAGTGGTGTCATAACACCACCAGCAGTTTCGATACCCAGAGATAAAGGAGCGACATCAAGTAAAAGTAGATCTAGAGTCTTTTCAGAAGTATCACCAGATAAAATAGCAGCTTCTACGGCAGCACCATAGGCTGCGGCTTCAGCAGGATTGATAGATTTGTTTGGTTCTTTACCATTAAAGAATTCAGATACCAGTCTTTGAATCTTAGGAATATAAGTTGAACAACCAACTAAAACAATTTCATGAACTTGACTTTTGTCAATTTTACTATCCCGAAGTACTTTCTCAACAGGTTCCATTGTAGAACAAAATAGATCTTGACTTAATTCTTCAAATCTGGCACGCGTCAAAGAGGTATAGAAGTCAATACTTTCATAAAGAGAATCAATTTCAATGGAAGCTTTTATTGATGTTGAAAGTGTACGTTTCGCACGTTCACATGCTGTTCTTAAACGACGGACAGCACGTGCATTCGATGAAATATCTTTTTTAAATTTTCTTTTGAATTCTTGTACAAAATGATTTACAAGACGATTGTCAAAATCTTCACCACCAAGATGATTATCACCAGCAACAGCTTTTACTTCAAAAATCCCCTCTTCAATAGTTAAGAGAGAGACGTTACAAGTACCGCCACCCAAATCAAAGACGAGAACATTTCGTTCTCCAGTAGTTTTCTTATCCAATCCGTAAGCAATAGCCGCTACAGTTGATCCAGTACGAATGCGAAATGTATTTAAACCGGCAATCAAACTAGCATCTTTTACTGCTTGACGCTGAGAATCATTAAAGTAAGCTGGAACTGTAATTACAGCATTTTTCACTTGTGTACCAAGGAATGCTTCTACGGTCTCTTTCATTTTCACCAATACCATGGATAAAATTTCTTCGGGTGTGAAATCTTTTTTTTTTCCTTTATATTCTACATTGATAACTGGTTTGCCATTCTTGTTTATAATCTTGAACGGCCAATGCTAATTATTTTATAAAGATTTCTTAATTGTCTTATAAATACTAATTTTTAATCAAATAATTTTTTTTTTTTTTAGAACACACCTTCATATCAGATTGAACGTCCTGATCATTGAAATTACGACCAATGAGACGAAGAATATTAAATACAGTATTATGAGGATTCATAGCAACTTGATTTTTGGCCGCATCTCCAATAAGAATTTCTGTATCAGTGAAAGCTACATATGATGGTGTTGTACGATTACCCTGGTCATTTGCAATAATTTCAACTCCATCATTTTGCCAAACACCAACACAGGAATATGACGTTCCCAAATCAATACCGACTATATTTTAAAAGGTTATAACAAGTAAAGAAAAAATATTTGTCGGAAGAGCATTTATATCGAGATATTGTGTACATACCAGCTTTCATGTTTGATGTTTTACTATTACATAGGTTAAATCAATATTTATATTAAAAAAAATTGAGTAGATTGAAACATTGCATTTTTGTAATAGGTACGTTCAAGACCTTATTGTTATATATCCAATTTAATCAATCTAGCCAATAATCTCGAATCATAGTGTCAAATATTTATTATTGATATTTACAAATAATGTTGTATGATGTTGTAGTAACACTGTTTTAATATCGATTAGGATATATATAAAGAGCAAAAATATAACTCCCTAATATTGTAACAGGTAACGCTTAATTATAAACAACAATAAAATATTTTGTAACAGGTGATACGAAATTTCCAAAGTTCATTTTATCTTAATTAAAAAGGCTAGTACCAAATTTAATTTTTTTTTATAAAATTCAAAATAAAAATCTAGATATTCTTTAAAACTAATACTATTATAGCATGGTTTATAAATGTCATCTGACGTTAATGGTTGATTCATTTCATCCCGATTAGAAATTCTATCCTCTTGTGTTACGTTAAACATATCAATTACAATACCGACATTAAAGGAAATTATATAACGAATTTCTTTTGGAAACTTCTGCAAGATGAAAGAGAACGACTGGCGTTGGGTTCCTACTAATAGCTTAATACTAGTTAATCTATCATAATATTAGAGATGTTAAACTGTCGAAAAATGATACCTCTTGTAATAATATTAGTTGTAATTAATCAAACATTCCTGACAGTATTTTGATTTTTTTAAAAAAATTTAATACATGCGCGCTTTATTTTGTAATTTTGTCATATTGTCAACGGCCTGTGATAAATCTCTTTGTCTGTATATTACATTTTTAGATGAAGACTACCAAGCAAAACTTACATGGTTTAAAAAGTAAAAAAATTAGTTAAATTTATTATTATTATTATTATTATTTTAAGGTTTAGTCAAATTTACAGACCTAATTGTAAAATTTCTGAATATGATCATAATCTGCCGTGAGAATGATATTCTCAAGGTTTAATAAATAACTAAAGTATTGTATCCAAGGAGTTAAATGAGATACCATAATAAATGAGCGACTGAATCCACAGACGATAATAGTAATGTGAATTGTAATATTATTATCCCATATACAGCACCAGAGACTTCAGACATATATAGTTTTGGAATTATTTATAGTTTATACCAAACAAAAAACCATTTTGAAATGAATATAGAATTTATTAAAATATGTTACAACCATTGAAGGATACTATGTTAGATTAATTGTCCGATCTAAGTAAAGACCAAAAGCAATTTACATAAAGAAATAAAATTTAAATGTATATAAGTCATAAGATATTGAGCTGTTACATTAAATCCAGGTGCGACTTATAAAAGTAAACCTTTAATATTGTTTAATCTGTTTAAAAGAAGGCTATTTAATGATTTAAAAATGAATAGTTTGGCAAGAACAACACTAAAAGTAATTTGTACAATAGTTATTATAATAATTATAGAACAGCGAAAGTAAAATGAGAAACAAGAAAATAAATAGTACTTGAGTGAGAGTTGAGACAATTATACTACATTTACACTTATCTGAAACTTTATGAATATTCTTGATTAACTGCTTAAGGAATTGTAACTTGAACCCGCCCATGGTCAAAAGCTATTCGATTCATGTTCCACATTCGATCCTGGCCCATTATGGTGAATTACGTAAGGCACACTTTAGCTGCCGAATCAGCCTTAAAAATAGAGTAACCTCAAAGCCAAAAATAAAATAAATGGTATTGATCCATCAGATGGATTGGTTGGATTACGTTCTTTTGTAGTACATATGACATGAAATTTTATTAGCAAGTTTGCAAATTTTTGGTTGTATACGATCTCATTTGGATGCATAGTTGTACTGAGTTATTATAAAGTACGTGATTTATGATCTTTCCTCGGTACATTATTAAGATCCTGAACTGAAACGTGGACAAATATTATTTTTCTTAGAATGATAGAACTTTTTCGAGACGAACATTAAGATATTTATTATCATAGTATTTTTAATCGAGACGTTTTTATCATACAACTTGTTTATAAAGAAATAAAGGCTAAGAAATACCCAACCGACTTCTATTTCTAAAAAAAAAAATAATAATAATTACGTAATTTCTCTAAAAAAATATGTATTTACTGCATAAAGTAAACCAAACCTCACAAGTATTAAAAATTTTATGTGCTAACAGGTTATAGTTTGACAAGAGTCAAGGTTGCAAAATTTACCGTTAATTTAGTGTTAAAGTCCCTCGCAATTAAATCATTCGTTGTACAAGTACAAAAAAATACAATGCAAAATTAAATTATTTTTCCGCTTCGCTCTAAATAATAAAAAATATAAATATAAAATCGAACTATTTATAAGGTAATTATTCATTCATATTATTACTATCAACTTTTTATTAAATACAGTATGGACTTCGATTTTATTTTATAATTTAATAAAATATCCTTGAATTACTAGGGAAGCTACGAAGAAATATTTACATTACAAAGTTCATTCATTATTTGGTCGGTAATCCATTCAAGTAATTTTTGTTCACGTTCACATTCATCTTTACTTGCTTCTTGGTTATTCTCAATCCATGTAATCGAATTTTTTGTTACATCTTGAAGTTTATTCTTTAAATTATCGATTTTCTAAATTCAAGTTCATTTTAAAAATGAGATTGTAAATTCGATCAAGTAGATAGGACTTTAACAACAAAATTGAGAAACTAACTTGAACTACATTAAGTAGGTTGTATGTATAGGATTCCAGGCCATTTTGCACTTCTATTTTTTGCTGATATTGCTTTCTTTCTGCATGATATTTTTCAGCTTTAAAAACTGTAATTATGAAATAATTGTATGTTATTGAACGGGGCGTCAAAATATCGGCCGAAGGCCGATATAGCCCCGTTCAATAACAATATTATTATACGTGATATTAGGATTAGTGCGTGTGCTAATATAATTATATTGTCGATCATCATTAAAAATATCGGGCATGATAACAAAAATATCGGTACAATGAATTCCGCACAATCCTAATGAGCGTGTAATAATTAAAATTAGTATATTATTATTGTATGATTATTAAAATGAGTATTGAAAATTGATTCCCCATACGCTCGATTTCTTCCTCCGATAATCGTCCAAAAGTATTAGTGACGTTAATCTTATTTTATCTACCGGTTTCTTTATTAATAGCAGAATCTATAATTGATTAAAAAAGTTAAATACAATTAATTTAATTAAATTACATATACTTATATAGATACAAACGTTCAAGAAGCCATTTCCATAAGCATCAAAGGTAACTTTAATTTGCGGAACACCTCTTGGCGCCGGAGGAATCCCAAACAATTCGAATGATCCTAGCAAATTATTACCACTTGCTCGAGTACATTCTCCTTCATATACTTTATTATCACAGCAGGTTGATTATCAGAATACGCAGAAAAATTTCAGATTTCTTGGTAGGAAATATAGTATTACGCTTAATATATCACCACTTGTAGTCTCAATACCCAGAGACGAATGTTGAAAATCAAGTAAAAGTAGATCTTAATTCTTTTCAGAAGTATCACCAGATAAAATAGCAGCTTGTACAGTAACACAGCTTCAGCAGGATTGATAGATTTTTTGGGTACTTTGTCGTCAAAGAATTCTAATATCATCTTTTGAATCTTAGGAATATACGTTGAACAACCATGAAAATTTCATGGACTTGGCTTTTATCAATTTTAGCATCTCGCAGTACTTTCTCAACAGGTTCTATTGTAGAGCTGAATAAATCTTTATTCAATTCTTCAAATCTGGCACGTGTCAAAGAGGTATAAAAATCAATATCTTCGAAAAGAGAATCAATTACAATGGATAATATTGAAAGTGTACGTTTCGCATGTTCACATGCTGTTCTTAAACGACTGATAGCACGTGCATTGGAACAAATATCTTTGTTAAATTTTCTTTTGAATTCTTGTACAAAATGATTTACAAGACGATTGTCAAAATCTTCACCATCAAGATGATTGTCACCAGCAACGGCTATTACTTCAAAAATCCCTTCTTCAATAGTTAAAAGAGAGAAACAAGAACATTACGTTCTCCAGGAGCTTCGTTATCCAATCCATAAGCAACAGCCGCTGCAGTTGATTAAATAAAGATACGAAGTACATTTAACCGGCAATCAAACCAGCATCTCCTATAGCTTGACGTTGAAAATAATTAAAGCAACTGGTACTACTGGTGCTGTAATTGTAATATATATAACTTGTGTACCAAGGAATGCTTCTGCGGTTTCTTTCATTTACCAATATCATGGATAAAATTTCTTCGGGCGTGAAATCTACCCTTTTCCCTTTGTATTCTATATCGATGACTAGTTTGTTATTCTTATTTATAACCCTGAATGGCAAATTCTAATACAATAAATATTTTATATTGTAAAAAATCCTTAGTAAACACTAATTTTCGATCAAAAAAAATATATTTATTTTTTAATGAAATTTTTCATTTTATATAGAACATACCTTTATATCAGATGGGACGTTCCCGGTCATCGAAATTACGACCAATGAGATGATGAACACTAAATATAGTATTATGTTGATTCATAGAAGCTTGATTTTTGCCGCATCTCCAATAAGAATTTCTGTATCAGTGAAAGCTACATATGATGGTGTTATACGATTATCCTGATCATTTGCAATAATTTCAATTCTATCATCATTTTGCCAAACACCGACGCAGAAATATGACGTTCCAAAATCAATACCGACTATAATATAAAAAGTAACAAAGTAAGAAAAAAAAATTTTTTTGTCGGACACTTTATGTCAAGATTATACTTATACATACCAGGCTTACCATTCGATTGTATAAATTGTGAGTTTGGGACATTGCATTTTGTGCTCAAGATCTAAAAAATATAATATGTAGATTATTGTAACATCACATGTTAATACTAAGCCACTCTATTTAAAATTCGTTCAAAACAATCCTTCACAAGGGAAAAGGTAATAGAAGAATAAAGATAAAAGTACTAAAAATGCAATTTTACAATTTTAAGTTTCCTTCAATGTTTACTTCTAAAATTATTTTTGCATGTAAGGAATTACAGAAGAAAAAATGAAGTTAGAGCAAGATTTTTTTAATAAAAATATAATAAAGAAATGGAAATAGAAAAACAACTAAAAAAAATGAAATAAAGACATTGACTATAACCATTCATATAACTCATAAATCATAATATGACCTACCTTAAGTTAGATGGGTTGTAACTATGTTAGATGGGTTGAAACGAGTTTTTATATTATCATATTGTCTTAGCGTAAGGTAATGTCTAAAAAAAAAAAAAAAAATTTTTTTTAATCGTCGAATTGAAATCCCGTGTATGCTGATCATTTTGGTATTGCATAAATTTTACAGTACAATATATTTTTAAAGATTACCAAGCAAGACTTGCGTTGTTACTGTAAAAACACAAAGATAAGAAATGTAATGAATGTAACAAGATGAAAAACTTTAAGATGTAAGTTATCATAACGTCACATTTGTTACGAAACGAATTGGATAATCACGGATATAATGTTCAAAAATCCTTTTTTAAATGAACTGAAAATCAGACGAGAGTTATCTATGACAAATTCAAATTATAGAATATATTTCTGCACGAAATAACCGCGAAAAACATAAAGACAATATGAGGGTTTAGTCAAATTTGCAGGTCTAATTGCTAAATTTTTGAGTGGAATCATAAACTTCAACAACTAACCGTTAACCTGAGTGTGAGATCGCTCTCAAGATTTAATAATAAAGAATTTAAAAAGTATTAAATAAGGTACTGTAATAAATATTCTACATAATTGACAAAATTTTATATTGGATATTTATGGTGAAACTAATGTGTTGTTATTGTGATATTGGTAAATCAGACGATTTTATTATTTCTTATTTGAATAAAAATTATTATTACTTTAGCCGGGTAAGCCGGGCAATGATAGTAGAGATTGAATACTAGTGGAAATACTTAACAGAGAAAACACGAATACGCAAATGTAATAAGACTGAATCTATAAATGATAATAGCAAATAGATTCTGATATCATCATGAGAGTTTATGATAAGTAAAAGACCATTTTGATTGGAATGAATCTCATACGGAACTTACAATTAAAATATATCGACACCAATTATCACAAGTTCACTTGAATGACATGGTGTCAAGACCAATAGCTAAAATAGCTACTTATTTAAGAGATGAAATCTGTAAAACGTGTTACAAGATTGATTTCACAGATATTGGTTCTGTAACAACTACCAATTATGAAAGTGAATATTTAAGTGGTATGTATTTTTCAATTTGTTTAAGCTAGTGTACTGTATTTTGACACTTTTGAAATGGCTGGCTAGAGCGACACTAAAGTAGTTTATACAATAGTTGCTAGTATATATAATTAATATGGAACAGTGAAAGCAATAAAGAGGAACAAGAAAATACATACTTGAGTTGATTATTTGATGAATGACTCTTGCTTGATAAACGGCTTTTGACATACTGTACATATATTGTTTAATTAATATTTATTTGAGGCATAGTAGGATGGTTTAAGGGTCGAATTTGGGTCGAATTACAACATTTGTGAATGATACATTGAAAAATAAAATGATTGTATTGTATACGATCCATTCGGACGCAGAGTTGTGTTGAGAACAGTTGTTTTATTATAAAACACGTGATTCATGATAGTAAACAGACAAACGTTATACTATGACAACTTTTCCAGACAAACATTAAACCATTTAAGGTATTCGTTATCCTACGTTTATAGAGAATTAAAGGCTAAGACTTTTTTCTATTTAGAAAAAAAATTCTACTACATATTTCTAAAATCTAACGAGTATTAAAATTTTATGAAAATAGTTAGAGTCAAGGATTTAAAATCTAGGAAAATATTTTGCCAGTCTTTCAGGCCGAGTCTTATAATACTAGGAAATTAGTAACCGTCAATTTAGTGTTAAAGTCCCAGAATGGAGTTTACACGGGCTAAAAGTCCATCATTCGTTGTACAAGTGTAAAAAAAATACAGGACTAATGTATAATCTTCTAACAATAAAAAATATAAGTTCAAAATAATTAATCACTTATATAATAATCATTCTTTAACTTATTCTTATCAACTTTTTTGTTAAATATAGTACTATGACCTTCGATTTTATTCAGTATAAGATAAACCGTACTTAATATTCTTGAATTAGGAAAGCTATGAAGAAATATTTATGTTATTTAAGTTTATTCATTATTTGGTCGACAGTTCCTTTAAGTAGTTTTTGTTCACGTTCATATTCATCTTTTCTTGCATCTTGGTTATTCTCAAGCCATGCAACCGATTTTTGTGTTACATCATGAAGTTTATTCTTTATATTATCGATATTCTAAATTCAGGTACATTTTAAAAATGAAATTATAAATTATCAAGTAGAGAGAACTTTAATAACAAACTGAGAAACCTACTTGAGCAACGTTAAGTAAGTTGTATGCATAGGATTCCAAGAAATTTTGTGTTTCTATTTTTTGTGCATATTTTTTTCTTTCTGCATGATATTTTTCGGCTTCGGTAACTGTAATTATTAAAATAACTTATATTACATATGATTATTAAAACATGAATATTAAAAATGATTCAAACCCATGCGTTCGATTTCTTCTTTTGACAATCGTCCTTTGTCATTAGTGACGGTAATCTTATTTGATCTTCCGGTTATTTTATCAACAGCGGAAACCTATAATTGATTAGAAAGTTAAATATAATTAATTTAATAAATTATATAATATTTATATATAAATACAAACGTTCAAGATGCCATTTGCATCAAAATCAAAGGTAACTTCAATTTGTGGAACACCTCTTGGTGCTGGAGAAATCCCAGTCAAATTGAATGTTCCTAGCAAGTTATTATCTCTTGTTCGAGTACGTTCACCTTCATATATTTTAATTGATATACTAGACTGATCATCAAGATACGTAGAAAAAATTTCAGATTTCTTAGTGGGTACTGTAGTATTACGTCTAATAAGTGGTGTCATAACACCACCAGCAGTTTCGATACCCAGAGATAAAGGAGCGACATCAAGTAAAAATAGATCTTGAATCTTTTCAGAAATATCACCAGATAAAATAGCAGCTTGTACGGCAGCACCATAGGCTGCGGCTTCAGCAGGATTGATAGATTTGTTTGGTTCTTTACCATTAAAGAATTCAGATACCAGTCTTTGAATCTTAGGAATATAAGTTGAACAACCAACTAAAACAATTTCATGAACTTGACTTTTGTCAATTTTACTATCCCGAAGTACTTTCTCAACAGGTTCCATTGTAGAACAAAATAGATCTTGACTTAATTCTTCAAATCTGGCACGCGTCAAAGAGGTATAGAAGTCAATACTTTCATAAAGAGAATCAATTTCAATGGAAGCTTTTATTGATGTTGAAAGTGTACGTTTCGCACGTTCACATGCTGTTCTTAAACGACGGACAGCACGTGCATTCGATGAAATATCTTTTTTAAATTTTCTTTTGAATTCTTGTACAAAATGATTTACAAGACGATTGTCAAAATCTTCACCACCAAGATGATTATCACCAGCAACGGCTTTTACTTCAAAAATTCCCTCTTCAATAATTAAGAGAGAGACATCAAAGGTACCACCACCCAAATCAAAGAAAAGAACATTTTGTTCTCCAGGAGCTTTGTTATCCAATCCGTAAGCAATAGCCGCTGCAATTGGTCCAGTATAAATGCGAAGTATATTTAAACCGGCAATCAAACCAGCATCTTTTATAGCTTGACGTTGAGAATCATTAAAGTAAACTGGTACTGTAATTGTAGCATTATTAACTCGTGTGCCAAGGAATGCTTCTGCGGTCTCTTTCATTTTCACCAATACCATGGATAAAATTTCTTCGGGTGTGAAATCTTTTTTTTCTCCTTTATATTCTACATTGATAACTGGTTTGCCATTCTTGTTTATAATCTTGAACGGCCAATGCTAATTATTTTATAAAGATTTCTTAATTGTCTTATAAATACTAATTTTTAATCAAATAATTTTTTTTTTTAGAACACACCTTCATATCAGATTGAACGTCCTGATCATTGAAATTACGACCAATGAGACGATGAATACTAAATACAGTATTATTAGGATTCATAGCAACTTGATTTTTGGCCGCATCTCCAATAAGAATTTCTGTATCAGTGAAAGATACATATGATGGTGTTGTACGATTACCCTGGTCATTTGCAATAATTTCAACTCTATCATTTTGCCAAACACCAACACAGGAATATGACGTTCCTAAATCAATGCCGACTGCTTTTCCACTCATTAAGGTTATTATTTTTCTATTGTATAGTAAATAAATAAATGAATATTCTTAGGAAAAACTGAGTAAAAAAATTGCAGAGAAATAGAATATGGCAATTTATTAAAATATTTGCGACACATAAACATATATATAGTAATATATATGACAAAGATTTACATTCAGCATTTCCAAACCAGTATTTGAATGGTATCAATTTAATAAAGAAAAGTAATTAGAAACTAGGAAAATTTTTGACCAACAAACAATACGCTTGATTAATGGGACGGTTTAATTAGTAATACACCTTCTTGTGTTACAATTCTTGTTCACTTCCTTTAAGGTTGATCATATTAAATATCGGTTTGCAGAAAGAAGACGACATAGAACTCGGTGAAGATGACTTGGAATTATTCGCAAGCAAAAAATAACAGTCGTGCCTTCTTTAAGGCGAGCAAAAAAAAGTACAAGTATCTATCTTTTTTTATAAATGTGTATAAATTAAATCTATTATAATTTATCAACCCTATAAAAAATTTTTCAGAAAAATGATCACGTGTCTGTTTCTTCGGAATGAAAACTAGAAAAATGAATCATTTATCGGAGCTTTCCAGGATTTTTTTTAGGCAACCCATATATTTTTATGAAAATATTATCCAACAGTTTACAAAGAAATTACGTTATGGTCCTATGACTTACAACAAGTGCCCATTTTTTGCTATTTTTTTTCAAAATACAAGTCATAATCAATAACTTAGCCAAATGTCTAAAACAGAAACACTAATATTTTTTACCATGTGATCATTAATCATAATACATAATGGCCAACTGAAGGCGAATTTGACTTGAACCCTCAAATACAGGGATAATTTTGTTTCCTCTTTTACGTCATTTATATCATAGAGAAATTTTCTGATAGTACTTCAGAAGTAATAATAACAACTGGTTTGGTATAACATTGACGCTTTTGGATTCATTTTTAGTTAGCTTTCGGTTATATTTGAAAATTCTTTTTTATTTTATCTAAAATCATTTAGTTTCTTATTTATTAGTTTTATGAAACTAATAGTATAAAGTTAATATCATTATTATAATCGTTCTCCCTACACATTGATTATAATTATTTTTAAAATATTAAGACATAATTAATTGTTAATGTGACTATAATCTAAATTTATCTAATTAAGATAATAACTTTGTTGGCCAAATTATATTCAATTCTTGTAATGAAGCATATTATTTATTATCGAATGGAATTATTAGATTACTCTTATTACAACCTTAAAAATTACACTGATATAGATGAAGGATCATGATGGAATGAACAGTAAGAAAAGAAAATAAAAAATAAAAAATAAAAGATTATTTAATGAGACAACTTATAAAGTCTGGAGTTTAAAACATCATATCACATGTTAGTATTGCTCAATTATAAATAAAATAATTTTAATAATTTTTAACAGAATCACCGCAGTAAAGATTTCATAAACCTTCAGTAGCCTTCTATTTTTTTTTACAGAGATAATTTTCTTATTTTATTATATACTTCGAGTTGATCACGTGAATTGAACTAATCAAGACGAAAAAGAATTTGGATTACTGATAAAAAATTTATGGGTATAGTAGTCTTTCCTTTTTTAAGGGCTCAGCCCACAGACTTGTATAGCTCCCGTCATTGCCTACATTATTAAAATAAAATAAAATAAAAATAAATAAAAAATTTATTTCATAAGATTTCAAGTAGTAATTTATAATTCAAAACTACAGTATATAAGCTCAGTATATGTTATAAATTAAATCATAAACGCGCAAAGTAAATAAGAATATATATATATACGTAATTAACTTCATTTTTTAAGAATTTGTGCCCGTAATTATATAAACCATCGTAATAATAGTTCGTTTTCCCATGACTTATAATTAAATAATATAAAGTATATTTAAATTAGGATTTATGCCTACTAAATTTATACTCATAACCATCATGACTACAGTATCATATTAGAAGAACTTTTGTCTACAATTCTGTCATTTTTTGCAGATGCTCCAAAGAAAAGCAGAGTGTAAGGTCAAATAATATTGAATTGCATTTAGAATTATTTTGCAATTTATTAATTGTTTTCCCTAGATCTTATTTATTTCTCTTTCTTTGCGTGAAGAGCGGTTAATGAAAATTGCCTCAGGTTAATTTTGAGGTTAGCTTAATACTTAAAGCTTACATGGGCTAATCATATGTTCGATCTAAATGTAATTTATTTTAAACTAACTTGATCAATAATTTCCATAAAAAGTAAAATATAATATAATATAAAAATTTATACATAAAGGTTTTAATTCATTTTGCACTAAGCCTTATTAAATGTAATTTCGTGGTCATGTGGAAAAAATTATTCGTATTAACTTATAATTTTGTTTGCTAATCGCGTCTCCAAAAATCCGCATATTTTTAATGTCAATTTATTCACCTTTTATTACGTACAATTATGATCTTGGTTTGACTTTACCTAAGATTTAATATTACAAAACGTACTTATTGAGTTAGGAAAACTATGAAGAAATATTTACGTTATTTAGATTACTCATTATTTGGTCGACAATCTCTTCAAGTAATTTTTGTTCCTGGTCATGTTCATCTTTTCTTGCTTCTCGGTTATTCTCAAGCCATGCAATTGATTTTTGTGCTGCATCATGAAGTTCATTCTTTATATTATCAATATTCTAAATTCAAATTCATTTAAAATAAGATTATAAATTTGATCAAGTAGACAGAACTATAACAAAAAACTGAAAAACTTACTCGAACAACAGTAAGCAAGTTGTATGCATAGGACTCTAAGCAATTTTGTGGTTCCATTTTTTGCGCATATTGCATTCTTTCTGCAACTTTATTAAAATAATTAAACTTATATTACAGTATGATTATTAAAATGTGAATATTAAAAATTGATTCAAACCCATGCGTTCGATTTCTTCTTTCGATAATCCTTTGTCATTAGTGACGGTAATCTTATTTGATCTTCCGGTTGTTTTACCAACTGCAGAAACCTATAATTAATTAAAAAGTTAAATACAATTAATTTAATAAAATTATATATTCTTATTAAATACAAACGTTCAAGATGCCATTTGCATCAATATCAAAGGTAACTTTTATTTGCGGAACACCTCTTGGAGCAGGAGAAATTCCAGATAATTCGAATTTTCCGAGTAAGTTGCTATCTCTTGTTCGAGTACGTTCACCTTCATATATTTTAATTGATATACTAGACTGATTATCAAAATCTGTAGATATAATTTCAGATTTCTTAATAGGTACTGAAGTATTACGTTTAATTAGTGGCTTCATTACACCATCAGCAGTTTCGATGCTCAGAGATAAAGGAACGATATCAAGTAAAAGTAGATCTTGAGTCTTTTCAGAAGTATCACCAGATAAAATAGCAGCTTGTACGGCAGCACCATAGGTTGCGGCTTCAGCAGGATTGATAGATTTGTTTGGTTTTTTACCATCAAAGAATTCAGATACCATTTTTTGAATCTTAGGAATATACGTTGAACAACCGACTAAGACAATTTCATGGACTTGACTTTTGTCAATTTTACTATCTCGAAGTACTTTCTCAACAGGTTCCATTGTAGAATTAAATAGATCTTGATTTAATTCTTCAAATCTGGTTCGCGTCAAAGAGGTATAGAAGTCAATACCTTCATAAAGAGAATCAATTTCAATGGAAGCTTTTATTGATGTTGAAAGTGTACGTTTCGCACGTTCACATGCTGTTCTTAAACGACGGACAGCACGTGCATTGGAACAAATATCTTTTTTAAATTTTCTTTTGAATTCTTGTACAAAATGACTTATAAGACGATTATCAAAATCTTCACCACCAAGATGATTGTCACCAGCAACGGCTTTTACTTTAAAAATCCCCTCTTCAATAGTTAAGAGAGAGACATCAAGGGTACCACCACCCAAATCAAAGACAAGAACATTTCGTTCTCCAGTAGTTTTATTATCCAATCCGTAAGCAATAGCCGCTGCAGTTGGTCCAGTAATGATACGAAGTACATTTAAACCCGCAATCAAACCGGCATCTTTTATAGCTTGTCGTTGGGAGTTATTAAAATAAGCTGGTACCGTAATTACAGCATTATTAACTTGTGTGCCAAGAGATGCTTCTGCGGTCTCTTTCATTTTTACCAATACCATGGATAAAATTTCTTCGGGTGTGAAATCTTTTCTTTTTCCTTTATATTCTACATTGATAACTGGTTTATTAATAACTTTGAATGGCCAATACTAATTGTTTAATATTTTTTTATTATAAATATTTCTTACTGTTTTATGAATACTAATTACAAAATAATATTTTTAAATTTTTTTTTTTTTTTTATATAGAACATACCTTCATACCAGATTTGACGTTCTTATCATTGAAATTATGACCAATAAGACGATGAACACTAAATACAGTATTATGAGGATTTATAAAAGCTTGATTTTTGGCCGCATCTCCAATAAGAATCTCTGTATCAGTGAAAGCTACATATGATGGTGTTGTACGATTACCCTGGTCATTTGCAATAATTTCAACTCTATCATTTCGCCAAACACCAACACAGGAATATGACGTTCCTAAATCAATGCCGATTGCTTTTCCACTCATTAAGGTTATTATTTTTTTCTATTATATAGTAAACAAATAATGGATATTCCTAAGAAAACTGTGTAAAAAAAAATTTCAGAGAAATAGAATATAGCTAGTTTGTCCATTCAATTATTGATTTGGAATATTAAATGTAAATCAAAAAACTTTCACGTGTAAATGACGTGCTATAAATATTTTTCATATTGTTTATTCCTTTCTTGTGTTACAATTTCTTCTTCCGTTACAACTACTAGTGAATGATATTAAGAAGTATAAAACAAATGCTTTTTAAAATAAAATTTTTGCAAAAAGACGACGTGAAATTCGATGATGATGATTTATTATTATTCGCAAGCCAAAAATAACAAATAGTGCTTGAAGTTATGGAATGTTAGGTGGACCCACAACAAGCGCCCGTTTTTTTCTGCAATTTCTATTCAATATAAGTTTTTCTTAAAAATCTTTATATCGAAATACACTCCATAATCAATATTCGAAACATAAGAGGTTTTCTGTTACTTCAGAAGTAATTATGACGATTGAGTTGGTAATAACGAGAACGTTTGTTGGTAATGTTTGAAGAATTCTTTTTTTTTTTTAAAAAAAAAATCATTTAGTTTTAAACCAAAATTACTTTATAATAGAACCAAGAAAAAAAATTAACACTACTATGATTGTTATAATCGTTTTCCCACATGCTGAATCTATTTATTTATAAAGAACCATAAATTAAACAATATGAAGACAAAAAAAAATTAATGTTATGTATGTAAAATTTTAATTAATTATAATAAAAATATTAAGTAAATAATATGGCTATAAATTAAATTTAGCTTGGCCGAATTATATTCAATTCTTTTAACTAAACGAAGCATATTATCGACATTTATTATTTAATCGATTAGAATATCGAGATCATGCGGAAAATTCCAGATGTCGAGGAATTCGACCCAGCCCTACACAATCGGAAGATATCTATTTTTACAATCATAATTTTCGCTTTTTTAATTTGTTTAACGTCACTATCTATTAAAAATCATAGAATGAAATAAGTCCATGTCATTATTACTTTTAGTTAAAGCAACGGATTTTTTTTCATATAAGTTTTTGCTCAAAATACATATCTTTCTAATACTTTATTAGGTTTATCTTATCACAATCTTTCGTACAGATGAAAAATGATGGTATGAAGAGAAAGAAAAGTAAGCTTAAACAAACTCCTTAAATTGGAGTTTAAAAACATGTCACGTGTGTTATTGTACTAAATCACAAAATTAAAATAAATTTCAATCAAAGTTGACATTCTTATTTTATACTTTATTGTACTTACCACATACAATAACTTGTTTATGAATATATACTGTAATAGGACCCAGAAATATATATATAGGGGTCAGGTGGCGAAAAATTTTTTTACTATGAGCTGTACGCAGAGACTTTTTATATGAGTAGTACGCATAATTGACACCTGATATTGAAAATCCTGCAAAAATACGCAAATAAAATTTCAGACATTAAGTTATTAATTATTTTATCATGGCTTCTATATTATAAATACTAATGTGAAAAATAGAATTTACCATTTTTTTAATAATATTTTTCTAAAATTTCACTTTTTAACCCTTAGAAATTTCTTACAATTCGGTTAATTAAATAAGTACTTACAGTAAATATATTATATATATAAGATTAGCCAAATTTAGGTCAAAAATACGCAAACTAATTTTTTACATATAAAAAATTTGATAAAAAATACGCAATCTTGATGACCTAACTATAGATGAAAAATTCTAAAATTGTACGCAAATCAAAACTTTACTCCGTCTAATTCCACTATGATGGCGACGCATCTGTGTACCCTACCCCTGTATATATATTTCTGGGTCCTACTGTAATACTTTTAAATTAATTTGTAAATTTTTTAAGCTTGCTTTATTTAAATATTAATAAATTTATTTCCTTTATATAATTTATATAATATTCAACTAAATTAATATTTTATAACTAATATTATTAAAAAAGAAAAAATATAAATATTGGACTCTAATAAGTTTTGAAAAATACCGACATTTAAATATCAAAATCAATTTCATGTTTAATATAACCTATATTCGTAATTTAAAGAAATTAGGTTATTTAGAACATAGTTTTTAAAGATATAATATTTTACTTACTTTCTTCAATGTTACATTGTTCAGAATTTACCAATTCAAATTCTTGCGTATTATAATCTAAATAAATGAAAACGAAAATAATTAAATTAAACATAAATTATATTTATTGAAAATACACAAAATATTTTACAATTATTTTCATTTTTGATTAATTTAATCTTTTTAACAATTTTGTCTGGAAATATTTTATTATTTAATTAGTAAATATTGAATGATTTTATATATAAAAATTTTGACTTTTATCATACCTTCATTAAATCTGTTTTCAAATTGATTGTCGTCAAACTTTCTTTTATCTTAAAGAATAAACTTATTAATATTACTTAAAATTTTTTAGCTAATAACTTAAACCATTAAAAGATATATCGTTTTTTTGATGACGATGAAATAGATCTAAATAGTAATGAAGTACTTCATTACTATTTTTTTTTTAATTAAAGTGAAATATTTAATACTATATTTACCAACTCCTGCAGTTATAGACTCGCTAATTTCTGATGATTTCTTAATTTCACAATTATTACTTCTCATTCTAACAATTCTTTTATATATATCAGTAGCATTTGGTCTTTTATTAGGATCTGAATTCCAGCATTCTTTCATTAATTCAATATATCCTTCGGGCGCATTTGTAACAATTGGTGGTCTTAAACCATCATATATTTCTATTATAAGTTCTGCATCATGACTTCTATTCCAAAAAGGTCTTCTACCTGTCATAAATTCCCACATAATCATTCCAAAACTATATATGTCTGATTATTTGGTATATTTTTGTCCTTTAAAAATCTCTGGGGCCATATAAGGAATTATGCCATAATTCTCTTTGTTATTATCATCATCTATAAATTCAATTGCAGATTTATTTAATCCCAAATCACCTAAATATACATTACGCTTATCACGAAAAAAGATATTTCCACTATGAAAATCTCTATGTAAAATATTTACACTATGTATATTAACAAGTCCATTTATTATATCTTTTAACATATACAACTTATAAGACCAACGAATATTATAGAAATCATTAGTTAAGTAGTTTATCAAATCACCTGATTTATAATATGGCATAATAATCATGATATCTTTGGTAACGGGTTCTTGAGTAATTCCAAAATAATTACTAACATAATTGAATAGTTCATATGAATTTTTATAATTTTTCTTTTTTTTCCAATTTAAAGAAAATTCATGAAATATCTTGAGCTAAATAATAAAAAGTTTATTAATTACTTAACTCAAAGTTAAGTTAATAAATAATTGTAATACCTCATTTAACTCCTTAGTTGTGATTTCTTTAGAATTATTAAGCTTTTTAAGAACAACTTCATAATTTTTTTTATAAGTAGGTTTGCAAAAACTTTGTTTTTTCTTACACCAATTATTTATTACTGGACCATCAATCCAAATAGCCTTATAAATTTCACTAAAGCCTCCCTCAGCAATAAATTTTACATCTTTAAATTGGTCATAGGGCACGAACACCATTTTTCCAGCTAATTTACTACTACTAGTTAGTGTATGCATAATAAAATCATCAATAACTTTGTTTCCACTTGGTATATATACTGATTTCGCTTTATAACAAACGCAGCAAATATGATGATTTTCTTCTAAAAGTTCTCTTCTTTGATTACATTCGCTGCATAATATTTTCGTTTTACGTTTACGATTGTGTTTAATTGTGGTTTGTGTTGGCATGCCTAAAGATGTGTTGTCTGATAATAAAAAATCAATTTTGTGTTTATGATTTATTAATTGATCCATCGTTAATTTTTTTTTAAAAAAAAAAAATTTAGCTCTTTTTGCTTGAGACAAAAAAGCCTAAATATATATGTTTTCTTTTAAGCAAGTTTTTAATCCGAACTCAGAAAGAAAATTAGAAGTTTATATTATAAGAATCGTGCTAAGAAATTCTAAATGATCAATCTAGAACTGTAACATGGAAAAGATTTTCGAATAGACTTTTAACAAAAACTCCAACAAAGAATTCTATAGAAGCGCCACATGCTGTGAAACAAGCACAACGTGAAAAAATGATTGGTATAATAAGAAAATATACAGTAAGTTACGCAAATTTCATAGAGAAACGACAGAAACGTGTGAAATAATTATACTGCGATTTGAACACGTAAATTGAACTAACCTGCTATTGTTACACCGATCAAAATTTGAGATTTTTTTCGTAGTTGAAAATAATGTAAATGATTTCGAAACCAAAATACTTATGTTCAGATTGCCTCCCGTATAAAAATAATTTGAATGTGTCTGTTGTAGAACTTGTGCCCGTCATAAATACGTTTACCACCACAAGCTACAATATAACAGTTCCCAAGTTCGTAAAAATAATTAATAAACTAAAAAAAATTAATTTTAAAAATTCTAAATCCTATATTTTTGTTGAAGAACCAATTACAATAATAATTTCCTATTTCAAAATCACCAAGATAAAACCAATAAATTATTCGTCACCATTATGTAGATCACTTCACGGGTAACACGCCACTATCCAAAATAAAATATTTACCGTCATTCTGGACGCAGTACATTTAAAAACACATACACTTAAATTAAATATAATACTGCGCCCCAAAATTAATAATTTCACTGGGAAATTTCGTCCTCTACACTGTGGCACACTGTGAATAACTTGATCGGATGTCAGAGTCATGAGAAGCCCAATCTGTTGTCACATACTCACATTTTTTTCTTTTGCTAATTAACCGAAAAAAAGTTCAATCATATTTCATTTTCATGCAGCAGAAACTATTGGTTAAGGTATGACAGGCTTTTTTTTAAACTATTGATACTAGTATTTGATAGTAAAAGTAATATACGTGTCATTAGACTTTTTAAACTTATTATCGTGATCTTTTGTAGCTAAATTTCCTTAAAAGTTATATAGAAAGTCGAAATTATCAAATTTTTAAATCAGAAATTTTATTTTAGCGACAAAAAATTTTAATCGTTTATACATGTATATAATATGATGTATTATGACTTATGAAACCCGTTAAATAATTCATTCTTTTATGTTATATATTATATAATTATAGACGATAAAATAATGTAATTTTGTAATTTAGTAATTATTTCATTTAAATATCATTCAAAGTTTATAAACTTATTTTTATCTAAAATTCGATTAAAAAAAAAAGACTCTATCATTTATCATGTATAGTTTCCACAAAATAGAAATATTATTAACTATAATTTACGATCACTTGCCAATTTTTATACTAATTTAGCGAGTATAACCTTTCACAATTGAGTCTACAGAGGATGCAGAGCATAATTTACTGGCTAATACTATATAATTATGCTAATTTTATGCAATACTACAAAACTCTATAGTATAGTAACAAAATATAGTATTTTAATTATTTTATGATTTGCGCAGAGTTTACTTCATCCATAATTGAATTTAAGTCATCCGAAATTTGACCACTAACATTACAGTATTAATGTGCTGATATGTGTTACATGAAAAAATTTAAAAAAATTTTCAAGTATTTCAAGAATATTTTAATATTTGTTATACTGTATAGTACGATGTAATATTTATCTGAGTATTCAAAAATTTGTATACTCAGCAAAAAATACAGGGTTTTGCAGTTCATAATTTTGCGGAATCAAACCAAAATCACGCTATACTGAACTCAGCTAGGCAAGTAGACTCAATTGTAAAAGGAATTACCGTAATTTAGCTCCACAATTTGTCTCACCAATAATTAACTATGAGAAGGTTATCTCGTAAACTAGTTAGCTGACGATATAAGAAGATTAACTATTAATTATCACTAAGAATTACACTGGCTCTTTCATCTGTCTATAAATAAATATATTAATTAATTAATTAATTCAAAGATTATTTTACATTATCTTAATCATTCAAAACTGGAGTACAGCAGCCGCGGAGCCGCCCGTTGCTCTGCGCCTTCGCAACGTTGTGACGACTCTATAATTTGTTGGATTAGCGCGGTTGCTCCTGGCATAATTGGCGTTTAATTTTACTTTCTTCTTCTGGAACACATAGAAAAAACCAAAAATGAGGCCTAACGACTGGTAGCTATTGCCTACTGGTCACAATTGGATTTGTAACGAGACGATGAATCTGAAGTAGTAGTATCCTATAAGTAACTTAAGTTGACTTACTGAATTTTTTGCATATATATACAATTAACACAGGCGTTTTATATCAGTTATCTCTGTTATCCTGCAGAAATTGATAACGAGATAAAAATTGCATGAACTGACCTGTCAAACTAGTAATATTATTGTCTAATGCAAAACTTCGTTTCCAATAATAAATATTTATTTATTTACAGCTGTTTTCATAAGTTAGTTACGGGACACTCGGCATTTTTGTTGTAAGACTCTGTAAAGGATAAAATAAAATGAAAACCATACCGCTGTACTCGGGAATCTAACGATTTGATTTTTACCTTATTCTGGATTTACCGAGTATTGCCGAACGTCCCAAGTGTCTCTTGGAATGTGATATTGTGTAATAGACCAATATCAATAATTTTATTGGGCACCGAAGTGAGCGTGTCATGCATGATCACATGATCAATAATCTTGTATTTTTTACTCTGACTATAGCAAACTCCATGGGAAAAAATCTTTTGTATGACATAATTTTTAAAAATTCCATCCGATCTTTCCCTGTTCCTTCTCTTCCTCTTTCTTATCATTTCCAGCGAAGTAACCTATTTTCTCTTTTTTTTATTTCTACTTCGTAGTTTCTTATCCATTCCTTTTGGTGTTTCAAGGATATTTTTTCAAAAAGTTTTTTTTAAAAATTATTTTACATTTTATTTAACTTTATTTTATATATTTTGCTGGTTAAGATACTTCTCTCACACACTTTTGGTGCGGTATAATGGTTGGGGTATAGGCCCTTGCTCTAAGTAGCTCTAAGTAAACTCGTCTTTAGTATGATTTACAGGCGGAAGTAAAAAGAGGTAAGAGACCTGTTCCTTACTGATAACACACTCGTCTCAGGATACCGAATCATTATAATTTAATGGCTAAATTATAATGAGGGTGCCACAAAATCTTCTCTTACATGGCAGGACCATGATAAGGATCCTCATACGCATACTTTATTGGAGGTTAGAGTTAAGTGGGGTGGTTAGTATCTGATTGGCGGCCCCTAATAAGGATTCCTTAATTCCTATTCGTTTTCTTGATGACAACTATTTATAAATTACCTTTTTACTAATTATTCGTTACAGTGACCCGTGTTACTCATACATCGGTGCTTATTGATTTTATAGGTATTTTTCTGATAATCAGTAGATCCCGAGTCTATAATTATTTTATTGTATTTAATTTTATCTACTGCTTCTGAAAGCGCACACTACGTAAAAAATAAATAATAATTTTTGAACTTGTTAAAGAATATTTATATTCTGATACGTTAATTTACAAACACAATATGGTGTAACTTGAGATACGCCACTAACAAATGTCTGAACTCCTAATCGTCTAAATTGTTAAGAATATATACTCGTTTTAATTATTTTTACTAAGAATATAATGATTACTATATACTGTATTTAAACTTAATACCGTCCCGTACAATCAATGTAATAATTTACAAAAACATTTAACTCGAACTCAGTAATAGTAATGTGTTTAATGTAACTTCGATAATAAAATTTTAACTGAATAATAAGTGATTATTTAAGGAAATGTGTGATTGGTAATACGACAATGATTTATCTTTTATGTATTGCTTATTAAGGATCTCTAGTTTTACAATAAAACATGATCACCATAGGAACATCTGTTCAGTTCTATCATTTTTTTCCAGATGCTTCAAAGGAAAACGCAAGGCCAAAAAAAGAGTACAAGCTTAAATTGCATTTTGAGTTATTTTGTAGCTTGTTTATTTTTTTCTTTAGATTTTAATTATTTTCTTTTTCTTCGCTTTATTTGAAAGGGTGAAAAGCAATTTTCTGAAGGTTAAAATGGATTGTTTAAACTTGTCGCGAACATATAACGATATATAATAAACACTGCCTCACATTAATTTAAATCTCTGATTAGTTCGGTTTAATACACAAAGACTTTGCAGATAAAAATAAAAGTAGTTCGATCTAAATGTAATTTATTTTAAACTAACTTATCAATAATTTTCGATAAAAAGTAAAATATAAACAATATAAACTTTATGAACACATAAAGGTTTCTATTCCCGATAATTTATTTTGCGTTAAGCCTTATTAAACATAATTTCGTGGTCATGCGGGAAACGGAAAATAAAAAATTTATTCGTATTAAATTGTAATTTTGTTCAGTCGCATCTCCAAAAAATTTTCATATTTTTTAGTCAATTTATTTACTTTTATTACGTACATTATGATCTTTAACTTTATTTAATAATTTAATACCAAATATACAATAAGTACTTATTGAGCTAAGAAAGCTTTGAAAAAGTACTTACGTTATTAAGTTTATTCATTATTTGGTCGACAATCTCTTTAAGTAATTTTTGTTCACGTTCACGTTCATCTTTTTTTGCTTCTCGGTTATTCTCAAGCCATGCCATTGATCTTAGTGCTGCGTCATGAAGTTCATTCTTTATATTATCAATATTCTAAATTCAAGTCCATTTTAAAATGAGATTAACTTTGATCAAGTAAACAGAACTTTAACAACAAACTGAGAAACTTACTTGAGCTACGTTAAGCAGGTTGTATGCATAGGATTTCAGGCATCTTTCTGCACGTTCTGCATGATATATTTTGGCTTCGTTAACTGTAATTATTAAAATAATTAAACTTAGTTATATTATTGTATGATTATTAAATGTAAATATTTAAATTTAATTCGAACCCATGCGCATGATTTTTCCCTTCGATAATCGTCCTTTGTCATTAGTGACGGTAATCTTATTTGGTCTTCCTGTTGTTTTATCAACAGCAGAAACCTATAATTGAATGGAAAGTTAAAATACAATTAATTTAATAAAATTATAATTCATACATAAATACAAACGTTCAAGATGCCGTTTGCATCAATATCAAAGGTAAACTTTTATTTGCGGAACACCTCTTGGAGCAGGAGAAATTTCAGATAATTCGAGTTCTCCGAGTAAGTTGTAATCTCTTGTTCGAGTACGTTCACCTTCATATATTTTAATTAATATGCTAGACTGATTATCAAAATTTGTAGATATAATTTCAGATTTCTTAGTAGGTATTTTAGTATTGCACTTAATAATTGGTGTCATGATGATATCACCAGTAATATCGATACTCAGAGATAAAGGTGCGACATCAAGTAAAAGTAGATCTTGAGTCTTTTCAGAAGTATCACCAGATAAAATAGCAGCTTGTACGGCAGCGCCATAGGCTGCGGCTTCAGAAGGATTGTTGGATTTGTCTGTTTTTTTACCATCAAAGAATTCAGATACCATTTTTTGAATCTTAGGAATATACGTTGAACAACCAACTAAGACAATTTTATGGACTTGACTTTTGTCAATTTTACTATCCCGAAGTATTTTCTTAACAGGTTCCATAGTAGAATTAAATAGATCTTGATTTAATTCTTCAAATCTGGTTCGCGTCAAAGAGGTACAGAAGTTAATACCTTCATAGAGAGAATCAATTTTAATGGAAGCCTGTGTTGATGTTGAAAGTGTACGTTTCGCATGTTCACATGCTGCTCTTAAACGACAGACAGCACGTGCATTCGATGAAATATCTTTGTTAAATTTTCTTTTGAATTCTTGTACAAAATGATTTACAAGACGATTATCAAAATCTTCACCACCAAGGTATGTGCCACCAGCAACGACTTTTACTTCAATAATCTTCTCTTTAATCATGGTTAAAAAAGAGACGTTACAAGTACTACCACCCAAATCAAAAACAAGAATATTTAATTCTCCAGTAGTTTTCTCATTCGATCCATAGTATTCAAAAGGAATGCCACTAATTGCTACAATCATTGGAATAAAGAAAGCATCAAATATACTACTTCGTTCATAAAATAGAGAATTATAAAAAGGTACATTCAAACTGTAAGTAATAGCCACTGCAGTTGGTCCAGTAATGATGCGAAGTACATCCAAACTGGCAATCAAACCAGCATCTTTTATAGCTTGTCGTTGAGAGTTATTAAAATAAGTTGGTACCGTAATTACAGCATTTCTAACTTGTGTGCCAAGAAATGCTTCTGCGGTCTCTTTCATTTTTACTAATATCATGGATAAAATTTCTTCGGGTGTGAAATCTTTTCTTTTTCCTTTGTATTCTACATTGATAACTGGTTTGCCATTCTTGTTTATAACTTTGAACGGCCAATGCTAAACATTTAATATTTGTATAGTAAAGATTATTGTCTTATAAACACTAATTTTCAATAAATAATTTTATTAAATTTTTTTTTTTATTGAGAACATACCTTCATATCAGATTGAACGTCCTGATCATTGAAATTACGACCAATGAGACGATGAACACTAAATACAGTATTATGTGGATTCATAACAGCTTGATTTTTGGCCGCTTCTCCAATAAGAATTGTATCAGTAAAAGCTACATATGATGGTGTTGTACGATTACCCTGGTCATTGGCAATAATTTCAACTTTATCATTTTGCCAAACACCAACACAGGAATATGACGTTCCTAAATCAATACCGACTGCACTCATGTATTTTTTTTTCTTTCGTTTCTATTGTATAGTAAAACAAGTAGATGAATTATTCCTAGTAAATTGGGTAAAAAAATTTCAGAGAAATAGAATATGGCTAGTTGTTAGTTAAAAAAATTCCCATCCAATTACCGGTTTAAATGTAAATCAAAAATTTTCACGTGTTACAAATATTTTTAATAAATTCACAATAACTGATAAGAATTGCTTTCTGATGGGCGTTTCAATTAGTAATACTTTGTTTATCCTTCTTGTCTTTTTCCCGCTAAACTAGTGGATTGCTTTTAACCGATGTTTTTTTGTTCCAGTTTCACAGTTAAAAAAATCCGATATACTGATCTTTTATATTATTTCACGATATAACGTATACCGATACAATCTTTCCGTCCCCTTTATAGTAACGTATATGAAAATCCGATATCTTAATATAGTTCGGGCTTTTCTTGCAAAAATAAATCACACAATTTCTTGTACTGAATTTTGTTTAGCATAATGTAGGTCGAAATTAGATGATTGACCAGCATTACAATCTACTATACCGATAATTTGAAATACCGATAGTCCGATATTTTTCCCCAAAACACCGGTATATATATAGAGGTTTGGCTGTACCTTCATAAAGAGAATCGATTTCAATGGAAGCTTTTATTGATGTTGAAAGTGTATGCACGACGGACAGCACGTGCATTGGAAAAAACCATCTTTATTAATTTGCTTTTGATTTTCTTGTACAAAATAATTTACAAGAAATCTTCATCACCAAAGTAGTGAGTGTAGCAATGGCTTTTACTTCAAAAAATTCCACTTCAATGGTTAAGAGAGATACATCAAAAGCTCCATCACCCAAATCAAAGACAAGAACATTTCGTTCTCCCCGCAATCAAACCAGCATCTTTTATAACTTGGCGTTGAGACGGAATCATTAAAATAAGCTGGTACCGTACTAGTTAGTAGTTACAGCATTTTTAACTTGTGTACCAAGGAATGATTCTGCGGTCTCTTTCATTTTTACCAATATCATGGATAAAATTTCTTCGGGTATGAAATCTTTTCTTTTTCCTTTGTATTCTACATTCATTAATATTAACTGGTTTGTCATCCTTGCTTATTACTTTGAACGGCTAATGCCAATATAAATTTCTTATTGTATCAATCAACAATTTTTTTAAAAAATTCTTTTTTTTTATTTAGAACATATCTTCATATAAGATTGAACGTCTTGATCATCGAAATTACGACCAATGAGATGAGGATTCATAGTAGCTTGATTTTTTGCCGCTTCAATCTCTGTACAGTACACGTTTCAAAACTTATATATAATATAATAGCTACTAGTACATATCATATCAATTTTTTGTACGACATAAAAATATAATATATTAAGATACGACATGTAATTGTTGAATTATTAATATATACTCGTTGTTCAAAGTTAAAATAATCAAAGAGTCACAGATAAAAGTTTATTAAGTAGTAAGGCTCGAAACATAAAAAACTTCTTTGTAATATTCGATTTTGTATTGTTGCGGTTTATCGTCATAAGGTACTCAAATGAGTTTATCACACTCTTAATCCTTGCGTCAGCAATTTTGGATGTAATGTAAACTCAAAAAAGGGTCGAATAATGAAGATTTTGCTTGCATAAATTGTAAGCTTATCAGATATTCTCAAAAAAAAAGATCTTGTTTCAATAAGGTAATCATTGTTGCCGCAAATACCTGACATCTTTTCTGTTAATAATAACAAATAATGCTTTTCAGATCATTAAGTACGTTCATACTAGACTTATTTAAAAGTTCCCATCAAAACCCTGTCTTTTTGTTTTAGAAAAAAAAATAAATTTTTTTCTTGTAAAATTTGTAGATAATTATTATTATTATTTTTTTTTTAAAAAAAAAAAATCCTTTATTACGCTCTTCATTTGTGCCTTGCCCTCTTAGCTCAATTTCTTTTCTACTGAACAATAATCATTACGAAAAATCAAAACGTTGAAAGAAAATAATTTGAAAAGAGAAAGAATAGCCTCTGAAATAAACCAACTCTCATATAGATAAAACATATAAAAAAAATCACGATTTTAGTTATATACTAGTAAAATGGTTAGTACCTATGTAGTCTGTAATTAGTTTTTGTATATCACTTTTTTATATAATAAAAAGAATTTTCAGTAAAATATATAAATTAATGGAAAAGATTATTGGTATTTCTTACTAACATGCACATATTTATATATTAATGCAAAATATTTCAATATATTAATGTTTAAAGTGCAATACAATGAATTAAAACATAATTTTAGTAAGAAATTTTTAAATATTAATAAACGTGTTTATTAAATATATACATTTAATTTTAATATCTAATTAAAAAGTAAAATAAAAGATATTGTACTTTAATAGAAATAATAATAGTAATAGTCACATTATATATTTTGCAAATTTTTTGATTTACCACATTTTGAAATCTTAATTACTTACGGCCCTACCACAAGGGACTTCCGAAGAAGCGCACTATGCTCCTCCCATGTAAATTACGCATAGCACCATGCCGTACCACAACCAACTGGTCCTATCGTAAGACTGCAGCAGAAACTGGTACCTACGAGCTTACTAAAAGTAAGCGCCTATGCTCCAACCCTCGCATAGTACTATACCGCTCCAAAAAATTTCCAACCAGCCCTACTGTGAGACTGCAGCAAAGCTGGTGCTCACAGGCTTACAAAGTAAGCACGCTATGCTCCCACCCATGCATAGCATCATGCTGCTCCAACTTAAAGTACCCAATAAACTTACCTTTGACCCTACTTACCCACGCATAGAACTATACTGCTCCTAATTAAGAAAATTATGAGTTCTGAAAACAGAAAGTTGCATTCATTTTGTTATTCAAGCCTGGGACGAGGTTAATGCTAAAATGATTCATTCATAATCACACAAAAATTTTTCCCGATGTAACTGTTTATTTGAGAAATATTTCACGCCTAAAAAAAGACTGAAAAAAAGAGAGAGAAGTCCTAAAAAAAAGACTGAAAAAAAAGAGAGAGAGAAGCCCTAAAAAGTCTTAAAAAGAGAGACCAAAAAAAAGGAGAAAACCTAAAAAAAAAGACCAAAAAAAAGAGAAAAGTTCTACCGAAAAAGAGAAATAGTTTTAAATTTTTTCCGATGTAACTGTTGATTTGAGAAATATTTCAGAGGATATTTGTCAATATGAAAACATGGTGCTTAGTGATCTTACAAATGCACTTCAAGCCCTTAATCTCCACTGAAAAAAAAGAATACCTAGAAAAAAAAGAAGATGGTGTCCTAAAAAAAGAGAAGACCTAAATAATGAGAATTCTTAAAAAAAAAAGACCAAAAAAAAGAGAGAAGTTCTTGAAAAAGTGTAGAAATAATAAAAAGGAAGCAGGGTCTTTTATATATTTTTTTGTTATCTAAATACCAAAAATTCAAATCGGAATGACTCATGACTTATTTGGAATGACTCATGTATTTTTAGATTTTCTGATTAAAAAAATCAAAAATCAATATAAGCTCAGTAGTACGTGTAAATCACATGACTACTTTGCCCAATGTACGTAATACGAAATAAAATACATTCAGTTACTTTTTTTTTTTAAAAAAAAAAAGACTTATGAAATACACAAAGTTGCCTTTACAAATAGAATATCCGTGACGGTTTGAAAAGAGATAATTTTATATTTTTTATACTGTATTTATATTATATCACAATTTTAATTAGTTAATTAGAACGCGTACAAATTGAATATCATATTACGTAATGGTCGAATTACTCTAAATGATACAAAATTTAATGTCGAAGTTCAAATTTTAGAAGTGGATAACGTTAAAGCGAACCTGCATGGAATCATATTATTGATGATCATGGTTAAAAATAATATTTCAATTGAAATAAATATAGAAAAATCATTAATCAACATAATAATAGGATATTTAGAAGAAGATAGTGATAGGAAAATGTTGAATAATAGATATTATGTTGAATTAAATTTTATGTGCCAGTTGATACGTGACAAAACTATACAAATAGAATGGAGTGAGTTTATGAATGATAAACCTGTTGATGATGATAATACAACATGTAACCAAGACACAATATCATTTTCGCTTGTAGATTTAGCTTATAATATTTATACGCTAAGGTGGAAAAAGAATATATTATATGGTGATTATAGGAATTATGTTAAGAAAATTAATCATATTAAATATAAGGCGAATATTCTGACATGTCACTATCTTGAGGATATATTTTATCGTAATGAACTACAAGAAATTAATTGGAAGAATACGTTTAATTTCGTTCAAAAAGGAATGTCATCAAGCAAGAGATTCACGAGTGGAGATGATAACGCTTTAAAATCAAAAATCTATTAAAAATTTTACCGACTTATACAATTTTATTTGAGAGAAATTGTGGACATATATTAACAGACATTTGTATGAGATGCGAATCAGTGGCAGAAGATTGGGAACATATATGGTCATGTGATGATAATGAAAAGTCGGAATATGAAATTCTAATAGATACATTAGTTGCTACTGAAGAAAAGTTCAAGGATTTAGACGAAGAAAGACATAAAATCGTCAGGACTTTAGCGAAAGAAATAGTTGATTTTATGATTACTCCATCCAATATATTAATTATAGGAAGTCAGTTACGAATTAGAGAATTAACTAGAGGAATTTTTAATAATGAGCTATACAAACTTGTAATTAAAAACCAGAACGACAAATGTTGGAAGAAATTTGGGAAAGTTGCTATTTAAATATACGTTCGGGTATATGGATACAAAGGTGTGAAAAGATTAATGAAATAGAAAAAGGAAAAGGCGTCACCAAAGGTGATAAAAAACGTAAACGAACACTATGAAGTTGAGGGGGACATATTAGATGGGGATCACGGAAAAAATATGAATAATTCAAAAAAACATCAATATAATATAAAAAGAATAAAAAAAGAAATTATAATGGAAAATATAGTTAGTAATAGTTGTTATTAATAGACCATATAGAGAAACGTGGGATTACGCCCATAGACAGATTTATATAATTTATAATGTTTAGTTTTATTAATTTTTACATAGTATATAATTTTAGTTTAGAGTTAGAATAGTCATTAGTCAGTGTTAAGCTTTGTTAATACATCCATAATTGATATGGAGTTAGTAGGTAGTATTTATACTATGATTTGCTTCTAACTTATAAATTGTATTACGCAATAAATAAATAAAGAATGCATATTGCTAACAAAAAAAAAAAAAAGTTAATTAGAACGCGTATTTCCAGAGAGGATATAAAATATGTACGAGGTATTCCTTAATTCTATAATGTAATCAGTACAACCACTTAAAATCATACAATTTATTGCGTAATCGTCAATAGTATATTTTACTATGATGGTGTCGTACAATTACCCTGGTCATTGGCAATAATTTCAACTCTATCATTTTGCCAAACGCCAACACAGGAATATGACGTTCCTAAATCAATATATACCGACTGTTTTTTCACTCATTTATTTATTTATTTTTTTTCTTTCGTTTCTATTGTATCATAGTAAACAAATGAATGAATATTCTTAGGAAAAAACTGGGTAAAAAAATTACAGAGAAATAGAATATGGAATTTATTAAATTAAATTAATTAAATTATTTGTAACATGTGAAAGTTTTTTGATTTACTGCACATCTCATTCCCAAACCAATAATTGAATGGATTTTTTGTATCAATTTAATAAAAACGTTTTAAAATGATTAAATGAAAACAAATGTTTTAATAAAATTTTTACGACATGAAATTTGATGAAGATGACTTAGTATTATTCGCAAGCTAAAAATAACAAGTCATACCTTTCTTAAATTCCTTAAAATGAAGTAACTGAAGTTGTGGAATGTCGGGTGGACTTACAACAAGCTTCTTTCAATATTTTAGTTTTTTTTAAAAAAAAAAATATTATATCGTAATCACGTCATAAGGTAAATTTCTAAGAAACCGAAACACTAACACTTTTGTCATGTAATCTTTAATCATAATAAATAATACGCCAATTGTAAGTACAAGATTTATTTTTATTTCTTCGTTAATTTCTTTTTTATTCCCTATCGCTACTATAACGACAAAATAGTTTATTTAGTACAAGATTTAAATGCAGGAATTACAATTTAACTCTTAACACAAATTATTAAAATCTTATGTATCATGAATTTGAAGATAATATAGATATTGAGTATTATGTTATTTTATTTAAATTTCACTTTTTTTCTTTGATATCGAAAATTTTTTCCTTAATTAAAAAATGCATAAATAAATAATAAATTTAGTTAGGAAAATTTTTTAAAATAGGTTACGCGCTTAAAAATTTATTGGTTAAAGATGTAGATCATCACGTGTTCCAGTAAATCTCCTTTTACTATTATATTCCGTCAAATCAATATATGTGATTTGGTTCCGGAAAAAAGTTCCGATATAAGGCCAGTTCCGGTTTATTGAGGTTCCGTTATATCGAATTTCACTGTGTCGAATTTACGCGTCAAAAATTTTGTATTATATTACATACAGTAATTACAGTATGATATTTGACTTCATTTAATAATTCAATATAAAACGTACTTGTTGGATGAGGGAAGTTATGAAGAAACATCTACATTATAAAGTTTGTTCATTATTTGATCGGCAATCCCTTCAAGTAATTTTTGTTCACGTTCGTATTCATCTTTACTTGCTTCTTGGTTATTCTCAAGCCATGTAATCGATTTTTGTGCTGCATCTTGAAGTCTATTCTTTATATTATCAATATCCTGAATACAAATACATTTTAAAAACGAGACTAAAATTTGATCAGGTAAACAAAACTTTAATAACAAATTGAGAAGCTTACTTGAACTACGTTAAATAAGTTGTGTGTATATGATTCAAAGCATTCTTCTGCATGATATTCTTCAGCTTCGGAAACTGTCAATATTAAAAATTAAATTACATATTACTGTATGACTATTAAAATATGAATACTGAAAATTAATTCAAACCCATCCGTTCGATTTCTTCCTTCAATAATATTCCTTTTTCATTAGTGGGATCACCACCAGATAAAATATAAGCTTGTACGGCGACACCATAGGCTGCGGCTTCAGCAGGATTGATAGATTTGTTTGGTTTTTTACCATTAAAGAATTCAGATACTAGTCTTTGAATCTCAGGAATATAAGTTGAACAACCAACTAAAACAATTTCATGGACTTGACTTTTGTCAATTTTACTATCCCGAAGTGCTTTCTCAACAGGTTCCATTATAGAACGAAATAGATCTTGATTTAATTCTTCAAATCTGGAACGCGTCAAAGAGGTATAGAAGTCAATACCTTCATAAAGAGAATCAATTTCAATGGAAGCTTTTATTGATGTTGAAAGTGTACGTTTCGCACGTTCACATGCTGTTCTTAAACGACGGACAGCACGTGCATTCGATGAAATATCTTTTTTAAATTTTCTTTTGAATTCTTGTACAAAATGATTTACAAGACGATTGTCAAAATCTTCACCACCAAGATGATTATCACCAGCAACGGCTTTTACTTTAAAAACTCCCTCTTCAATAGTTAAAAGAGAGACATTGTAAGTACCACCACCCAAATCAAAGACGAGAACATTTCGTTCTCCAGTAGTTTTCTTATCCAATCCGTAAGCCATAGCTGCTGCAGTTGATCCAATAATAATACGGAGTACATTCAAACCCGCAATCAAACCAGCATCTTTTACAGCTCGACGCTGAGAATCATTAAAGCAAGCTGGAACTGTAATTACAGCATTTTTTACTTGTGTACCAAGAAATGCTTCTGCGATTTCTTTCATTTTTATTAATATCATAGATAAAATTTCTTCTGGTGTAAAATATTTTCTTTTCCCTTTGTATTCTACATTGATAACCGGTTTACCATTCTTGTTTAGGACTTTGAACGGCCAATACTAACATAATTAAGATTGTAAAAACTTTTTTAATTATCTTTTCTGATGAGTTTAAATTTTCATTTATTATGTAGAACATACCTTCATATCAGATTGGACATCTTGATCATTGAAATTACGACCAATGAGACGATGAACACTAAACACAGTATTTTGTGGATTCATCGAAGCTTGATTTTTGGCCGCATCTCCAATAAGAATTACTGTATTAGTGAAAGCGACATATGATGGTGTAGTACGATTACCCTGGTCATTTGCAATAATTTTAACTCTATCATTTTGCCAAACGCCAACACAAGAGTATGACGTTCCCAAATCAATTCCGACTATAATTTAATCATTATTATTATTTGTTAAATTCTTTGAGCAAAAAAAATTTTTAATTTAGGAAAATAAACATACCGCTCATTAAGTTTCTTTTTGGGTTTTTTCTTATCGTATTGTGAATAAATAAATGAATATTCTTGAGAAAATTGAAAGATTAGGGGGAGCAAAAATGTAACAGGGACAAATCGATAAATTGAAAAAGAAATTTAAAGTTGAATAAGAATCTTAACATGTGAAAATGTTTTGATCTACATATTCCAAATCATTGGATTTAATAAAAACGGTTAATAAAGAAAAATGATTAACGATTTACACTAACCGATAAGTTTTACATAATCTTTAATCTTTCTATTTCACATGAAAAAACCTATAAAGTATAAACCCATTAGGACGTCACGTGTATATATAAATACACACGGGACCAGTCGGGACCTCCGATAAAGCATTAAAACTTGATTTGCTTGTTTATTTCTTTTGAAACTAAATCTCGGTAATTCCAGGAAAAATTTAAAATAAAAAAAAGGTTCGAGCAATATATCTTTTATTTCAGAAAAAATATAAAAGTATCAATAAATCAAAGACCAATGTCTTTCTTAACTAAGCAATAGCCGATACAGTTTGTCCAATAATGATACGAAGTACAGTACATACTGAAAATCGAGCCTGCATCTTTTACAGCATTGACGTTAGAATCATAATCAACTTTTCAGAGATTGATTGAAATTATAAAAATTTCTTTTAAAACAACGTAAAAGGAATAATTAAAATAAGCCGTACTGTAATTACAGCATATAGTTATTACTATTGCAAACATTATTTAAAAATTAGTGAAATCTGTGCGGTAAATGGGAGCAACTAGAGTAATAGAGTTACTTGGGCTGCTTGGTGTCGTGCGAAAGACTGCTGCCACCTGATTTCCCGACAAGGGTTTTGATAACGTAAAAAAGTATAAAGACTTTATTAAAAATAGAATGCATTCTTGGTTTAGTTATTACATATAACTGTGAGACACGAGTCAAGGAATTTAAAGACAGGCAATCATTGTCAGTAGTTTAAAAGTTCACTTTTAGAAAGGAATATAAGCCAGATCACACCCTCATTTTCTAAAAACACATCGAACTTGATCGCAACTACTAAGTCTACAAACCTATTATGTCTGTGATCGGCAGCCGTAAATAAGTGATTTGCAAACAATTTACGTAGCAATAATTTATGGAATAATCTCTGAATCTAATAATAATCGAAGATGGAACTATAACCCACTGGACAATTAGTTTAACCGCCAGAACAAACAACTAAAATAAACGAATCTTCGAATGGGATTAAGCGAAAATCCGACAGAAAAAAAGATTCGAATTGGGAACAATTGTTTCATATAACCTTTAGTTGTTATTGAAAAACACAACATTTCCGTTCCCTCGTATGAAGATTTTGAAATTTTCAAACGGGAAAGAGTTTTTAAATCATTCAGACGTATTTTTACGACATTCACTTCCCTTATCCGATGAAGATGAGAATAAATTACCGTAGCCGCCGTCGGCCTACATTTATGCTCATTATTAATCCAAATCACGTGACTTCGTTAAAAATTTTCTTCTTTTTCACTAATCTAGATTAATTAATACATTGACTTAGTTTGTTCTTTAGTTTGCGATTTTGCGTTGTTCAAGCGGTTACGTTATTCTTACAGTTCATGAGTTTCACTTAGTCATAAACAATAAATAATGCATAGAGAAACATAAGTAGAGAAAGTAGCTTTAAACTGTTTAAATAAAACAAACCACTAACTGTATACAATAAATACTAAGGTTGGATAAAATTACGCATCTTGTCTTTCAATATACTGTATGTTAACTCTTTACGTGATATATATGGACAGGGTGGTATCGATGCAGTAAAATGCTGAATTATTGAACGTGTAGTTCGTACCAGTATAATGCTGAATTATTGAACGTGTAGTTCGTACCAGTATAATAAGTGGATTGGATAGGTTGCTGTGAAGATTATGATTTCTCGTCTAATTACTCATGGGTATTGTTGAATTCATCTGTGGAGATTTTCGCTTCCTGTGCGATTGCCGGAAATTAAATAATGACGCGTCCGTGAAATGGGCTGCGTCTTAATTGTTGGCGAATTTGAAATAGGGACTGCTTCTGCATTAGATGTGCTCGGAGAGCGAATATCTCCTTTTGTTTCTAGAAGGTAGAAACATATATATGCTGATAAATGTTTATACAAATTTCGGTGTTTATTTTGCGAAGTCGCTTATTGTAAGTTTTTCTGCGTCTTGCTCAAGTTCTTGATCTTCGTATTCACCCTCCACCTTTTCTATGGTAGCTTCTTGATATCGCCGGGAGAGGGCGTAGTCCCACTTGCTCTACTAGTTAATAATATTGAGTGGATTTTTATCAACTGGCGTAGTTCCAGAATCATATCGCTTTTTGTTTTTTAGAGTAGAATATATATGCTGATAAATTATATAGTGACTCAAATATTTTTAATTTTTTTAACGAAGTCGCTTTATAGGGTGTTTATTCCCATTTGCTTTTTTAATATATTTATAGTTACTAATTATATTGAGTAGATAATTCGACTGGCGTAGCTCCTTTAAATATATTGGAGTACGAATATCACCTTTTGTTTCTTAGAGTGAAATATATATGCTGATAAATGTTTATACATCATCGACGAGATATTTCGGTATTTTAATGGACACGTTCTAACTTTTCTTTTGGATTCAAAATAAATTATTTGATAACTATAATAACTATATCATTATCCGTTCTTTAACGGAGTAAATCAAAAACAGAATTGTTTATGGATTTTGTAAATATATCATATCCAAATCCAAATATACTATCCTGTTTTGTATGAAATAACTCAGACGCATCGATTTTTTACAAGTAAACTTTAATTAATACAACTTTATTAATATAAAACGCAAAAGTACCAGACTCGAAAAATTACCTTTTTGACCCGCATTACATATAAGAGGGTCAAAAAAAAGGATGTCGTACAGGGGGTATTGATTGATCTTAATAAATAAAATACACAATATTTTTTCTATCCAGATATATTTCAGATTTTTATTTAGACTGAATAATCCAGATAAAAAAATTGGATAATTTTTAATTTATTTAAATAATATTTCTATTTTGAATCAAATACTAGTAATAGGTATATCCAAATCATTCATATCATTATATAAATGATTTGAATGTTTTGAATGTCTTAAATGGATCGTTGCTTGATATAATCTACCTATTATATTTATTGTTAAATTTACAACTGAAGAAATTAATGTAAGTAAGGGAATAATATCATAAGATACAGTATAAAGTTTATATAAAATCTATAATTAATATAAAGAGAAAAAAAAAAGAATATATTATTATTAGTAAGACTTATTAAAATAATATTAATATTGATTAAAAAAAAAATTCCTACCTGAATGATTACTTGAGGAATATCTTCAATAAAAATGTTTAAACAAGTACCCCAAAATATTTTTGATTTAGCATCATCAGAAAAAGGAGCATTAAAAAATGAAAACCCAGCTAAATTTGAATGTAAAATACTTAATGTTTCAATATCAGCACTAGCTAATATAGTAAATATGCTTGCCACTTTTTTATGAGCCATAAACCATTCAAGAAATTTTGGTCTTGTATTTTCTTGTGTTATAAGATAAAAAGCTAATATGGTATTTATTCCTATTGGTACTGTTACAAATACAATACTTTTTTAAAAAAAAGAAAAAAAAGGAAACAAATAAAATCAGTAATTATACAATTACATAAATTAATGAATAAAGAGTAAATGAAAATTACAAAATTATCATACCTTGGAAAATAAAGAACAGGAATGTCTTTAGCATTATTATTTACAAAAGTAATATCAATAACCAAATCAAAAATAATTAAACCAAGTTGTAAAATAGCAATATTATTACCCTAAAAAAGAAAAATTATATCAATATATTTATATGATTTAATGTGATTATAAAAATCAAAGACTTTAAGATAGTTTACATTACTATTCCTACTTCGAGCAAAAAAGAATAAAACAATCAAAAGTCCAATAATTAATAATATGCCTAATAAATTGTACTTATATTTTTCCCATAAATTCACTATAAACATATGTATAATTATAAAATTAGCGTATATAAACTGATTAAAAGATATAAAACTTTTCTCATATGATACTTACGTGTAGGAATGAAACCATATGATTGGTCCAAGTACTTAGATGCCTGACCATTATTAATTAGAGTTAGATCTTTACTTTTAACCATAGTATTAATATTATTAACAACGGTCTCAACACTTATATCATTATTAACTCTAGTTTCTTCAACACCAATAGAAATTAAATACTGGTTTTCATTTACACTAGGATCTAATTGAGTTTTTTCATTACTAGTAAGACATGAACGAGATACAGGAATAGCATTAGATAAATCATCTAATAAAATATTAAAGAAATTGGATTGTTGTTCCTGAGGTAAACTATCAAAATATTTTGTACCATCGGGAGTCAAACGTAATAAACCATTCATTGAAAGAGCAAAAGGAACTTCTTTTTGTTTTACATTAAAACTCCAAATATTATCTCTTATACCCAATAGAGATTCTTTATATGTCTTATCTCTAACAAAATTATTATCCATCTTAATATAATAAATTCCACCAGATACACTAAAAGTACTATCTAATATTTTTGCATTAACGGTTTTACCATTATTATTTACCGTACATGATGATTCAGTAATGTATTGACGTAAATTAGGTTGATTATCAATTAATTGATAAATAGTTAATTTACCATCAGATAATTCTACTGGATCATAAAAATTAATTGTAATATTTTGTATATCCGGACTTATTGTAGAATTAATGGCGGGATAAGTTGATTCCACATTGAAATTAAAATAACCTTTATCCTTATTTCCATCAAATTTTGGTAAATCAATTACTTGAAATCGCCAAGAATTATCTGTTTCCAATTGAGAAACTAAAAGAGTATTATTACGTAATATTTGATATACACCTTTTATTCCTATAGGTTCAGGTTCGAGAAATTCCCAAGGAATAGGAGCAGAATTATGTTCATCAATTAAATATCCATAAATAGAAAATTGATTTGGACCAGTAGGAGCAGTATTTGTTAAAAGGTAACCACCAAATGCTAAACTATTTACAACCCAATCCATATTTGCATTTCCGACAGGTAAAGTTAAACTATTAGCAACTTGAGATTGAAAAGATAAAACAGAACCAGAAGATAAGAATTTAATTTTAATATAAAAAGATTCAGATGGCAAAGTTCCAGTAGGATCTGTTTGTAAAATAGTTAAAATACAAACATTGCCAACTTCAACAAATGTTATATCGCAAAACAAAGCAGTAAAAGCTAAATTTGGAGCAGTAGTTTGATAAATTAATGAAGAGGGACTAGGATTTTGATTATACCCAATAGGTGAAATGTATAATTGACCTTTTGGTAATAATGGATTAGTTGCATTTAAAGTAACTGTACTATTTGTGAAAACAATAGCGTAACCTTCATCAACTGTACGTATAACTATAGCTGATTCTACTTTATCTAGTACATCAAGAACAAGTTCTCCAGAAGTTAACCCTATAATTGCTCCATCAGGTTCAATTCTAAATTGTTTCCAATCTATATTGTTATTTTGATTTATAGCATATCTCATAAATCCTTTTTCTCTATTAATATTAACTACAAATTGATCACTTGGTACAACTATTTGCAAAGCATTGTTAATAAATGGTAATCCGATAGGTGTTCGACTTGATACATTACCATCATAATCAATTACCATTCCCCATTCAATATATGTAGAAGGATCTTTAACATCCGTTGCATTATAATAAGTAATTAAAATTTGATTTCTTCCTGATTAAAACATATTTCAAAAATTCAATCCATATACCACCACTGACCATTTGAAAAACACAATAATTAAATGATTGAATATCTAATTTTAAATTCTTTTCTACCACTGTTCCGTCGAAATCAATAATTCTTAATGAAAACACTTCATAGAAACAAAGATAATTATCAATCGTCGTTGTTGGATTTTTTCTAACTATTCTTATTACCATTGTACCATCATCATATGCTTTTGAATCCCATATACGAGGTAATACTTTTCCATGATCTATTTCTTCTTTATGTGAAAATTCCCTTATTACTGCTGTTGTATATAGTGTATATGAACATAATATGATCACAAAAATTGATAAAAAGTTTGTTTTCGCTGAATTGAGTATCCGCATTTTTATAAAGATGGTTTTTTTTTAAAAAAAAAAAAAAAAAAATTTGTGCGCAATTCACTTATATTTATAATATTAAACTTGTATAAATAAGTAATCGTTAGTGGCGTAAGGCTTCACTTGATGATCGGAATGTTGAGATCATTTTGGCCAAAATTAACGTTAATTTTGGCCAAAATGATCTACATTCCGATCATATGATTTGTTAATAACTAATTTCAGTAAATTCGTAAATTCTCAATTTAACTGTTAAAACTAAGATTAATAACGATATTGCTATCACCAACATTATTATTTATTACTACTACTATCAGAAGAGTTTAATGAAATTTGACGGGAATTACCAAATTTAGAAAATTCCTAAAATGATTATGTTATTGAAAAACTTTATTAAATAATAAATATTAGGTTTCAGAAATTATTTATTACAATTTTTAATTAATAAAAAATTTTCAAAAACTTTATTTCACGAATCTTTTTAATTGAATCAATAAATGCAATATAAACTAAAAGAATAAATTGTATTATAAATTCATATGCAAAATATATGGGACCTCTTATGCACTAATACGTAATGTTTTTAGGTGGATAAATTCCAGATGAATGCTTATCTACAATGCTTGTCTGGATCACTAGATGATAATTTCTGAAACTAAGTTACTTGTTGGAATCCGAAATTCCGAATAGATCCGAAATTTTCTCTAAATCGGATAATCCGGATTGCTATCTGGCTTGATTAAATTACGGGATAAAATCATTGATTTCTTAGTGTAACTGCATAGAAATTCTTAAAAATTTTACGTTCCCATTTAAAAAGGATGATAATTGATTTATATCCGTGTGCATTTCAATCAACTAATCCAATTTCGGTTAATGCAATTTTACCCTTAATCGGAATTTTCTAGATCTTTTTTTTCGATCTTTTTTTTAGACCGGTATTGTTGTTTTTAAAAAATTTTTTTTCACTCTTTTTATCGTCAGAATTTTTTTCGGTACTTATTTTTTTTTTTTCGGATATCCTTTTTTTTCATTATCCTTTTTCTTCCCCCCAAATTTTTTTTAATTTTTTTTCATTATTAAATAAAGAAATAAAATTTTTACAATTATATTTTTTTAAAAAAAATCAATATAACATGTAGGAAAATTGACCGACGTTGATAGAAAGATGATTAACGCCGGATAAATAGTTTGATTTTCAAATTAAAAAAAAATTGATATTTTTACAATATTTTATAATTAATTAATTGATTTAATAATAGGTTATTATAACCAAATCCATATCCGAAATTCTCTAAATAATCACCAGATTTTTGAATAAAGATTTTAATTCAAATGGCTTAGTTAAATTAATAATTTATCGAGTAAAATGAATAGATTCTAATACACTTAATTGTTCAAATATATTTCCTAAGTTGGTTATAAGTTTAAGATTAACGTAATATAAATAATATTATTTTATTCTTTTTTGTTTACTAATTATTACCATATTAAATTCCTAATTATAAACAAAAAACTACTGCAACCATCTTTAATTTACTTAGTATTACATTATGATACTAAATTTTTCTATTTAAACAAACTCATTGGTCCCGATGCAACGGGTGACTGCTAGTTTATTACTAGTGTGATGTTAATGATCTTCATGGATTCATCGGTTCTTAAAAAATTATATCAATATTCTGAACGGAACCGAGCTGCTCGAGTCGAACGACTCAGTTCCAAAGAACCAAACCAGGTTTCGGTTTCGGTTCCGTTCTCAGTTCCAAACTGTGCTCGAGTCGCTAAGTCGTGGAACGCCCCCATCCCTAAATATATGTGCCTTTTCTAAAAAAACATAGATGTTTGATATCATGTACAATTAAGCGAAAAAGTGGATAAATTTGGAAAATCCGATGCTACCAAACAAAGATTCATAACAGCTTGATTTTTGGCCGCTTCTCCAATAAGAATTTCTAGTGAAAGCGACATATGACGGTGTTGTACGATTACCATGATCATTGGCAATAATTTCAACCCTATCATTTTGCCAAACACCAACACAGGAATATGACGTTCCTAAATCAATACCGACTGCTTTTTCACCCATTTATTTTTTTTTCTTCTTTCGTTTCCATTGCAAGATATCACATGATACTCTACGCCATGAACAGAAAGTAACGTGACTAATAATTCCTTCTAGAATTTTTTTATTCGATTTGTACACTCTTTTCCATAGCAGGAATATTCAACAAGGACACGTAACATTCTTTTCGAAGTGAAAATATTAGAATTTCTATGTTCTAAAACCATTACAAATGAGATCATATAAGCTGATGATATTTTTTAGAATAGTATATTGGGATCGTTAATTAAACTGTAAACGAATAAACTTTCACTTTATTTTTTTCATTCCTTGGAGAAATTGTATTATAACAAGGCTAGTGAAATATCAAATGTACAAAGTGGCTTTAACCAGTTTTATTAAATAACCTGTATGGTGATGTAGATTCTTGGGTGTATTGTGATGTTAATGACGAAAATCGACTTCCTTGGATCAAATAGATGTGAGTAGACTGCTTTTGGCATATTATTTGAACTTTTTGATACACAGTCAAACCTTAAAAAAAAGCGTGTATTCTGTTGGATTGAGTCAGTCATAAGAGGTCTAGTATTGGCGTTTAATAATAAATGATTGTCAGGATATATGTATATATATATCTGATTGATATGACCTTGTTAACCTTTTATAGCTTTCTGGGCAGATTGGCAGATTGGAACCAAATAATCCAAATGAATTAACTGCTAGCTGTAAATGGGTATAAAATTCCCACATACACATTAGATGATTATTTTAACCACTAATATTTTTTTATATTCACTGTTATTTCATTGTTCACGCTCTTTAAGTGTCTTAATAATCCCAATTTGTTATGATAATCTTTAAATCTTTTTTTTTTTTAACTTATTCATGCATTAGAACATAAATAAATAAAATTTCAACATGTAATAATAGAAGAAAACTCGTAAATTGTTACAAAATTGAATGGCATAGATTAATAAATGTTAAATTGTTTGATTTTAACCTATTTTATTCTGCACAATCAAAAACAAAGACAAGTTCTCTCTGGCGCAATATTTTGTACCAAACATTATGCATGATGAAATATTATTTTTTACTTTTTTCAATTAAATGAAGTTAACTTTATCGTTAAAAAAAATTAATCTGCTTGGCGTGCAGCAGTGACATATATTAGCTAATATTTTTGTGCCACAGGTAAGATATTTTGGTCACGTGCAACCAATCATATTTTTTTAAAAGTTGTGTACTCCCCACCCCCTAAAATATTAGCTAATATATCACAGTCTCTAATAAAATAAATAAATTTTATAAATTCGTCAATTTTTATAAAAGGAGCGACAAAAAAAAAAAAAATTTTTCATAAATTTTTATAAATAAAATTCATTCACGTAATATGGATAAAATAGAAGTTGAAACTCAAAATAATACATCCGCATCAGAAACGAAGATTGATATTTCTGATAATATGAAAGAACATGGGGAAGAAATTGAAAAAACTCCATCAGAAACGAAAGATGATACTTTTGAAAAACATAGGAAATCAATTAGTCAAATTTTAGTTCCTCTATACATCAATGAAGAATATGGTTCAGATGGTTATGTTGTTACTTATAGTAGTGAAGATAGATCGGTTCTTGGATGGTCAGTTAACATTGAAAATAATGGTCCACAACAACCCGATGTTTATTTTAAGGTTGATCAAATCAAGTTATTTTCACTACAAACTCTAAGTAAAAAAATCTTGTTATTACGTAGTATAGAAGATAATTATTGTAGGTATTTATTTTGACTCAAAATAATAGTGATTCAATTTTATGTTTTAATTAATAATTTATATTGTAATTGTAGGGTTGGTTGATTTAAATGGTGATCGTACTAGTAGTGATCGATTTCTTAAACTGAAGCATCAAGTTTATCAAAAATATAATTTTTCTTTTGGTTATACTTATATTGGATCCCTTCCTAATGGTGATTTAATTCAAGTATCACCAGGAGATCACAAAATTTACAAGTACCATTTCACAGATAAACCAAAAAATACAGTTCCTTGGGAATATTCTCAAATTATTGATATAGAAATTCCCGAAAGTTTAAATGGTCAAGTTGAAGGATGTTCTATATATCAAACAAAGTTATTTCTAATTGTTAATGGTACTGAACGTAGAATGCTTCAATTTGATTTATTGACAATGAATTTAGAAAGAAAATACCCCGAATTTACTCCTTATCTGATTCCAGGGTTACAAATAACAATGAATAAAAATCAAACGTTATTGGCGACAAATGTTGTAGCACATATATATTCAATGGAAAATGGAATGTTGATTTATAAGAGTGAGTATTACTTTTACAATACATATAGTACACTTTTATATGATAGATTTTTTTATATATTCATATATTCTAATTATAATTTATTCGCAGATGAGGATAATGGGTATGCTGTGCAGTTTATAACTTTGAAAAATACTGAAAGATTATTCATTTATCATGAACATAGTGGTGGTAAACTTGTAGATCCTTATCAAGTTTATGATGAAATTGTCATTTCTGATGGATTTAATAGAAAAACAAGTGTGATAACTAAATTAAATAGAAAAATTTTCATTGAAAATGGTAATGTTTGTATCACAGATGGAATTGATGAAAACAAATTGCAACAATTATTAAACAAGACCTTATATATTTATACTTTACCTATTTTTAAAATTATACAAAGTATGCTTAATGAAATCATTGACCAAGTGGACATTAAAAAGGTTGTACCACGTGAGGAAGATGAAGTTGAAATTAATGAAAATATTCGGATTAAGAATTATTCTTCTTCAAAGGTTAATGCAATTTTTTTTAGACATGTTGGCAGTATTATTGTTCCTTATATACTCTCATTTAAACTACTAAATAACCAAGATTTGGTACTAATTAATATGAAAGGAATCGATATTTATACAATAAATGAAGATGGGACCAGACATCGATACTTTTGGAATAATAATGAATGGAATGATATTTATGAAAAATTCAGAGAAGAGCGTGGCGAAATTTATGATAATAATTTTACTAATGAACACTACAAACCACTTATTGGAAGAATTTTAAAAAATGAATTTGATGATTCAAAACACTCAATACCATTACCAAAATTTACAGATGAGATTTTCAAAAAACAAATAGTTGAAGATGTTATAAATGATAAATTTGTATCACCAAAATTTGAAGCTGAAATATTAAAAATAGCAATTAAAAAAAAATGCAATGATACTGTTAGACAAATTATTGAATCAAATCAAGGTTATTCTGAAAATTACATGACTGTTATTAGTTTAAACTTAGCAGAATTGTGTGATTATTATCCTGATTACATAATCACATATATCTTACGCACTTCTATTATGTTATCTCCTTATTGTAATAGAATTGAAAATTCAAAAAATACTTCACTTCATTCACACATATATATTTACATTAAAGAATCAAATATGAATAATATCATTTTTAAGTTTATTTCAAAATTATATAATGGATTAATTCAGTATTTAAGGATAAAAGAAGAAATTCAAACAGTCAGTTTTATTGTTCCATTTCCTCAAATTTGTGTATACCAAAATAACTCTGAAAATAATGACCATGAGAATCATAAGATTGAAAATAATAATCATGAGAACTATGACACCAAAAATAATGATGATGAGAATCATAATTCTCAAAATAATGATCATGAGAATGAGAATAATGATCATAAGAACCATGACTTCAAAAATAATAACTATGAAAACTGTGAGGCCAAAAAAAATCACGATATCAAATCAAAAATGATCACATTACTAAAAAATATAATCACTGGACTAAAAATAATCATGATGATACCAAAAAGTAATAGTATTTGGAATGAATTTTTATATAAACCAAAATCTATTCTATTTTGTAATTTAGATAGTAATAACTTTTATAATTGGTGGAATTTTGCTGCGATTATAGATTTTAAGTGGAAAACTTTTGGAAGAGTTTACTATTATCTGATCTGGTTATTCTATACAATTTTTTATGTTTGTTATTCATTAGCTTCTACTTTAGAACAAATGTTTATCCCTGATTTTTATTTTAAATTGCTTTTTATAATTTCCATTATATTTGGCTCAATATTTTTAATTTTTGAGATTCGTTGTTGTTTATGGAATTATAAAACTTATTTCAATGATGTATGGAATTTATTTGGTAAGTAACATGTATTAGTTATATCCTGGCTAATTAGGAATAAGTAAAATTTTACTAGGATCGGATAAATGATCAGCCGATAGGCTGATCATGTTCCGATTCTAAAGTAAAATTTTACTATTCCAATTAGCCAGGATATAATTGATTTATTCCCTGCCATTTACACAATATTAAAAATTTGTTTTATTGTAGTATATCACGTGTTAATCAGTAATTATAAAATATAGTTTATTGTTGCATCCTAATTTCTTTCACCCGCTATTTTCTATTTTTCCATTTTAAAAAATGAGTCAAAATTTTAAAAAAGCTTCAGAACTATTACACTCAAAAAATAATATTGACGTTACAGATAAATTAAAAGAAAATTTTACTCATTTGCATAATGTAAATATTTCTAATATACACGAAATTTCAAAGCCATCTATTCCCAAAGAATCATATGAACGTCCTTCTTTAAAAACTCTACAAAGATATGTCACTAAAGCAAATCCTGAAAATACCAAGAAAAATACTAGATTATGGTTCTCCAGATTTGAGGAATTTGTGAATGACACATAACCAGATATTGATTTATTAACTCTTTATGATAAGAAGGTTATTGCAATGTTGTTATGCGAATTTATTGTAATTATTAAAACAAGAGAAAAAAAGGATTATAAAGCAAATTCTCTATACAATGGAATTTGTGCCATAAATAGATGTTACCAAGAATTGTTTAAAGATAAAGAGCCATTTAACATACATGAAGACTTTGAATTTGGGGCAGTTCGTGATACATTACATACTAGAATTATTGAGCTTGAAGATATTAACAATGGTAAATATAATGGTGCTGATGCTCTTACAGATGATGAAATGGTCAAGATCTTTGAGCATCCTAACATGTCAAATGAAACGCCAGATGGATTACTTAAAAGAGTTTTTCTATGGGTAGGATGTTGTACAGCGCAAAGAGGAGGGTCGTATTATAATCTTATGGCTGAACATTTTAAGGAACGTGATGATGGAGGCTTTGATATTATTACAATTCATAATAAAACCCATCAGGGGGGCTATTATCATCAACCAACCTCTAATCAAACACCTACACATATTATTCCTCCAGATGAATCTAAAGAATGTGGTGCATGTTATGATATTAAAAAATATCTTAATTTACGACCAAAAAATGCCGAAAAAAATTTTTTTCTTCATGTTAATAAAGATCCTGAAGGTAATATTATTTTTATTGAGATATGTTATTAATGTAATTAATTTTTAATTGCTTATTAATCTATACTATTAGATATTAAACTGGGAAAGTGGTATTCTTCACAGCATATGGGTCGAGATAAACTATCCAGAATGCTAAAAGAAATTTGCACCATTACTAGTATTGATTATACAAATAGAAGAGTCATAAATCATTCCTTACGAAAACGTACTGCCCAAAAATTAAATTATGAAGGGTTGGATCCTCAGGCTATTATGAATGTAACATTGCATAAATCTTTAGCAGGGTTAAATTTGTAAGTATCTTATTTTTCCAATTCATAATAATTTTTTATTTATTTAACTTTTATAATCACACTGTATTTTTAGGTATCGTTCACAAAATGAAATTCAAAAATTAGAAGTNCAAATTATGAAGTAGTCAATTTCATTGTTCCTTTTCCTCAAATTTGCGTATACCAAGATGACTCCAAACGTAATGACTATGAGAACAATGTGACTAAAAAAAATCACGATATCAAATCAAAAATAATCACAATTCTAAAAAAAATGATCACAGGATTAAAAATAATCATGATGATACCAAAAAGTAATAGTATTTGGAATGAATTTTTATATAAACCAAAATCTATTCTATTTTGTAATATAGATAGTAATCATTTTATAATTTGTGGAATTTTACCGTGATTATAGATTTTAAGTGGAAAACTTTTGGAAGAGTTTACTATTATCTGATCTGGTTATTCTATACAATTTTTTATATTTGTTATTCATTAGCTTCTACTTTAAAAACAAAAGTCTATTTCTGATTCTTATTTTGAATTACTTTTTATAATTTCCATTATATTTGGCTCAACATTTTTAATTTTTGAAATTCGACAATATCTATGGAATTATAAGCATTATTTTAAAGATATACTATGGAATTTATTTGGTAAGTAATATTTTATAATTGCTTTATATTTAAACTAAATTAACTTGATTTAATCATTGATAGATGTAGGAGCATATCTTTTACCTACCATTTTTTGGCTCATTAATTTCAACCAACCAATTTTGCTTACGTCAATATCTATTATATTATTGAGTTTTAAATTTTTATTATTTTTTAGAGTATTTGAATCATTTGGAATTTATTTTGCCATAATAATTGGTGTTGCGAAAAAAGTTTTTCCATTTTTAGTGGTCTTATTATTTATAGTACTTGGATATGCTCAAGCATTTTTCATTGTTCTAAGATCAAATAGTATTAATGATGATAATGATCCGCGAAATGTTGCAACTAAATATGTTTTTGTTAATCCAGATGGAACTATAAGTAATATATTACAACAATAATTCAAGATCCTGGTTCAAATACAAATTTATTTAATTGGTTCCCTACTTCACTTTTAGCAGTATATAACCTTCTCACTGGTAATAATTTATTATTTTATTTATAAAGCATTTTTTTTTAAAAAAAACAAATATTTTAATAACTTTTTGATATAATTATAGGTGATTCTGGATCTTTATCATCATTTACTTATCGTGAACATTCTATTATGACCATTTTATTGGTTACTTTTACATTTTTCACAGTAATCTACCTTATGAATTTATTTATTGGACTACTCAATTTAGCAATTGATGATTTTAACAAAAAAGAAGAATTTTTACTACAAAAAGCACAGGTAACAATTTTTACATTATTGATTATGTCAATTTTATTTTACTAACTAATGCTTTACTTTCTTTTTAAAGATTATTATGGAGATTGAATTATTTTATATGTTGCCATGGCAACGTAATAACAAAAAATGGTTTCCAGATTGGATGTAAGTATTAATTATACTATACATAATCTGTTAATATTATTTTTACACATTTTATTAACATATTTAACTATTTTAAGTTATTATGATATACCTATTACTGAGATTCGTAAATTAATTAATGCAATTGATAAAGAACAGACTGTGTTTAATTATCCTCCATTTATCAGTGAGGAATTGAGAAAGTTAGTGGTACTTTCTGATGATGATAATAATAAACTAGAAAAGAAAATAGATCAGCTTACAAAACAAAATGTTGAGCTTAAAGAAGAGCTTATAAAACAAAATGTTGAGCTTAAACAACAAATGGAACGTATTATAAAGTATATTGGAGTAGAACAAGATAATAAGGAAGAAAAAGATAATGAAAAAGTACAAGATAATGAAAAAATACAAGATAATAAGGAAGAACAAGATAATAATAAAGAACAAGATAATAAGGAAGTACAAGATAATAAGGAAGAACAAGATAATAAACTAGAGATACAAAAAGAACAAATGAAAGAAGAGCTTTCAAAACAAAACATTGGACTTAAACAACAAATGGATAATCTTAATCAACGAATGGATAAACTTAATCAACAAATAGAAAATATTATGGAATTATTATTAAAAAGAAACTAGAACTTGCAGTTTGTGAAGGACTTCATTCCCATGCAAATTTTTTTTTGTACAATATCAAAAAGTGTTTTATTTGGTTTATAAATAATAAAATAATTTAAAGGAATTTATTTTTTTAAATAATATGTAATTTCTATTTATGACTGAGTTGTATTTAAAAGTTTTGCAAAATTGCAGTTCTATTAAAATGATCAGCTTTTTTTTATTTTAACATGATAATCATAACATAATTACCAAAAATAATTAAAATTTTGGTGATTTCTTTTCTGAAAGAAAACGATTCCAAAGGAATCCAAGCCAAAATCAAGAACTCATAAAAATATTTCAAATTAAAGTGAATTTTTCTAAGTTCGTCCTATTGTTATTACAAATTTTACATTTAATCAGATCTCTCTTTTTTTCTTTTTCATCTTCTCTATTATAATATACCATTTTACTTGTTACTTACTTTTGAATAAATTGTATGCTAAATGAATTCGTGATTTTTTTCTTTCATCAATCCAGAAACAAACAATGCATGATTTAAAATCTTATTCTGGATTCTTTCAGAAGCATGTATTTTCCCTATAAGAAACCCTAAGAAAACCCTCAAGAAAAGTTTTAAATCTGAAGTAATTGATCTTCATTTCCATTGCAAACTTTTTAAGACGCCAAATTTTTCTGCAATTACTAATTGGTGATAGAATTCGTGTAACCATAGTTGATTACTATAACGACATTATAAATACCGTATAGTCCCAAAAATAAGCACCCCCCTTTTTGCACGTAATGCAGGCCGAGAGTATCATAACGTAGGCCAAAATCATTATAATTCTGGTAAGGGGTGCTTATTTTCGGGACTATATGGTAATCATTAATTTGTGTTTGTGGCCCGCACTACTCTAGAACATGTTGGAAATTCTAAATAT